TGGAAAATTCTGGCTATGGGCCTGGGTTCTACTCTTAATGTTCTTTTTCTTGCTATGTTTGTAATATTCTTTAGTCTTCACCTTATTGGTACCTGTATTTATTAGAGCTGGCATCGAATAGGATTTTAATGTCGACATGTCGGAGCTCTCGATCGACAACGATATCGACATTGTCGGGTCCAATGATATTCGAAAAATGAAAAATATTTTGAAGAAAATCCGTCTGAATTTTAGATTTTCTAGGCTTGTAATTAGCAATACGATGCACAATAGTCATCCTCAGTTGTATGTTTTATATTTAACTTACAGGTAAACCATGTTCAAGTATCAGACTTTGACGAAAAAGCAATAAATAGACATAAAACTACGATTTCTGTTGGTATTTCCGGGCAGCCATTGAAAATAAATCTCGAGGGTAAATCTCGAGGGGCCCGAGACCTAATTCGAGAGCAGGAAGTCGATCAAAACAAAAAAGAAAATTTGAAAATGTAGGCGGTAAAACTTCACTAAAATACACCATACAGCAGGTAGTAACAAAGATTTTAATTCATAGGGAAATAGCTTATTATGTTGTGAGTTCCGACTGTCGATCAAGAGGCGTTGTGTCGACATGGGTGTTGCAGAGAGCATTCGACTGACAATCGACCATTCCGACATTTGATGCCAGCTCTAGTATTTATGTTGATGGTATCATGGAGTGTTACATTGTGAGTATGGTAGTTACTAGTCAGACAAGAACCAATGATTCACTGACAACAGTTTTTAGACAATGTATCAGAGCAAAACTATGAACGACTGAACTTTGATTGGACTAACGATAATGAGATAAGACTAATATTACGAAAATTACATTATTTCTGATGGTTTGCCACTATCAATTGATACTTGTTATGCTTTTCGGGAAATTCTGAGACGCTTAGACACAAAATAATTGAATCTCTGAAGCTGGTTACTAGTGACTACCCATGGGCCAACAGGCTATTATCAATATTTATCGAAACTTTTGAAGTTGTTCTGAGTACACGCTCACAGACATCTAGTATAATGGCTCTCATCTTCCATCAGATCTCTTGTTTTAACTGTGATGCTTCTAAGGTTGTTAGTGTCTCTTTGAGATAGCCCCAAAGATAAAGGTCTGGGGGTTCATGTTGCCATGAGTGTGGCATGTTTCGGCATTTGGATCATGTTTTGTAAAATGGTCATGAAATCGTGACCCAGGTTGAATGACTGAGCATGAGTTATTAACATTTGTTTGGGTTACCATTTTTGGCTCATCCTGTAGCTAAGATTCATTCTCATTTCAAGCTTCTAAGAAAGCTGGACATTTAAGATTATAAAGATCTCATTAGCATCAAAACTGTTAGTCAGAGGGCAATGGTTAACGGATGGGGATTCAGTATACATTGCCTGGAAACAATTCCATTTATTAGATGATAATCCAATCAATTCTACCAAGTCTTTTGTGACTTGGATAAAAACAATGGTTCACCTATTAACCCTAATACAGTTGGCACACATAGATACAGACCAACCAAAAAATCCCATGTGTCATCTTAAAATTAGAAACAATCAAAAATGACTGGATTGAGCAAGGAATGAAACACAGAAACATGTAGTGCATACTCTTATCTATATAGAAACACCAAAATGTCATCAATTTATTGAAATTTTAGTGAGAAATCCCATGCAAAAGGCACCACTAAAGACACTATATGTATAGGATTTAACAATTTAAAATAACATCCTCGTTTATATCAATCTTTATGCCATTGGATTGACGTCAGCGCTCGGAACAATTGATCCTTGCGATAGCAACAGTCATATTCAGTTACCACAAACTGTAAATGTAAGACACAAGAAAACTTGCCATTCATTTTTTTCATTTAAATGGCTACAACTTTGACAATATTTATTCAATGTTTGGAAATTGGCACAAAACTTAACAGAAGTTATTAATTAAGTAATCGTTCTATGTAGTTCACACTCAGCAACAAAATAACAATAGTTTATATACAAAGTTGTGCATGATAAATAATATGATAACAAAAGACAGATGTAAAGACTCAGCTTAGCTTTTTAGCTAGGTTTATTTGGAGAAATAAGACTAAGTTTAAAGTATAGCCTGCAACAACTCAAAATTGCTCTAACCATTTCACCACCTTCTTGTTATTATAAAATTTAACCTTTAAAACACCTTAAACTTATGTAGAATAAAACCTATATATCAGAAATAAATGCAAAATCTGACGCATTTGTTGCCATTTTAGATTTTCTTGTCATGATATGTTTGTAATCTATATTGTACTATGCTATATTATGATAAAATGTTTCAGTATAAGCACTATCACTTAAAAAAAACAGAAATTTACAACACCCGCATACATGGGCATGGTCCTAAGTCAAAACTCATAATATATGTTTATAATATAACATACATATTACTAAATGGTTTCAAATAAAAAAAATATTTTTACAACAAATTTCTGCTATTTTTGAAGTGAGAATCAGATCAATTTTCAATGGCCTTGAAAAACTCATATTCCGATCTACTTTATAATTATTCCCAAGAAACTCCATTAAGCATTTCTTATTGAACAGCAGATAAGATGACTTAAACGTGATGCAATAAGTTAGATGCAATCAATAAGATCCTGCAAAGACAGCGGAATACACATAGCAAGAGACTTTTGTTAATACCCCAATCCATAAAACCTCCCGTATATCTCATGTTTTCACACTTCAAATGATCAAAGGCTTAAATATGATGCGCTCAATTTGAACAAAATCTGGCCATCTCTAGAGTGAATCAATCATTCGCTGCATCAATGTGTTCTACACAGAAAATACTCATATATCAATTGTAGTGTTGCAGTTCTATCGATTCCTAATATCATAAGTATGTAACCTTTTCTACATTTATTTCTCTCTAAAATATTTTGGATCTCTTTAACCTGTATCTTATCTTAGAGTAGTAAGTTTGAAAGACCTTATGTTATCTGAATTTAAATAAATCAATTGAGAAAGATTATGTTATGAGAAATAAATGTTAAAATATTATACATAGTTTGTGGAAATTAGAAATGATTTTAAGGTCTAAATTACTATTATTGATCAATGCATGTTTAAAGGCTTGTAAATCTTCATTCATCCATATCTCTTCCTAAAATGCCCTGTTTAATTAAAGAATCCTGAATTTGACAGTCTTGTCATCACCAATTCTAGCATCATGAATGATAGAAGTGATAGTTGGGTTAGCTTGCTATTTCCACAGACATGACTTGAATAAAGAGCCGATATATTATAAATATTTTAGAAGCATTTTGGACGACATATTCTTCAGAATTAATATGTTACAAAATAATATGTCTCCCTACTCTGAAAATCAAAGCCTTTTATGTAAGCATCTGAATAGAAGAAATAATATATAGTTTTGATGCTGATAAGATCAAAATGACTCCTAAAAGTAGCTGTTGTGGCCTTTCACAGGGTTAATAGATGCTATGAAAGCATAAAATAAATGACTGAGAAAGCATGGAATAAACGACTTTTTTTGGTTGGGTAGCTAGATTTTGATCAACCATATTCTTATATTTGGTAAGGCTAAATCAAAGGATTATCTCTGACCCAAAGAGTGTAGATGACACTCTTATGAATAAGATCACAAATTATAAATATTTGTAAAGCATGCTGAAGGACATTAGAAAGGGTAATGTCAGAATGACATTTAAACACAAATCTAATAAAAATAGACATTTTATTTGGATCTGATATGAATATGATAGAAAAACAAATACAATGTAACTTATATTCAAACAATCATTATCTGATTAAGAAATTGGAAATATAGTAGAAAATTTCAGATGTATATAGTTTATTCTATGCATGCAGGGTTTGCATTTATTATTGATCAAGATAATATTTCAGTTTAGCAAGTTTTACTATCTACAATCAATAGAACGCCTTGGGGTAGATATCCTTTCATATATGTAGGCTTAACTACAAGGCAAAAGCCAGAGCAAGCTTAAAGGGATCTTGTGGAAATATTACATTATTAATAATGATCAATTCATTCCAGGGAAAATGCCATATCTAGTATTACATGGAGTCATTTACTAACCATGAACAGAACTCCTTAAGGAGACAAGGGGATAAAGTTGTTGTGGATAATTAACTGTTGCATCATATGAAAAAAGGATATACAAATATCACTTTTTAAATAGACTTAAATAAATTTTATTAATACATTTTGTATGTTAAGACTAGTTTAAAACTCTTTTTCTGTTACCATGTTTCCACAAAGTCAGTTTTAAGCATTAAAGAGGTCTATAGTTCTTGCAATAAAGCAACTAAAGCTTAAAACAACAGTTAATGATAATAGGAAGAATTGCCTTTAATACATAATATTGCATCTATATGTATTTCATAGTTCTTAAATCGATTAATCTGTCTCATTCACTGTCGGGAAAAATACTATTCCTATAAAACAATAACATTGTGACAAGGCAGTAGGATGATAGTATATGCTCAGGTGTTACTCATACTAAAACTGAGTGGTAAAACAATTAATAATAAATCAAGCAGACAACATGCAAATTCTTTATGGTCCTACAAATAAAAATTACTGTAAAAAATGGTACATTTGGCTTATAGGGATGGTGTCCAAAAATTAGTTTCATTAGGGGGAGGGGTTTGCTATTAGGTCTATAGTGTTTATTTAAAATTCACGTAAACGACAAATCAACATTTTTCATTATTTTAGAGATGAGGGAAGGGAAATGTACCAAAATGACTAACATAACATTCACATTATAATGCTTTCACCAATTTAAGAGTTTGAGATGTCTTGAACTGGTGTTTGCAAACATATACAGAAACCGTCCTTGCAAATAATTTGGCAAGGATGTTTACAAACACGCAAGTCTTGTTTTCTTGTAACGATCGGTTGCAACTAAGCTGTTTGAGTGACATTTCAAGCCTGAATGATATAATGGACCACTTACCGTTTGCGATCTTTTTCTCCGTAGGCATAGAGCTGAATGAGACTGTTTTCTTTCGATGGTGTCTGCGGGCAGAGGCATCCTTGATCAAACTACTGCGTCGCGGCAGCACCTTCTCACTCTTTTTGGGTGATGCTTCTGGATTGAGTAAACTCCCATTTTTACCATTATCCGTTTCATCAATTTGTCCATTGACAAAAACATCATCTTTTCGATGCATTTCTGAGGAGCAGGATTCTGCATCCAGATCGGCCATCGTGAAATAAATGGAGTGTTTCATTAGATATTTTCGCAAAATAAAGGGGTGGCAGGTTGACTTACCATGAAATTATTATGCAATGTATGGCCGAAACTGAATGCCATATAATATATAGTAAACAATCATATTCATTTGTTATTATTGTTTCGTCGACTGGCGTTTGAAGTGAGACCACACACTCCCATGTAAAGGATACATCTTATAAGTAGGGGAGACAGGTTAATTTTTCTGACGCAAAGACTTCTGGGATTTATTTTCAAAATGGCGATTGGAAAAAAGTGAGGTAAATTCAAAATTTTACATTATTTGTCTTATATTATGATGTACTTATCATTTAGAAATGTAAGTTATATTTTTAATAAAAGGGCTTGACTCAATTTATGTATTCAAAGGAATGTTAAACTGTACATTTTGCTATAAAATATAGAAATAATTCGTTGAAATATTGAGTGCTGTCAAAAACTGAATGGAGTCATTGAGTGGCACTCACTGACAGTGGCATAGATGTTGGCCAGATCGTTTTGTAGTAGGATCTCAAAGAATAATTCAGAAGATGCCTCACTAAATTGGAAAATTTCAAAAAAGTGACCACCTTTCAAAACGTTCCTTATACTAAATGGTACCTGCTTCCCCGTGACAGATTTTGCGCTTACAGTGCTGATACAAATTAATTGACAAGTCGTATAATTGGCATATTTTCTTGAATTTTAACATTTAATGTCTTAAACTCCCACAAACTGCAGAAAAGTATGTAAATCACATTTCCAAAATGAGTGTCTCCAAGGCTTCATACCAGCGTATGCACAATGCATTGTCACGAGTTTGAGCTGAAATTTCGCTAAAAGGAAGTATGGGTAATCTCCACCAGGTTTGTTTAGTGTGGTTAGCTTTTAATGGTAAGTGCTCAGAAGAAATAATTCATGTGCGCAAAATAATCAAATAATCTGATTGGTTTAAACTTTAATGCGCATGCGCACGATGTGTGCCATGTTTTTTCTAGTGATTTCGTTTCGTTTCATGGAGTTTGTGTTTCGGTGTAACTTCCACAAAAATGGCGGACCTATGACAGAATTAACAGGTAAAATCACTTCGAAATTTAAGAGAATTATTTACCTAAAATAGCAAAACCTTTATGTCCAAATGTATTCATCGGTTAGGTAAAGATAATTAATTTGTATTGCTTTCCTCAAATCACTAACCAAAATAACTTACTTTTTCGAGCTTTCGGTAGCAGCTACTACCTTTGTCAAGATGATATATTGGCGGGAAATGGGCTGACCCTTGACCTGGTTTGGGTTTTACTCCTGTGTAGTTCCAACAGTCCCGGGGAAACCTTAAATCCAGAGTCCCTGTTAAGTTGTGGCTTGCTTGGCTTCCCTTTTTTAAGAGAAACTGTACGTGAGTGTGTAATATTTCGATCTTCTGGGATTACCGTCCCGCTCTCAATTCACTTTTCCAGGGACCTAATTACAATTATTTTCCGGATACCTTTATACACAACTGGCCAGGTAAACAGTACATATGGGAGAACTAATAAACAGAAGACCATAATTCTACATGTTCAAGTAGGCCTACAAGATTTTGCAAAAATTACTTATGAATAATTCTACACACATTTTCTTACAATGTTTTGTTTTTGCTCTGATTCCAAAGTTTCAAAAGTTCAGATTCTGTGACTGAAGTTTCAATTTCAAACTATTCGGAACAGGTTCCGGCACACCCCTACTCTTGATCATTTGTCAGTTCCCAAGTAATATGTAAACTTATGACAATAGAATGAATAGATGTTACAAGATTACCACCAATATCCCTTACTACTTTTTAGATTAAATGTATTCCTTCATTACAAACACAAAAACACAAAAAAATGTTTATATAGCATAAGATATGTTTACATAAGATATGTTTTCAACTTAACAGTGACAACAAATTATTATGGAACATACAATATGTAACATTTATGTGTAACCATGGAAATCAGTTATCATCTATCAACAGTGTCACAAAATAGGGACAGAAATTTTTGGCATTATAAAAGTAATGCTTTTTCGTCTCTTTTACAAGTAACTATTTCGAAGACAATTTATGGGAAAAAGATTTGTTGAAGAATGGTCAGTAGCTTCCCAATAGACTAGATGCAATAGAAATAATCTTGATTTATGTCATCAAAAATCCCAAATTCAGTCGAACTGATGTAATATTTGGAATCTACATGTAGAATTACAACTAAAACTATGGTTTTGAAAAGAGTTTATTAACTTTGAAAATTTAATTTTCTTTGAAAATGTGACTTCTAATTCTCCATAGAGCCGATGTTGTAAAATCACAAAAAGTGAAATATATTTGCTTGTGTTGGGCAGAAACTTTTTTTTACTGGGCATATTTTAATTTGTATAACTATTGGATACAAAAGGGTAATATGAAAAGTGAATCACTAAAACTGATGAATATTCAAGTTTAAGGGAATTTTGTAATACCCTGCCATGTTATTTCCCCCGAATCAGGCACCTGGTGGTGAAACTGGTAACTACCTACTCGCATCTGAGTAATTGGAGTCATTTGTTATTTTGAGGTACTGTATTATATAAGTCATTTCATAGTATATGTGCAAAACTAGAAGATGTAGACCATGTATTTTTGAATGAGTTATGTGTTCCTGAAAATAACATGGGACTCCAATTGAGAAGTCAATAAAATAGTTTTATATGCGGAACTACCTTAAACAGCTGACACACAGATTTTTCTATTTCATCATATTTTTAGAAAATTTGTATGAATTACAATACAATTAAAAAAATTATCTTTACTGATCTAAAACCTGAAACCCTAGTAACCAAATTCAAGGATCTTTATTATGTATTATTCACAAGCATGACGTAAAAACATATCATTCCAATGAAAAAGGGGTAAAATCCTTTAGACTTCTGAAAAAAAACATTGATATTCTGAACCAAACCTAAGTTACCTAACAATTTGTATTTTTAGATGAATGCTGTGATATAGCTAATACTTGAGGAGACAGACTGAAATAAGTTGATTATGGATACGTGTAAGCATGTAGATCGTCTCAACCCTGCTAATGACCACTCTATTCTGAACCCACAGAAGTGGATGTGTGCAGATTGCGCTACAACTGAATCTGTATGGGTAGGTTATCTTAAACATATAAATCTATACATTTCAATATCACCCTATAATGCATATTGAGCCTGTAAATACCAATTTGTGATGATTTTTTTAAGTTTATCTGATGAAAAATTGAAATGGCTTCCTCTGTCATTTTGATTTTCATCATGTAGACTATCTGAAACCATGTTGGGGTTTTTGCACAATATAATAGATAAAATAGTTTTAGATCTTTCTCCTTAATATGCTCTGAAAACAACATATTGATTGTTATTTACTCTATGTTATAGGCCTGTTTGAACTGTGCCAATGTGGCATGTGGGCGTTACAATGAGTCCCATGCTCTGAAACACTACAAAGAGACAAAGGTATGTTACTGTACATCACCATAAAAGTATATGTACACTGTTGCTCATAAATATGGAATATTAGATTTGGCAGCTCAGAATTCAAATTTTGGAGTAAGAGAATATTTATTTGGAGTCGGTTCAGACATTTATTTTCTAGGCAAATCATAACCACATATTTCATCTACAAATCAACATTTTTTAGAGAAAAATTATTCACATTTAAATTTAGAAAATTACTGTTATTTAAACAGGGGTAAGCTAAGATTTTTTTCATTTTCAAAACACCGCGATCCAAATCGACATCTAAAACAGATCAAACAAAATAAACATCGGGTCATGAAGATTGAAGTGTCCTCTATCCAATGGTAGCACTTATATGCATTATGTCCTCTTTGTGCTGCAATCAGAGCATCAACCCTACGGGACCAACATTGAAGGAAACATCTGACCTTTCTAAGTGAAATAAGGCTCCATTCCTCAATTTGAGCAGTGCGTAACGTGTCTAAATTTTGAGGTTGGGGTCCAAGTCACGCATCTCATTACCAAGGTCATCCCACATTTGCTCTGCATTAGCCTGATTGGCTGACTTTTGTGCCCATGGTAGCTGGTCCACATTGCCTGCCCTGATGTAATCCAACACAGTTCCACTAGCATATGCAACAACATGATCATTCTGCAGATGAATGTTGCCCCAAAACACTCTGATTACATGTGGTACTTGATGGAGGTCCAAAAGGTCAATTTACTCTGAAATTATGTTTGAGAATCACCAAGGGGGTGCAATTTTGGTAGTATTGCTCCAAACAACCTCTGTAATAATGCTCCAAACATAAATAGGGTCACCTTCGTGGACTGCCACATCATTAAGTGTCCTTATTGTCTCTTTCCTCTGGTCTACGACAGAAACGAACACACTTATCAACTTTGTGGAGGTCACATCTTATTTCTTCACATGCTGTCATATGACACAAAAAGATTAGGTCCAACGTTTTAGTGCTTTCCTGCCCATTGAAGGCACCTTTCTTTTTTATGATCAGTCAGCTGTGGTTTCTTTAAAGATCTCATGGCCTTGCATTAGTTCTAAAGAAATCACTGCTTGTCTATAGCTCTGGAACACGGGTTTTGAGGTGAGACAGCCATTCATCTCGTAGACTACTGGTTGACTTAAAGCGATTTTGATGACATAAATGCAGCAGGTGGTGGTCTTTTCTTACATTAATCTCTCTAGGGTTACTATTGCTGTGACCTGGAGTCATATTCCAGTGCCTTTGGTACCACTGCAGAATTTTAGAGACTGTTCCTGACACACCCCTAGGGTCCTGGCAATGGCAGTTTGTTTCATGCCAGAGAGCGCCATCCCTATGACCTGCCATGCTCTTTTTCGCTTATCTCATGGGGCATGCCTTCTAAAAACTCTTCCAACTCTAAATTAAAGTTTTATAAAATGTGCACAATGGTTACAACTAAGATTTGGACACCTTTTTCAAGTTACCAATATCATGAGTTCATGGGGTCACCTGAGTGGATACAAGTTTAATCAACCATAAATGTTTTAACTTTTCATACCAATCAGTTTTATATGCAAAACTGATGAGGGAATGAGAACACATTACAAATTTTCATAAAAATGTTATCATTTTGTAGAAATTCCATCAAACATTTCGTATCTATAAAATATTCCATATTTATGAGCAACAGTGTACCTGTGCCCAGGGACCTGTGCTTATTTCATTCTCTTTTTCGTGAATTTTTGTCAACATTAGGACTGTCTTCATTTTTTGATTAAATCCCACTCATTTTGATTAAATCCCATTCAACTGGTCAGGAACAATTTGGGATAGATTTAAAACAAATTTGGCTAATTATACACGATCCTTGGTCTAATACCTATAATGGCCTAGTCCATGCTTGAATGTTTTCATAATTTACCTGTAAGTAGTAATACTCACCAGGTAGAGCTGCAAGACATCTTGAATCAACCATCTTCAACACACCTTTAATGCAAATGCTTATTCTTTAGCTCACATGGTGAGCTATTGGTCACATGGTGAGCTATTGGTCACATGGTGAGCTATTGTTATCGCCCACTTGTCTTGTCTCTCCTGTAACTGTGTGTGGTGTCATGCCTGTGAAGAACATCACAGAAGCAATCAAAAGTATCTAAATATTTGTTTTTTCATAAGCAGTCACAGTTACAAATTTTCATCTTATTGCCCTTAATGGGCCTTGATGGGGTTTCTATTGAAAGATCCCTTGAACTGATGTTCATCTTACTAATAATCAATAACAAGGTTTTCTGACATGATATCTTTATTTTAAGAACAATATGAGGATTTTGTTTTGTTAACTCTGTGAACGTGGATTCATTCTTAAATTATCAAGGTGGAGCTACTGAAACCTTCTGAATCAAGATGTTGATCCACAAGGTTCTAGACATTCAAGGCAAATGGCTAGTAAGCTGATTACTAAGAGACATAATGATGATTGTTGCCCCCATGATTTCTTATATTGTCATCTATCATCATCTTTACATTAATGAGACTTGTTTATTGCACTAATGAGACTTGTTTATTACTGCCCATGTAATTAATGATAACATAGAGATTTACTGCATTATTGGATTTGAGTAATATAAGAACAAACTGCAGGTTAACCTATATCTGGAAAGGGATGTAAAATGGGAGCTGTGTTAAGTAGAAGGTTTTTTTTCAGATCACATTTATTCAATAAAACATTCAAACACAATACAATATTGTTGTTTTTCAACATTGTCAACAATAAATTATTAAAAATGTCAAAGTATAAATCACAAAATACATTAGAAAAAGTACATAATATAAAGTATAAAAGTGACATGATAGGTCACATATGCATACAGAGGAGAACATTACTCAACATACAATCTGGTTTAAATTATATAGATCATTTTTTTATAGGTCTTGCTTGTGTCGTGACATCATGAACCATATTCGGGCATAAGTCAGACAAGCTTCGAAAAATATAATGAATACATTATCTTCTATTGAAATCATGAAAATAAAGTATAAGGATATCATTATATTGCCTTCAACACATTTTTTACCCTTTGCATTCGTTTGACTTCACTTCTTAAAAGAGAGCTTCGTCTTCACTCTTTCAAACTAAAATAAACCTGTGAACTCACCGCGCCAATCAGTGTTCGTCGGCCAAATTTCTTTATATGGTCATTCCTTCTGACGTCATCGTTGAGCCCAGAATTGACCAATGACATGCGCATATTTAATTAGAACGCATTTGGCGTATGTATCTTCAAGCTCGCTGATTGGTAGGAGGTCAGCGCGTAGGTCAAAAGTGATCTACCCAAACTGTTACCGGTACCCGTCGTGGGGGCGGGGCTACTAAATTGTAATATGGTCTCTACTAGGCAGAGTGTAGTTTAACTAGACTCTGCATGCAGGGTACACATTTTGTGTTTTGCCTATTTGAATTTGCCTCACCTATTTAGATTTGCCTCGTCAATGTGAATTTGCCCCACCTTTTTGTAGACCATGGTTATGTCCCTGACTATGACCTGAACTTCCTAGATACTTTTTTGAGTTTTGAAAAAGTGAAATATTTTATACTAGTTATGGAGCTTTCATAGGCAAAGTTATTTATGTTTAAAAATCCTCAATTCATGTTGCATCTAATTTTTTGATTGTTCTCTTGTTTCAGCACCCTCTTGCTTTGGAAGTGAATGAGAAATATGTCTACTGGTAAGTTAGTCAATTCCTTTAATATTGCTAATCATCACTGATGATCAATAAATAACTAGTCCTACACAATTTACTCTATACATTTTGCATATGCATCCTTTAAATAGAGGAACATGTGCTGTACCATGGTACTTTTAGAGACCAGTAAGTCCCATATGGAAACCTATGGAATTATCCACTCTGTCCATTTATGGTAAAAATTTCCAAATTTTCATAATATATGGACTGAGACCATGTGCTCCTCCAAATGGTACCTTTTTAAAGACCCATGTACAAATGAAGGTATTGTATTTCCATGAATTTGAGAAACTAAATGATTAAAATGTTCTTGCTTTCAGTTACGAATGTGATGACTATGTGATGAATGATAATGCAAGTGGCGACCTGAAACTGCTTCGTACAACGCTACAGGCCATCGCCACACAATCTTTCACAGATATAGAGTCACGAGGCAAACGCTTTCTCAGATCTCATTCTTTCTCAGGATATGAAGCCAAGTAAGTGGATTTCTTCTGTAAACATAAAACAGTGATCATCAGAATCGAAGCAAGTGTTGTACTCAGTGAAAAGAAATGGAAATGCTGGGTGTTATTGCCCTTTATCTTGTGTTACAGATCAGCTGCTGCACTTCGGGAACAGGATCGGAAGTACACAGCACTACGCCACAGGAGGTAATTTACCACAATGCTCTGAGAACAGGATGTACAGGGTGTCCAATAAATAAGGTGAAAGATATTGTAACTTTCTTAATATTGCACCAATCTTGATGAAATTTTCAGAGTTTGTAGCCCAAACCTTTTCACCTTTATTCTGTGGATTCAAAGCGTCTTCTATTTGATTGGCCAAAGTTGTGGTTGCTATAGTAACCGAGACAACAAAAAGGCGGGGCAAGTTTGTTTACGTCACAACTTTCCAAGACATGTTTATTCTTTCTGATAGCTTTATTCATACTCCCAGGTCTATTACTACCACCAATACAATATAAAAACAGTCCTAAAGTCCCATTGTTATGAAAATAGGCTATTCAACATAATTTCCATCTCTAGCTATACACTTTTTATACCTATTCACCAACTCTCTAAACACACTTTCAAACCCATTCTTGCGCATTTCCTGAAGTCTTACTAAGACATGTGATCTGAGTTCACATACAGCTATGCTCACTAGTGAAACTATTAGGGCACTGGGGCTACCCCTACTTGCACACCCTCCATATTCCCCAGACCTTGCACCCAATGACTTTTACTTATATGCAGAACTCAAGCCTGACTTGAGAGGAAATACATTTGGAAGCACTGATGAACTCAGATCGCATGTCTTAGCAAGACTTCAGGAAATGGGCAAGAATAGGTTTGAAAGTGTGTTTAGAGAGTGGGTGAATACATGAAGGCATAAGAAGTGTATAGCTAGAGATGGACATTGTGCTTAATAGCTTATTTTTATAACAATGGGACTTTAGGACTGTTTTTTATATTGTATTGGTGGTAGTAATAGACCTGGGAATATGAATAAAGCTATCAGAAAGAATAAATATGTTTTGGAAAGTTGTGGCGTAAACAAACTTGCCCCGCCTTTTTGTTGTTTCGGTTGCTATAGCAACCACAGCTCTGGCCAATCAAATAGAAGACGCTTTAAATTCACAGAATAAAGGTAAAAAGGTTGGGGCTACAAACTCTGAAAATTTCATCAAGATTCGTGCAATATTAAGAAAGTTACAATATCTTTTACCTTATTTATTGGACACCCTGTATTTGACAGATCACAATTTAGGCTTATAAGACAATAATTTAAAAAAATAAATGAAAAAAATAAAACCAAAAACTGCCAAAGATACTCATCACTAATTAGATGATACCTGGTAGCAATCACTACAAATGACCACAAAACTGATATGAATTATCCATCATATAATCCATGATTACATGCCAGTATTTGGTGATTTCCTAACATGTTCGACTAATCTTTTGCAATATCCAAATGCAGGGGTCCAGATATCATCCACTTTGTGAAGGAAGGAAGGAACATAGTGGATGATGTCTGAAGCCCTGAGTTTGGAGGATGATGTTCATGGTTTGTGACTTTAAATAATAATTGTCTTCCAGAATCATGCTGCTGACAAAGTGTTTTGAGGCTTGGCGCGGTGTAACTAAGAAACTAGCCCGCACACCTGATCAGGTACAGTGGCTACCATACTTAATGATCCTGTGATACTATAAGTTATTCAATAAATACAGGAAATACATGGATTGTGTCAGAGAAAGTCTGTATTTCACTTGGTATCAACAGGATATATTTCATCACATGAACAAATCAGATTGCTGGAAATTTCACCGTCATTGAAAATCTGGCAGTTTGAAATCATCTACAGCTCTCTTGATAATTATTAATATTGAATCACAGATCCTCGAATGTTGAGTTAAGTATGTCAGATTGTCAGTGTTATGTATATGTATTATTTTTTGGTCAAGGTTATTGTAGATTTTGAATTGGAGATGTATTGTGTATTCAGTTGTTAGCCAAACTCTCATCCTTAATTATTATGTTATCTGTGCACGGTTCAGACCCCAGAGAAAACCCGCTCAAGACTCCACAGACGAGTCAGGACATCAACTGCTTCTCCAGTGTCTACACCCCCCAAAAAGAAATGGACATTAACTCCAGGGATCACCGGTCTGAGAAATCTAGGAAACACATGTTATATGAACTCAATACTTCAACTTCTCAGGTATGTATGGTGTACATGATAAATATGAAAGGATGTGGATAGAAGGTCAGTTTTCAAATCAATTTGTTATTGATGAGGAACAAAAGAGTATGTTTTTTTTTGCTTTGTCGTTGTTTTTGGTTAATTTTCACTGTTGTGTTAAATGTTTAATATGTTTTTACTCCATGCTAAATGGGAAATAAAGATATATATATATATATAAATCAGATTCTCCATCTTTTTCAGAAAAGGAAATTAGTATTTTAAATGAAACATCAGTATGGTTTTGGAAAAGATTGCTTTTAACATTTTACATTATTCTTTCTCTTACTTTAAATTAGCTAATTATTTCTATTCATTCCTTTGTTTCTTTTTTGTGCATCCTATCGTTGCTTATTTATTTGTTTTTAGTAATCTTGCACAGTTCAAAGAGTACTTCCATAACCTCCATGAACATACAGACCCTACAGACAGCAACATGCAGAACCCACAACCTAACAACAAATACATGAGACAGACAACTATAGAGTGCTTTCAGGTAAGACCCCATAACATAACAATATAATATGGATCTCATCAGTTTTTGAAAGATTGAAAAACATAATTGTCACCATGACCATTGTCAGTTTTGTGAACAGCATTCAGTGTTTGTAACAGACTGTTACACCTTTGTAACCATTTGCATTAATTTATGATGTGATGACAATTTCTCATTTTTTTACCTCATATTAGTTAGCACTGGTATTATTTTGTTTTGCGTATGAATTTGTCGCAACAATGTTCAATTTTGTCAAATTCTTTTCATGATTCTGTTTTTCTTCCAGCATGTTACCAGTACATGTACAAACAGGGATAATGTCAAAGGTGGGCTTAATGGTGGGGGATCATCTCAAAGTGCTTCAAATCACCAAAAACCACCCAGCAATTTAAAATCAGGAAATGTGTAAGTATACTTGTAAAGTATCACAAAATTCTCAAATCATATTTTATTGAAGTTCTGCCCATCTTGCCTTCTGACATTTTCAACATCAAAATTCCTGTAAATTAACAGACCATGTATTTATTGTACATTGAAGCCTGTGTACAGTGTAAGTGGACCATCTTCTGGTTCCATTAAAAGGTATTCCACCGGGAAGGTGTTCCACTTACTGATGTCCTTTTAACATAAGTAAATCAATCAGGTAATTGGTAATTGAGTTTCACTATGTGTGTTTCAGGTGATTTACTATACAGGTTTTAATGCATTGTGGCATACTTGTAGAAATATACCTAAAGATACACAATCGATTTAAATTCATAATATTTTTTCTTGTAGGTATTTATGTCAGGAACTCCATGCATTAATCAGAGTCATGTGGTCTGGCAAGTGGGCCATAGTTAGTCCCCATGCTATGTTAAATGCAGTATGGACTGTTATACCTTTCTTCAAGGGCTATGCTCAACAAGATGCACAGGAATTCCTCTGGTAAGTGGATGCCTTAGATAAAGCCAGTTGAATATTTACAAGTATTCAGTGATAGTGAAGTTTCAAACAATTTGATTGGGCTATGTGATGTAAATATACTTAACTGTACATTATTGTGAAGTTTAATGTACATTGTGCATTACTGTACATTGTAGTGAACTACTTGACAAGGTCGATAGTGAGTTGGACAGATGTTATAGGGACCACAGTAAACCTGTACATATACCAACATCTAATATCATTGCACAGACATGACATTATATTGTACTGAACTTTAACATACATTTCTGTACATTGTAGTGAACTACTTGACAAGGTCGATAGTGAGTTAGACAGATGTTATAGGGACCACAGTAAACCCGTACATATACCAACATCTAATATCATTGCACAGACATGACATTATATTGTAGTGAACTTTAACATACATTTCTGTACATTGTAGTGAACTACTTGACAAGGTCGATAGTGAGTTAGACAGATGTTATAGGGACCACAGTAAACCTGTACATATACCAACATCTATTATCATTGCACAGACATGACATTATATTGTAGTGAACTTTAACATACATTTCTGTACATTGTAGTGAACTACTTGACAAGGTCGATAGTGAGTTAGACAGATGTTATAGGGACCACAGTAAACCCGTACATATACCAACATCTAATATCATTGCACAGACATGACATTATATTGTAGTGAACTTTAACATACATTTCTGTACATTGTAGTGAACTACTTGACAAGGTCGATAGTGAGTTAGACAGATGTTATAGGGACCACAGTAAACCTGTACATATACCAACATCTAATATCATTGCACAGACATGACTTTATATTGTAGTGAACTTTAACATACATTTCTGTACATTGTAGTGAACTACTTGACAAGGTCGATAGTGAGTTAGACAGATGTTATAGGGACCACAGTAAACCTGTACATATACCAGCATCAAATATCATTGCACAGACATTCCAAGGGCAGCTAGTTAGTGAAGTAAGTATCACATCCTACTCCCTTGCATCAGTTTCATGCAGTCAAATATACAACACCGAGAAATTCAATTCAGGCAACTTTCAGTACATGGGCCTGTGCAATGTTTTCTGTGGGCTGTGTGCTACACAGTCTTGCTGTCTGTCTGTCCATCTGTCTGTCAACACATTGGTAGCAAATTCGAAATCCTTCACAACAGTTTCAATGGTTTCACTTTTAAAATGTGTCTATATAAAATTCTCAGTTGTTCAATTAGTTGTATCTCAAAAGCTCGCCTTGTTTCAAAATGGCCACCATTTTCATTGCATAAAAATCTTGTTTTGAGCTCCTTTTTGGCCATAATTCCACAAGTATTCTACCAATTTGCTTGAAATTGTAGAGGTACCTCAATTTCTAGAATATCAATAATGTCTACAATTCTACAACGTTCATCAAAATATGTCGCAAAGATTCAAAATGGCTACCATTTTTACTGCAGAAAAATTGGCCTTTGTGATCAACCATGTGAGCCCAGTACCCATGGTACTATTTTTACACATTACTGTTATAGAATTGCATTTGTATTTTTAATAAGGAAAAAGTAAGTAAAGGAACTATACACATGGACTACCTTGGATTCTAAACTACTACCTCTATTTCCTGACATTATTGCTCAAAATACCAATGCTCAGGTTGCCTTCGATTGAACCACCTTAATAAAATTGTAGATTAGTGTTATGACACATGACCTCTTTGATATTAGTTCATTTTAAGAACTTAAAAATTCTGAAGTCCTCTTCATATTTTATTTATTATACTTCTACATGTTCTCTTTTAAATAAGTATGCCAATTTCTGTGCCTTAATACATGCCATCATCTTGCACTACGTTCTCTATCCAGTCAATGTAGGGGCTAACCTTGGTGAATATTTCAGGCTCCTCTCCACATATCCCTAGACCCCTAGAAACAATCCCCATCTGGACATATGTCTCATCCTCCTCGTCATAGCACACCATTGGACTGCCTGAATCACCCTACACGTAACAAAGATAAGTTAGAAATATTTTGACAAAAATACATTACGAAATTAAGGCCAATTTTAAAAAGGTCCAATTTTAGCAATGTCATAGGTGAGAGTTCTGATCCGTAATCCATCCCTGTCCCAAAGGCAAAGTTACCAAATATAAACAATGGATGTGTTTCATTTTGCTTACATTACATGGTCCAATGAGTGTATCGTCTGCATGAACACAGATTTCACTCTCAGCTATTGTTAGTGTAAAGTTAAATGAACTATCCCCTATGGTCCAACTACACTTCTCAGGGTCAACAATAGGGACTCTCATATGTTTTACCACTTCAGATCTGCTGCCATCTGAAGATTAAGAAAATCAGACATTTAGTACTTATGTCAAATATAGATGTACAGACTACTCACTATGAAATAATGTAACTTTAAGAATCTATGTGCACCGTATATCTATTGTCTATGAATATGTTTGAATTTTGATGTTTCTACCAGAAGTGGTGACATTTTGTTATAATCTCCAACTTTTTGTGGATGGCAGTAGGTGTTTGGCAGTTGGTGTTGGCATTTGGAGTCTAACAAATGTAACAAATGGCAGGTGGTGACATTTTGCATGTTGATGCCTTGATTGTATTGGAATTGTAACTGCCCATAGATATACATGTTGTATACATCTCTAAACTATTTCTTTGATATGTTGTAATCTTTTAGTTTCAACCTATCAGGGTTAGCACTTTTTGGCTCATGTGGTAATCGCTCAACCATCCATCAGTCTGTCCATGAACAATTTTCAAAAAATGAAAACTTAATTTGTCTGACCTATACTAATGATCATAATTGATAAAATTGGTCACGATCTTACTTTTGCCTGATTTTGGAGAAATCAACTTTCTGTCCTTAAAATATCTATATGTATTTCATACTTGAGTGGGTTTGGGGTAGATATCACCCGGGAATATATATCATATCTGAGGAGCGGGCAGGATATATTGTATATGTCCCGCTCTAGGCCAAATGCGGGCAGATATAATATATCCATCCCGCTCCCGGGAATTTTTTCAGAAGTTTAGAAATTTAAATTTCAGAAGTTTAAAATTTTTCAAAAAGTTTAAATGTTACAATTCTATTGTATTGAGCTGAAGAAATATTATGAAAATGTTAAATATAAATTGTGCTTTTACAGTATAGGCCCATCTTGTCATTTGAAAAAGGTGGTAAAGGTTATATCCACCTCAAACCCACTCAAGTATGAGATACACCAGTTATGTACAGTCGGTTTTGGATACAGTGTTTATCCCGCGGGAAATATGTGTATCTCCCTCGGTCCCTGCGGTCCCTCGTGAGATACACATATTTCCCTTGGGATAAACCCTGTATCCAAAACCTCCCAGTACATAACCCTTATATATATTTTGAACAATATAAGAATCGTTATTATGGAGAGTGTTTCAAACCAAGATGATTTATGTTGTAATTAATGTTGAGAAGTATCAGTGCAAGTTTCAGTTTCTGTTTTATCGAGAAATTTAAGACACCTTGATATATTTCTTGAATATGTTTCATGCTCGTACCACTTCAAATTTGGGAGTAACAGCAGTACTGGTCAAGTTTGGATTTGTTGCACTTACTATACTCCTTATCCTTCGTTAGGCCCCATCCTGCTAACATACAGTGTCTCCCTGGTTTGATTTTGTTCAGATCTTCCTCATCAGGCAAACATACAACATTGACATTCTCATTATGCACAGCTGCTTCACTTAGCTTCACCAATGCTATGTCAAATGCTGAAATATAAGTTATGGCTTTATATAAAAGTAGTAAAAAGGAGTAAAAAGTAGGAAATGAAATACCTGTTCCATTTATAACCTGAACTGTGACTCAAAATGGTAAGAGTATTCCCTTAACCCCTTATCCTGTGAATTTTCCTTTATGTCCCTTTATTTCTAAAATGCAATAGAACTTAGCCCATGATAATACCTTATACTGAAATCTCTGTGTTACCATATTTTTATCACAAAATCAGTAGTTCTTTGCTTGCTTTTTCATTTCAGTGTTAGTCTTGCAAGATGCAACATTTCATTTACAAACTAGAAATTTATTAAAAAACATACATCCCCACCCTTTCCATTCTGGATGTAGATATATCCTCTCTACTGGGACATCAACATGTGGAACAGTGTCATCTAACATGTTGTGTTCCCCGATTCTCATCATCCAATGTTTAGTGTCCTCACTCAATCTTTCAACACAAGAATATGGTAAAATATGATTTCCTGGTTGTCAAATTTTGTTTATATTTTATGGGCATATGGATCTGTGCTCGAGAAAGAATTTTTAATATGGCCACTCAATTCAAAATGATTTCCATTTTTTTTTAAAATATAATTTTGAAAATTTAAATACCATAATATAAGGAGTGATTAATGATCAAATATATTTTGTTCGGTGAGAATTTTGGATTTCTAGTAATTTTTTGTATCAGCTGGACCTCCAAAACTGATCTAAGCTATGTCATTCCAATGTATCACATTCAGTTCTTTTTTATTGTGACTTAACCATTCATGACTATTATTACTTACATGCAATGAGCTGCAGTGAGTACCCATTGTGGATGTATCAATGAGCCACCACATAAAAATTCAAATGGCCCAGGACTGTTACAATGCTGTTCTAGTCTAGCACAATAAACAGTTGTGTTCAATCTCATGTTCACTAGCCATGGCCATTCACCAAGTTGAGAAACTTCTCCACCTACTATCCGCTTTTGACGATCTTTAGAATTCTTCATGCCACAATGAGGAGGAATAGCTACATGTATTTGAAAAATTTAACTGATTGGGGAAATATACAATAGACGTTTCCGATAAATCGGGGAATCAGGGAAACTATAACTTATTGGCTAGATTGATGATGTCATTGGTTGTAGGTAGCAAACTGCCCATTCAAAAATGGTATTAACTTTTTGCTAATTTTATAAAAGTACAACCTATGACATCATCAATCTAGCCAATATACTGTGGTTTCTCTGATGGATCAAAAGATGGCACGATTTATCGGAAATGTCGATTGGGCAGATTTATTCCTCTGTTACTATCAACATACATAAAACCTCTGTATTATTGGTCACAAAGCAAAAACTTGAAATAACTTTTCATGTAATATCACTTCTTTATTATTTGAAAGTTACTTGTCATTAATACCCTCAAAAATTCTAAAACAAAACATAAGTATTGTCATGTTAAACCAGTAATAAATCTCTTAAATGTCTTACATGAACAGAATCATTACGAAATCCATTAAACTTAAAGCATATAAATCAGTAATAATTAAGCATACGTGATACATGTCGTTTCACCTCCCTTGTTTCCTCACTACTTTCTGTACCCATTTCCTCTGCATGGCCATATGTATATTGATGTATTGCTTGCTCATTGCTATTCTGTTTTGGCTGAAATAAGTAGAGTACAAAAGCATTATCCAAACTTTTACATCTTATACCTAAAGTTCATTTTCATGGCTTGACCATATTCATGTACATGTACTGTATATGCTTTCTATAAGATTAGCAAACTCATTAAATTTTCCACCATTCTAAAAATGTAGATACATGTATGAGCCATGTGGTACCAGTTTAGAGTTGCCTCCTAATTGTATTTTCTCCCTATTTTGGTCAAAATATTGCAATCTTTAAGTGAATAACTCAAATGCCAGTGGACTGATTTTCTTCATCCTTGGTGGAAAAATGAATCATAGATAAGATTAATGGTGATGTTATAAGGATCTCTAATATTCCTACCCGTGCCTTGACTGCAATAATTAGTGTAACCAGGACACACAGAGACACAACTGACTTGATATACATCATCTGGAAAACATATAAGGGGTGTGTAATGGGAGGTTTTGGATATGGGGTTTATCCCGAGGGAGATATGCATATCTCCCGAGGGATAAACCCCATTTCCAAAGCGACCATACATAACTGCTTTATCTTTTCTTATACCCAGTAGAGTTGTCAATTTTTTTCAAAATGTATTTTCTAAATTTTGCAAGTTTTTTTCAATATTTCCAGAAGTGGGAAGATATGCCCAGGAGCAGGAGATATGGAGGTTCTGGATATTGAAACCTCAAAACCAGGATATATCTTACCAACTTATCTCCTTAAAACTCTAACTGAGCAAAGGATAAATGTATTTATCTATACATATTTTACAATACTGCCACTTTCCCCATATTATATAGGCTACTGTATTACAGAAGTTTCAATTTTGTTGTATTTCGAATTGAATCGTTTTGATTTGAGTGTCTATCGTGTCATAATTAAAAGCATATTTTAAGTTAAGTTTTAAAAATCTAGATAAGCACAAAATAGTTTGCAGTTTAGTCATATGAGAGAACATCGGTAGATATGTTTTTGTTCTTATGCCAAGACAGATTGATCGATCATTATTGCATAATATTACGATTTAATACTTACATTTTTAATCTGAAGGTCCTATGCTAGGCTGCTATAGGTGAACAAGTAAACTATCCCATACTTTATTTATATTATCTCTTTGTTTCAAAATGTACATGGGAAATTTCACTATTTTAACAGCAATAAATTGCTTTTGGAGTATTTATTTGATTCAACTGATTAAACGAGACAAGATTATTACATGTAATTTTTTAACCATTATTAAGTACTAATACATTAAATGTTTTGGTGTTTACATGTACATGACACTTTGATAAAATATCAATAACATTTATTCTTATAATAACTTAATTGATGTCATTTGTATGGTACGTTTCATGGGAAATTCTCCTAAAAGATACCATACTAATACACATAGCGATGCACCCTCGACCCACAAAAAAAGAAAAAAGTAAAATTTTATCACCCACTTATCTTGCCACCTGTCTGTCCCTCTGTCCGTTTGTCTGTCCATCTTTGAAATCCTCCATGACAATTGAAATGGTAAAAATGTGTTTATATAAAGTCATGAAAAAGCTCAAAAGCTCACCTTGTTTCAAAGATGGCGGCCATTTTTATTGCGGAAAAATCAGGTTTCAGCTCTTTTTGGTCATAAGTGCCCAAGTATTTCACCAGTTTGCTTGAAATTGTACAATGTCTACAAGTTTCAGAAAAATATGTCACAAAGATTCAAAATGGCTGCCACTTTTAATGTCGAAAAATCAGGTTTTCGGCTCATTTTTGGTCGAGTATTATATCAATTTGATGTAATAAAATATTCTAAGACATACGAACGATTATATGTATTTTGTATTATAGGTTATATGTCAGGCATGTCTGAACACATCTAAGACATATGAACCATTCATGGACCTATAGTCTATATGTATTTTGTATTATAGGTTATATGTCAGGCATGTCTGAACACATGTAAGACATATGAACCATTCATGGACCTATAGTCTATATATATTTTGTATTATAGGTTATATGTCAGGCATGTCTTAACACATCTAAAACATATGAACCATTCATGGACCTATAGTCTATATGTATTTTGTATTATAGGTTATATGTCAGGCATGTCTGAACACATCCAAGACATATGAACCATTCATGGACCTATAGTCTATATGTATTTTGTATTATAGGTTATATGTCAGGCATGTCTGAACACATCCAAGACGTATGAACCATTCATGGACCTATAGTCTATATGTATTTTGTATTATAGGTTATATGTCAGGCATGTCTGAACACATCTAAAACATATGAACCATTCATGGACCTATAGTCTATATATATTTTGTATTATAGGTTATATGTCAGGCATGTCTGAACACATCCAAGACATATGAACCATTCATGGACCTATAGTCTATATGTATTTTGTATTATAGGTTATATGTCAGGCATGTCTGAACACATCCAAGACATATGAACCATTCATGGACCTATAGTCTATATGTATTTTGTATTATAGGTTATATGTCAGGCATGTCTTAACACATCTAAACCATATGAACCATTCATGGACCTATAGTCTATATGTATTTTGTATTATAGGTTATATGTCAGGCATGTCTTAACACATCTAAAACATATGAACCATTCATGGACCTATAGTCTATATGTATTTTGTATTATAGGTTATATGTCAGGCATGTCTGAACACATCTAAACCATATGAACCATTCATGGACCTATAGTCTATATATATTTTGTATTATAGGTTATATGTCAGGCATGTCTGAACACATCCAAGACATATGAACCATTCATGGACCTATAGTCTATATGTATTTTGTATTATAGGTTATATGTCAGGCATGTCTGAACACATGTAAGACATATGAACCATTCATGGACCTATAGTCTGTATGTATTTTGTATTATAGGTTATATGTCAGGCATGTCTGAACACATGTAAGACATATGAACCATTCATGGACCTATAGTCTGTATGTATTTTGTATTATAGGTTATATGTCAGGCATGTCTGAACACATCTAAGACATATGAACCATTCATGGACCTATAGTCTATATGTATTTTGTATTATAGGTTATATGTCAGGCATGTCTGAACACATGTAAGACATATGAACCATTCATGGACCTATAGTCTATATATATTTTGTATTATAGGTTATATGTCAGGCATGTCTTAACACATCTAAAACATATGAACCATTCATGGACCTATAGTCTATATGTATTTTGTATTATAGGTTATATGTCAGGCATGTCTGAACACATCCAAGACATATGAACCATTCATGGACCTATAGTCTATATGTATTTTGTATTATAGGTTATATGTCAGGCATGTCTTAACACATCTAAAACATATGAACCATTCATGGACCTATAGTCTATATATATTTTGTATTATAGGTTATATGTCAGGCATGTCTGAACACATCCAAGACATATGAACCATTCATGGACCTATAGTCTATATGTATTTTGTATTATAGGTTATATGTCAGGCATGTCTTAACACATCTAAAACATATGAACCATTCATGGACCTATAGTCTATATGTATTTTGTATTATAGGTTATATGTCAGGCATGTCTGAACACATCTAAGACATATGAACCATTCATGGACCTATAGTCTATATGTATTTTGTATTATAGGTTATATGTCAGGCATGTCTGAACACATCCAAGACATATGAACCATTCATGGACCTATAGTCTATATGTATTTTGTATTACAGGTCATATGTCAGGCATGTCTGAACACATCTAAGACATATGAACCATTCATGGACCTATAGTCTATATGTATTTTGTATTATAGGTCATATGTCAGGCATGTCTGAACACATCTAAGACATATGAACCATTCATGGACCTGTCATTAGAGTTCCCAGATAGATACCATCAAACAGAGAAGAAATATAAGGAAGAGGAAACTATGGAGCCATGTCACCTTACAGGTAAATACACAAAAGTTCAATAATGTGGGGAGGCCATTGAAGAATTTATTTTGCTTGCAATGGGAGAATCTGTACTGTATTGGATGATGTAGGCACTCACATCCTTACAACTGCCCACCCACTTCATAAATAACAAGTAACATGGAGGAATGACCAATGTTTCAAGAAATTGTGAGAAAGGAGATTGAAAAAATCAAGAGGATTATATTATAGTATACTTACCTCATTACTTACCTAAATTATATATCTGCTTAGTTAGACTCATTAGCCTTATGCAGATTATTGACATAGACATTACACATTGATTATCAATTATAATTCTCTTGCACTATGCCAATTTTTCTCTCTTAAGCTTCCCCTTACCACATTATATTTGATAAATTCTCTCCTTCAGAAATGTTGTCCAAGTTCACTGAGACTGAAACTCTAGATGGGGAGATCTATGCCTGTGAGAAATGCAACAATAAACGTAGAAAGACTAGCTCAACTTCAGATACTATCACTCTCTCTCATGCCAACAAACAACTCAGGATCAACAAACTACCTAAAGTACTCAGGTTACATCTTAAAAGATTCAGGTAAGAAAATGTTGCATTCTTGGAGTTTTCAAGATTTAGAGAACTGTCCCTTATGGGATTTTTTCAGTTGAAAGCACACTGGATTTGGAACTTTTTTTAAGTTATTTCACAGAATCAATTTTTACAGAAGTTGCCCTTAGGCTCAAAGAGCATTAATTAATAGCCAAGAGCATGTCAACGCCACAAGTGGTGACATATTGTTCTAGTTTCCAACTTTTTTTGTAAACGGTGTTTGGCAGCTCGCCCTTTGAGTTTTGCGTCTGTAACAACTGGCAGGTGGTGACTTTTTGTATGTTAATCCTTTGTTATGCAGTATATGAATGTTAAACCAATTACTTTGAGAATTAACTATAAATATAACATATATTGTTACAGGTGGTTGGGTAGGAACAACAGAGAAAAGATCAATATCCATGTTAACTTTGAAGAGTTGTTAGATATGACTCCTTACTGTCACCCAGACCAGCCCAATGACAGCTACCTCTATCAATTATCATCTGTCATCATGCACCACGGACGAGGCTTTGGTTCTGGACATTATACTGCTTATGTCTTCAATGAAGAAACAGGTATGTCGAACTCTATCAATTATCATCTGTCATTATGCACCACGGACGAGGCTTTGGTTCTGGACATTATACTGCTTATGTCTTCAATGAAGAAACAGGTATGTCGAACTCTATCAATTATCATCTGTCATTATGCACCACGGACGAGGCTTTGGCTCTGGACATTATACTGCTTATGTCTTCAATGAAGAAACAGGTATGTCGAACTCTATCAATTATCATATGTCATTATGCACCACGGACGAGGCTTTGGCTCTGGACATTATACTGCTTATGTCTTCAATGAAGAAACGGGTATGTCGAACTCTATCAATTATCATCTGTCATTATGCACCACGGACGAGGCTTTGGCTCTGGACATTATACTGCTTATGTCTTCAATGAAGAAACAGGTATGTCGAACTCTATCAATTATCATATGTCATTATGCACCACGGACGAGGCTTTGGCTCTGGACATTATACTGCTTATGTCTTCAATGAAGAAACAGGTATGTCGAACTCTATCAATTATCATATGTCATTATGCACCACTGACGAGGCTTTGGCTCTGGACATTATACTGCTTATGTCTTCAATGAAGAAACAGGTAAAAAGTAGAAAGCTGTCAGTCAGTCGAGGTTTTAGGCTATGTTTTTCAATTTTAGCAGTCATAAAGTACATTTATTTGAGGAGTAATATATTACTTCTGTTCAGAAAAAGACCCTTTGCATTGTAAAAAGTGCTCTTTTTGAGAATTTATTTAACACTGTTCTATAATTCTCTCTATTTAATGATATGTGATGCTAACCTGTGCGCCTGATATCCTGGTGTATACACAGCATGAGTAAGACAACTGAACACTCTTGTCATTTCAGAATCATTTTACCACTGTAATGATGCCAACCTGTGCCCCTGTCCCCTGCCAGATGTACTTAAGGCCCAGGGATATATCCTGGTATATACACAGCTGCAACAACCAGATACTGAACTGTCATTTCCTTATACAGACATCATCGAAGAAGTAGATAAGGAGGTGTCTTTCAACTTTAAAAATAGCGATGCATCCCTTGTATTGCGTAAAAGGCGAGAACTTTGCGATGGAAATGCTGAATCTCTCAAAGTATCAAAGCGACGTCGGACTTGTACTTGGTGATGATTGAGATTTAATGTCAGATTCACAGTTATATATTTGATCAGATATCTCACTTCTTATATCAGGAACTAATATTATGATAGCAAGGAGGGGATTTGCATGATCTTTGAAAAGATTGCTTCAAGCATTTCTTAGCGTGGATGAAAAGTGAGACCTGTATATGTAGGTGTATTTAACTCTAGTCAACTTATAAAGTATATTGAAGACCAGAACACAGAACGTAGATTTTCAAAGGAACCAGGATGATGACTTACTCCTGATGTAGGCTCAAGTTCAACAGCCGAATATCTAAATCAATTATTTCGTGTAAAATGGCTCATGTAAATGATTTATATACATTAATTACATGTATTTATAACATCAAGTATGTTCGATGAACAATAAATTGCTGTGTGAGTAATGGATTGTTTTAGTGACAAAGTTTTAGAGCTCACTTTAACAATTGGTTTACTGTGCTGGTACATAGGCACATTAGAGAGGTTTTTCCACAAAGTTTGAACCCAACATATCTAAAATCTGTAAAGCATTCAGCAGATTTATGCATAGTAGTTCAATTAAAACAAGATATGGTTACGGGTGCATTTAAGCTATATCCTGTTGTGCGAAACCTCTATTATATCCTAACTCTGTCCATCCTTTTTGCCAAATATTTATTAGAAGAGATATGCATGATTTTATGTTTAACCCTTTCACGACGATACGTTACGACGACGATACCCTTTCACGACGAGCCCTATTATGTACATGTAATACCTTTCAGGACGATAGGCTCCTTTTGGCACCATTATCTCTATTCATATACTTAAGTGAAATGACAATATCTCAAGTTCTATTCAGTATTTTTACACCAAATTTTGACAAGTTGTTCTAGTGTGATAATTATATTTTATTGATAAATTCAAGGTATGGGTGTCGGGATATAGGTAAATTGCAGTTTTTCCCTAAAAACCACTCTTACTTATCCGTCATCAGGCCAACATTTTCTTCTTTTATTCACGTCGGCGGGAAAGGGTTAATATATTTTAGTTGATGGAGCAGGCAATAAAAGGTGTTCAGCTTTTCACCATAAACTGTGTTACTAAATCCTTAGATTGTTCTTCCATCTATACACAGGAATTTGTATTGCCAAATATCTGCTCATGGAAAATAGTGAGTCCAAACTGTATTTATTCTCTCTCGGAGAGCAATGGTCAATTTACAGATTGCCACTGTTCTTTTGGGTGGGCTACTGGAGATGTCAGCTGTTGATACAAGTTCCTGTGCATCCTTAAATTCTTCTTCCAATCAAATATAATCTTTGCACAGCTTCTGCTTATGCAGTTGTTCTGTTGTCTCATTCAACACATTATCATAAAATTTACATGTTTAAATGTGCAAATGAACCACATGGTGATTACTGGAAGCTGATTTCTAGAAAATTTGCAAATGTAAGGTGACTGTATCAGATGTCTATATTGTATATTTTTGTAAGATAATATTAATTTAAGTACAAGGGCCGATCAAAAAGTTTCTTACCGTTGGCTCTCAATTTTATAAAAAATGGAGTTGGAAGCTCAAACTTTGACATGAGACAGGATAGTTAGTTTGCTTGAAACTGTACGAGTTTCATATAAATTGGTTTATTGGTAGTGACACAGAGTCAAATCATATTTTCAATGTCAGAGTTAGGTTGAGCAGGGTTATATATAAAATATCTGCTGAGTTGTGGTTCTGGAAATTTACCGACATTGTTTAAAACCTCTCATACGAAGGCCTTAAACACCTAATTCAATCATTGGAAATATGCATTGACTCTGAGTCACTGCCAATGAACCAATTTAAATGAAACTCACACAGTCTCAAGCAAACTTACTACCCTGTCTCATGTAAAAGTTTGAGCATCCAACTCCTCTTATTATAAAATCTAGAACCAACGGTAAGAAACTTTTTGATCGGCCTTTGTATATGCTTGAAAAGAATATATTCATTTTTGATGCATTTTCTTCATTGTTCACCTGCTCTGGGTGTGACGTGTTTGAGTTATTATAGCAATAACATGTTCAAATCGCAGATAAGTCACCTTACTTCTGAATCACCCAGTGTACATGTATATCAGAATGCGTGTGTATAGGTTGTATGTATTGTCCCATGGTGATAATAGTCCCCCGGGCCCCCATCTACATGGCCCTGATTGAGTATTAAAATTTTGAATAGATGGTTATTAAGCCATTGTAAATGTTTTAGGGATGATTTAAGCAGTGAACTAAATCTATACATCTTTAAGAGTAAGACCTGTCATTGAATTCCAATAACTGGCTCTTGAAAAGCTGAATTTTGTAAATTAAATAATGTACAAATTGTAACATAATCACCAGTGAGTGCATGATTTGTTTATAATAGCATGTAAAGAAATATAGAAATTATTTTTTCAAATAGAAGACTGTGTGTAGTGAAATATATTGTTTTGTTCAGTTTTATAAATAGTTTATTATGGCCAGGTTGAACTTGCACTATTGAATGACAATGGAATCTTGCAAATGTTATCCAATTATTCACTGATCTCTCGAGTGGACTTCTTTAAGAACCCATGAATTTGGCAAGTACCTGCATTGTTGAGTCAGTTACAGCTGTTAAGCCAATAGCTGCAATTTTTGAGTCAGTGGCTGCATTGATGAGTCAATGACAAGTCTTTAAACAATAGCTGAAATTTATGACCGATGAGTCAATGGCAACTGTTAAGCTAATAGTTGCAATTAATGAGCCAATAGCTGCATTGATGAGCCATATGACAACTCTTGAGCCAATAGCTACAATTTATGAGTCAATATCTGCATCGATGAGTCAATGACAACTCTCAAGTCAATAGCTGCAATTTATGAGCCAATAGTTGCATTGATAATCAATGACAACTCTTAAGCCAATAGCTACAAATTATGAGTCAATAGCTGCATTGATAAGTCATGACAACTCTTAAAACAATAGCTGCAATTTATGACTCAATATCTGCATTGATGAGTACAGTCAATGACAACTCTTAAAACAATAGCTGCAATTTATGACTCAATATCTGCATTGATGAGTACAGTCAATGACAACTCTCAAGCTAATAGCTGCAATTTATGAGTCAATAGCTGCATTGATGAGTCAATGAAAATACCCCTTTTTAGCCGTGACAAGATCCGATATTTCGTGACACATATGAGGCGGCCATTATGTTGTGAAGCCGGAAGTTGATAGTTTTGAAAAAACATTGCTGGAAGATTTAGATATTTCAAGACGAATTTACAAATAAGATCAATAAATAGAGCCTCTTAAGTTAAAGCAACCACTAAGCTCTACAGCAAATATAGTGTAGTCTTAATTCGGTCAAGGAAAAACTCTCAATTAGGCCAATGAAAAATGTGAAAAAATTATTTTTTGTTTTCCAATTATTTTGTTCATTGTCCAATCTGACAATCAGTTATCTCATATTTGACAATCAGTGACTTGATAAAACATGAAACAATAGACAATCGAAAGGACTATATGCTTGCATGAATATGAATGCAATCTTGGACTGAAATAGCCATCTTGGTGTAGTTCTGCATTTTGATCTTGTCAAATAGACTAAAGTGCACTGTTTGATTCATTTTTAGTGCAGCTGTACTTGCTGTATTTATGGTAATGCTGAAACATGGAGACCGTGTGCCAGGAAGAGGTTCCATGCTTCGTGTTGGGACATTGGTTGGTCAGGGAAGATGTTGCGAGGTTTACAGAGTGAAGCAAGATGACGTAAAAGAAGAGGTAAGATATCATATTAATATTTATTTCAAGTCAGATATTTTTTGTGCAATAAACATCAGCGCAAGCGCTGTTGACCGACATACGACATACTGTAACCGACATTTCAATTTACTAAATAATGATATCATAGGTGTAGCCATAGGCGTAGCAAACAAAATAAGAAAGAGACAGTGACTCTATACCAAACTCATGAGACAGTGACTCTTCTACAACTTAATACTGGATTTAACTATATTTTTACTACCGTCATAATAGTGAAATAATATGTTCTTAGCGCTCTCTCTCCAACTTAGTAAAGTATAAGTGAAAAGCATAAGTGATAAATAGTACCCGGTGAATTATTGAGTAACCAGTGTCCAAAGGCAGCATTATAGTGCCAATAGTGTCACACGGACACTTAAAAGGATCAACTTGACCTTATAAAGGTTTAAAATCTGCCCAAATAAATAATTGGCTCTCAATTCAAATTTTCTTTGTTTTCAGTTTGCATTGAAGATTTACAAGAAAGAGAGTAATTATGCTGCTGCTTGTAGAAGAGAAACCAGTCTTCTTGAGATGTTGAAGGCGCGTGGTAACATAGGGGGACATTTAGGTATGTCAAAATTTGGTAACATAGGGAGACATTTAGGACTTTAGGTATGTCAAAATGTGGTAATATAGGGAGGCATTCAGGTGTGTCAAATTGTGGTAACATAGGGGGCTGTCAAAACATGGTAACATAGGGGAGCATTAGGAATGTCAAAATGTGGTAACTTAAGGGGGCATTTAGGAATGTCAAAACAAATGCAGGGGGGCATGTTAGTATGCAAAACATGGTAACATAGGGGGGCATTTAGGTATGCTGAAACGTGGTAACATAGGGAGGCATTTAGGTATGTCACAACTAAAAAATGCATTGCATAATTATCATGGACAAGATGTCATTTCAATATCCATATGTTAGACAAAATGTCAGTCAGTCAAAATGATAATTTCAGTCATGTACAAATAAAAAGATTTGCATGCATTCACATCAAGTAAACTGTGAAAATGCGGTAAAAAAAAGAATATGTATATTACCACCCATGCTGCACCCCCCTCATAAATTAAATTATATCCAATGTCGTTTTTAGTGGAGACTCTAGACCAGTTTCAGTACAAGGGACATGAGATGATCTTACAAGAGCTACTAGACTGTACCTTGAGGGAACTCATGCTGAAAGTCCAAGCTTTAGACTCAACATTCTCTTTCTTCCTTCTACAAAAGTTCACTCAGGATATATTAGTGTGAGTAACTGAGTATCCTCTTAACATAACATTTCCTTAAAATCCCACCAATTTACGTTGTTATTCTCCACTTGTCTAATTTGATAACCATGCCCAGTTTTATGGTCTTTGTGTGACAAAGGTTTGACCAAGCATACAACTGAAAGATTGAGAATGATTTAAAAAATATTATTCTAGGATTTATTTCTACCAATGACTTTGGACAAACATACACTAATACAGGTAGGAATAGAATACTAAGGCGAAGAAAAGGAAAATTAAATCAAAATAAATATGGAACTACAAAAAAGTCAAACTATTTATTGATCACCCCTCAAACTAATATGGCCCTACAGCAAGATGACACCCAATGTGATTTACATTTTCTCTTCTGTATCTATTCCCTTATCCATCTACATGAATTTACCTTGTCTACAATATCTAAGTTAAAGGGGCAACAAGGACTGTAGAGAGAAAATTCGAAAATTTTTATTTTTTCTGAGCTATCAGGTCAACATTTGGCTTAACTTATAAACCACCTGCCTTCCATCCAGTCAGCATTTTCCTTCATCTTTCATTCTTTCATTTCTAGGTCCCTTTCTGGCCTACATCTAGATGGGTTCATCCATGCTGACCTGAAGCCAGCTAATATACAATGGAGTCCCAAAGACAGCTGTCTTAAACTTATAGACTTTGGCCTTAGTTTCCACAAAGCTGACCAGGTAAGGCTCAAGCAAATTAGTAGGTCAATTTGATGTACAGTAAAATTGTGAAGTTATTTAAGATTCGAAGAACAAAAATGTGTAAACTCTCCTAGATAATACAGATTAGATGTACAATAGACAATGAATAGAAAAATAAACAAATAATATAAAAAATCTTAAGTTTTCCTTGTATGAATTTAGGAGATTTTTGAGATTTTTGGAAAATACATTTTACAGTGAATATGAGCCTCAATGTTCAAAAGTTGTAACATTTTAGAGTAATATTTCTAAAGATTGTGTCATAGATCTGATTCTGCCTTTAGATGGATAAGTTCAAAGCAATATTAGTCTGATAATACATAATTTTCCAATTTTATTACAATAGAACATTGGGACAGTGCAATCACCAGCTTACCAATCACCAGAGTCTAAATTCTGGAATGAAGTCCATCCTGAGACAACGAACTGCAATACTGCAATCGATATGTGGGGTATGGGGTGTGTCATGGCCGAGATGTACTCGTCAGAGAAGCTATTTCCCCACTCTGCTGCTATATCAAGCAATAAATGTGATGCCTGCCAAGTAAGAAGATCATTTATCCTCCCCAATTTTATGTTGAAGAAATTATGAAAATTAGTTCAAAAAATAAGTAAAAACTAATCTATACGTGCATGGTAGTGGTTAAAGGACCCATATAAAGTTTAGACCCATATAAAGTTTAAACCACTTGGCTTTTATTATGTTAACAAAAACGTGCTATGTCAACTTTTCAATTTGATTTCAAAAAGTTGATTTTGAAGGACGTTTTGTTCAAAATATTGTGAAATTATTTGAAATAAAATTTTAGTTTTAGTCACACACTTCATTGTTAAGTAATAATTTACGCCAATGCATAACATAAATCCTAACCTTTTTTGTCTAAAGAAAATTGGAAGAAAATAAGCAAAAAATAACTAATGCACACAGAAAAAGGGTTCAGAGAGAAAAGCATTTTAAAATTGTTGTAATCATTGAATCTAATGGTTATTGTAGGCAGGAGGTAGCCAGGCTTTGTGCATGTATTCCAAGAAAGTCCAAGAAGATCTTCTACCAAGGGCAACATTTGATAATACAACAAGGAGTCATTTCTTGCAGTACAAAGACTTACTGCTGAAGTAAGAACTTTCAATAAATCATCATTTCAATGGGCCTCAAAATAAGAAAAGCAAAATTGAATAGTCAAAACAATCTATGATAATTTCACAGTCCAAAAATTTTGAAATTCTATTTTTTCTGTAATAGCTATCTTCACCCATGTTATGATGAATCAGTAAAGTAAATGGGAATATGGCACTTCACCTCTGAGGCAAATATCTATGTATATCTATAGGCTAGGCAAGTCATTTGTGTTGAAAGATATTTTCTGTACTGTATAAAGTTGTACATTGTCTTTGTATTGCAGGTTTATCCACTGTGACGCAGAGAAGAGGACAGAGGCCCACAGTGCTTTAAATCACCCCTTCTTCTCTCTGAAACTAGGTGAGGTATTTTAAAGGCAATGCCAAAGAGATGAAAAAACGGTTATTTATTTTGACCTTCAATATGATTTCTTGATTTAACACCTTTAGACTACTTGTCTGATTTCTAATTATGTTTGGTTCTGTTTTTATGACACCACCAAAAGTGGTAGCATATCTATTAACAAAGTTGTTGATTTTCTTTCTCAGAAACTTAAGAAAATCAACAACTTTGTTAATAGTACATTACTACCAGATAGATGAACATTCATGGTAGCATATCGTTATGTCCCCAACGTATTTTGAGTTTGGCCATTGGTGTTCGGTTGTTGGTATTTGGCAGTTGGTGTTTGGTGTCTGTAACATCATTCATCAGTGTTTGGCATTCAGTGTCTGTAGCAATTGGCTGGTGGTGACATTTTGCATGTTAATGGCTTGTCTAGATATGCATGATGTTCATAGAATCTGTTGAATGCTCAAAATACATGTTTACTTGGAGGATGAAATGAATGTTTTCATTTTCTCACTTCTGGTTCTTTTATTGATTTCAGTGGCTGTTTTATTCAAACACAGTGTAAATTATGTATGAGAGAAGAAATAATATTTTAAATTTTGAATGATATGTCCATTATGTTTAAAACAAATCATCGCCTTTGTACAGATGTCCTTATTGCCTGGGGCCCTCAATATTATTACATGTTTGATTTGCGCTCCCGGGCCCTCCCTTTAGCTACTATATAATTATTGTACTATTTGTAGAGCCATCCTTTCATGATCTGATCCTGCTTCCCACCTGCATTCTACGTCTCCTGAATGCTGTAGATGAAAAGGATGTGCAACTGGCTGATGAATTTCTAGGTGAATATGAGCTGGGTTGCATAATTATAATGCATAATAGTATGAGGGTTGTTACAATGGGAACATATGAATAAATGATTAATTGTGAAGGAAATATATACTCCTGTATATCTCCTGAGGGACCACATCATATAACCGATTAATCCCACTTCTGAAATCATAACATTAGTTATCAAAAAGATTTCAATAATAATTGAAAATAATCTGTTTTCTGCCCATGGCAAATATCTAATTAATTGTTTTAATGATATCTCTTGAAAGAAAACTACAGATAATCACTGAGAATCTTTGAAAGGAACCCTATGAAGAAAAACAAAACTCTTTGGCTTGTGATCAATGAGACTTTTATTAAAAAAATGTAAAATAGGTGCTTAATAATGTTTATGTAGATTTGAGTGCAGATATAAGGCAAGAGTGCTCCAGGTTTGGCCCAATCCACCAGTTCATCATTCCAGACAGACATCCAGGCCTAGGCAAGGTAAGTTTGAATCCCTATATGCCTGTTTATTCTTCCAGATAGACACTGAAGCCTCTAGTTGATAATCGTGGCCAATCCCCATCCTCAATATTCCAGTTTATTCTTCCAGATAGACACTCGGACTCAGATTCTCAGACTTAGGGTACCTTTTTCTGTACCGTTTTGCAGTTATTTTACTCTATAGCATTGGAATCTGTTCACATCATGAGCTACATAATTAATTAACTTAAATATATGACACGTAAAAACGGCTTGATACGAACAGAATCAACAGGAAAATGTAATTTAAGCAGCGATTGTTTTTTCTGTTAATGTGTGTCACTCTGCTTCGAAAATCCCCCATAACAGTCTATGGCTCACATGATTATGCAAATGAGAAAACCCCATTGGTTTCAAAGTGGTACAATCAAATCTGACGCGGACAATCTTCGTTTTTACTGTTGTTTCTGAATGGTTCGTGACCGAAATTCACTTACTGTAACTATAGAAAATATGCTACGTTATAAGGATAGATTGTTTTTACTTACCAATCATCAACATGTGCTGACATATTCAGCTCTGAAGTTTATGTCCAAAGGGGAGAAGACACATCGTCAGAATAAATTTCAAGTTCTCACACCCCTATCATGTTTATTGGCTAATTCAAATCGAATGCGGTAAAAAAAAAGAACGCCAAATTGCTAACGTTCCGGTATTACGTTCGCCCTTGAGTAAACTGGTGTCAAGATCTGTCATGTCAAGGCTATGGGCATGCTGGGTAATTTACTCTGTGGCCATTTTGAATTTTTCAATAAAAAATTGCAATATTTATCACTGTGTCTTTTTTCAATTATCAAATTAACAACCCATGAGGGAATCCTTGAAATTTTTTTACATTATTTCGAGACCATCTTGTACTCTATGTATACATTATTTTAAGACCACCTTGTACTCGCTGTATACAATATTTAGAGACCACCTTGTACTCTATTGTATGAAATGTCCATTCCAGGTGTATATTCACTACAAGCTGGCAAAGCAGTGTGCCCAAGCATTCCAGAGTCTAAATGGTAGGACATTTAATGGACATACAATCATAACTACATACTATCCTCACCATCTAATGGAGATGGGGCAGTTCTATTGAGTTTAATAATACATACTACTGATACAATCATGGGGCACCCAAAACAGAAACCAACAAGGTGATAACAAACATTTCAAACAATAGCCCAAGGCTAATAATCATTCATTAGTAACAGAGTCATTTTGTTTCTTTTCACTTTATATGGGGCATGAATAACATGAATTGACAAAGAGGGTGCCCATCTGTGAACAAAAATTATAAATTCTTATGAAATAATCCTGGACTTCCCTGAATGGGTCTAGGATATTATTACAATTTTTAAATGTAAGGAAATGGACTTAGGGTTACCCCAGTTGGGAGACCTGGGGAGTTAACAGACATGTTCAATACAAAGAGAAACAGCATGGCTTCCATTTAATTGTGCAGCCATCATAAAACAATCATATGTATAAAAAACTTCCTAGTAATCCCTCAGGCAAAGGTATCACTTCCATATTACTCGTACATTCAGAAATGCATCTCTTGAAAAATGAACTTTCAAAGATGCATCTCTTCAAGAATGAACATTGATCATTAGAGTTTATAAGCCACAAGATCTCAATATTGAAATATCACTTGAAAATTGTAATGAAACAGTATTGGACTAAATGCAATAGAACAAGGGGTCGATGTCCAAATGTTAGTAGTTTTGAATTAAATTTCATTAAGAGAGGGGGTAAATGACAATTTATGGATGAAGAATGATTTATTATCCCATCGAACGAAGTTCGGAGGGATATAGGGAACGCCTCCGTCCGTCCGTCCGTCCGGGCAATAACTCAAATACCGTTGGCCTGATTTTGTTCATATTTTGTACACATATACCCTATGGGGGTAGAAGTTCTGCTCGAAAGCCAATTTTCAAAATGGCCGCTCATTTCAAAATGGCGGCCATTTTAGTGCCGATTTTACAGTAATTTAGGTGTAATAAGTAAAACTGTAATAGCAATATGTTTTAAATGTAAAAAAATTATAAAGGACATTAATAATGCTACAAATGTAGATATTAAAGAAGCACATGGCAGCCATCTTGAAAAATGGCGGCCTTTACTCATCATTTTACGATTTTTGCTGTAACTCAAAAAATAGTGGAGCGATTTTGTTCATATTTGGTATGTGAATACTATAACTATAAGCATTACACACTGTCTAAAGACACTTTTGGTAGAAGACGGCCATTTTGAAAAAAATTTGAAAAATGGCCGCCATTTTAACGTATTTTACTATAACTCGAAAAGTCGTGGAACGATTTTGTTCATATTTGGTATGTGAATACTATAAGCATGGCACACTGTCCTACGACACGTTTTGTAGAAGGCGGCCATTTTGAAAAAAATTTTGAAAAATGGCCGCCATTTTAACATATTTTACTATAACTCGAAAAGTAGTGGAGCGATTTTGTTCATATTTGGTATGTGAATACTATAAGCATGGCACACTGTCCTATGACACTTTTGGTAGAAGGCAGCCATTTTGAAAAAAATTTTGAAAAATGGCCGCCATTTTAACATATTTTACTATAACTCGAAAAGTAGTGGAGCGATTTTGTTCATATTTGGTATGTGAATACTATAAGCATGGCACACTGTCTATTTCTAATGACACTTGGTAGAAGGTGGCCATTTTGAAAAATGGCCGCCTTTTTAACATATTTTACTATAACTCGAAAAGTAGTGGAGCGATTTTGTTTATATTTGATATGTGAATACTTTAAGCATGGCACATTGTCTAATAAAACTTTGGGGAGTAGTCGGCCATTTTGAAAAATGGCCACCATTTTTATGTGTGTTATTTTACAAGTATGTGTACGATTTTTCAAACATTTTAAAGGTGGCTACTTAAAAGCATATTATTTCTTCTGATGACAACTTGGCTAGTGAGCAGCCATTTTGAAAATGGTGGCCTTTCTGGTGTGTTGTTTTATGATATTTGCTATTCATTTGTAAAAATGCCAGCCATTTCTGTTCGATGGGATTCGCTACGCTTTGGCGTTGCCGTTGTTCTGGTTTTAATCCATAAAAAGGCGAATCCATATTTTCAAATTTCATCATGGGGAGTGGAAGGTTTATATAATTATGAAATTAACTTTCCAACAACTATCAACATTTAGATATCATCCCTTATAAAAACCAAGGGAAACCTGAAGCCTCTAATGCCGAATACTTAATTTACCAATGTTGCATTTCATTTGTCATGGCAATGAAATGTCACTGTTGCAGTTAAAAGGTGCAATATTTTATTTTTTATTTATTTGACAGACCTTATATTTGATTCGGCAGCACACTGCAGTAGATGTGTTACAGTGTCAAAAATGTTTCCATTGGCTTGCCTCCTGTCCACAGTGATTACATCATGTAACATACAAATAAGTTCCCCCTCAAGTTTAAGTAGCATAAAGCGTATGTTCTACGCGTAGGCATATATTTCTTTAAAGGCCCCATGTAAAGTTTCAACCACTTTGGCTTATATTGTAGTCTAACCCAATGTTATCAAAGTGTGATATGTGAAACTTTTTTTTTTAATTTCAAAAAGTGGTTTTTGATAGACTTTTTGTTCCAAAATTTGTGAATTTATTTAAAACCAATTTTTAGAGGTCACTCATATCTTCTAATTAGCCACAATTCATACCAATGCATAGCATTCATCCTCCCATGTTTTTTGCCGAAAAAATTAAGAAAATCGGTTGATAAACAAGCGAGAAATGAACTTATCAGTGCATGAAAATGGTTCTGAGAAAAATGCATTTCAAAATTTTAGTTCTCATAGAAACCAATGGTACAATGATATCTAAAACATAATTTATTCTTCCTTTTAACCAGGTTAGACAATCAACATTGTTTTTTTATGAAAGTCTAGCATATTTAGAAAAGATTGACATCGAAAAAAAAATTTCAATATTTTTCAAAAAGTTTTTGGTACCTTAGTGACATCACTAATGTTTCAAAATATTTTTGATATGCTAAAACATTGAAGTGGCCCATTAAATATGGCATTTTGTTATTGAAATAGGGTGTCATTTGTTCAATCTTTGCATTGGTGTTAAAAAGATAATCTTTTTTGAAATGCATTAAGAAATATTTGATGATAAAGAAATTTCAACTTTTTTTGAAAAATGGCGGGAAATTTGAATATTTGAGAAATGAAATGCTCACAACTTTTTTTTCAAAATTTTTTTTTTGTTCAAAAATCTCTAAAATCACTTTTTAAGTCCTGACAAATAGTAAATGAATGATAAAAAAAAAATTTCAAACTTAAGACGGGGACTTTAAGACTAAGAAAGAGGGGAGACATTTTTACCAGTTTCTATCAAATTATTACCATGTTTGCACAAAAATGTAAAAAAAATGTTTTATTTTTTTGCCTTGTCCTATATAGACAATCATCGTTGAATTGTAAATTAACTTGTAGCGTGAATTGAGTTTTATTTTGAATGTAGCTGTCGTCAATGCAGCTGTTGTATTAATTTAAGCTGTGGTGTAACAACTTAAGCGTGGATTAAAGTGTAATGTGAATTGAGCTGCTTTGTGAATTCGAACATGACTCGCGTCTTCTATAAACTATGAACAAAGTCAACATTTCACCTGGGGTATATTCGCGAACAATACCCATGGTAAAACGAAGTGGTTATAGCCCTGTATTATGTACTGGGTTGTAATTTGTGTTGAACTGTATTATGAAATGAGCTGTTTTGTGAATTGAGCTGTTTTGTGAATTGAACTGTATTATGAATTGAACTGAACATGTATTATGAATTGAGCTGTTTTGTGAATTGAGCTGTAGTGTTAATCTTGATTAATATTATTGAATAACACTGCTTGAGTATTACTGTTGAGTATATGTAGTATTGTCATAGTGAATATTTTAAGTAATGGGAATGCTCCAATTATGAAGTTTTGATTTGTACTATTAACTATAATGTTTTGTATTGTCAATGTTGAACTATGTTTAAGGGAATATTTGTGTATAATTTGTAAAAATTGCAATTGAATAGTTTTAATAGATTTGTAACATATAATAGGTTTTGGGCTGAAATAAGGATGGCATGAGTGATAGAATCCTATTAACCAGATTGAGTGAGCTGCCATCTTTTTTTAAAATTATTTTTATCGCTATGATTTGTAATATTGTAGCCTTGTTTTACAAGTGCAATACCTGTATAATTCAAAGGCCCAATAAAGTTATACTGGTATGTAATAAAACTGGGTTACAATAAATGTGTACATGAAATAACAATTGGATTATGTAAATTTAAATCTGAAGAAGTGATTTTCGGGATCTGACATTTTTCCCGAAAAATAGTTTTGACATTTTGAGCATTGATAATACAGGGGAATCCTGTAACTGGCACATGTTTATGTATACAACATGCATTGATTTTTACCTTTGAAAGATAAGAAATATTCTGTTGCTCTTGTTTTACAAAAAAACTCTGGTCTAGGATAAAAATTGTAGATCGCTCAAGGTCTAAAGATCAACATTTTAAGTGACTCCAGATCTAAAATTATAAAAAGCTGAGATCCATGTAGATTTTGAATATTGATGATGCATAGCTTAGATTCTCCAAGATGTAAGATCTAAGACAGGAAAAGTTGAATCAGGATGCTATCAGAGGTATTTTCCGCAGCTTGTGTAAGGTTGTCCTAAGTTGACTGAAAGGTGGCAGCAGTGGTCTGTCTATAAATGTACATGTAGGTCCATACCTATACTAGCAAAAAAGACAAATATTTTATTTGAAACAGGGTACTTAACTGTAATTAGAATGTATAGCACATTTTATCACTTTAATTGTGTTGCATCAAGTCACATTATTGGAGATGGAATATGTTAATAAAATAATTTCATTTGAAATGTTCAAAATTAAAAATGAATATTTTCAAATGAATATAATGGCCAAAATGCATAAGACTATCATTTTGAAAAATTGACTTACACACCATATAATATGTTTAAAACTTTCTATAGTACTATGTAAACTGAATCTTGTTACTTATAATATTTATAGATGATATCTGATTGGTTCACATAATTTTGGCCTAAGTGACACCTTGTTTGGTTTTATGTTTATGATGTAGATAAACAATAAACTTCATACTTCTCTGTATAATTGTGAACTGTTACTTGAGTATTTTATGAGAGCCCTTACCCTACATCATCTTGGTTTCTTCTTAAAAGGTGTTTCAAATTACTGCTCATTGATAAAATGTAAAATAAAAAATATTTTTAGAAATAGTATTTATTGTTAATGTCTGACTGAAAATAAAAAATATACAAATATGGTATGATAATGATATAAAATATTTTTCTTTCTTTTTCATTAATGTACTGTTTCCTAACATCAATTGCTTAGTCTTGCATCAATCCCCTATTTACCCCCCCCCCCCCCCATTTCTCTCCCCCATTCTCTGCAATATACCATATGGAATTTCTGAGGAAATAAGTACTGTAGATCTGTCAATCCGTCAAATTAAAACGGGGGTCCAAATTAAGTGTATCTACAGTACATCACTTCTGGGGGACCCTGTAGAGTGACCAAAGACTGGATGCAGAACTATCAATATTTATCAAAAATATCTGATTGTGTTATGTGCTGTGGCACTGCATGTATGTATGTTTAGAGCCACGTGCATGTATGTTTAAAGCCATGTGTATGTATGTTTACAGCCATGTGTATGTATGTTTACAGCCATGTGTATGTTTACAGCCATGTGTATGTATGTTTACAGCCACGTGCATGTATGTTTACAGCCACGTGTAAATATTTGTGTTATGAAACATTCACATGTTGATGCATGTGTTAAGCTATTGTTTGGAATGCTAACAACACCCTCAACTTCATGTTATCACTGTAATACAAACACTAAGACTTGTTTCCTCAAGTACATTGGTATTCTTCTATTGTAATTCTTCACACATAAGATCATGGTATAAACGTATCTAACCACTGATAACTTAATCCAAGTACAAATTACATCATTCTAGGGTTTAGGACAGAAATCTTGTGACCAGATCATCTACCTGCACCCCCCCCCCCCCTCTCTCTCTCATGCTCAATGAGGAGGTGGACTGAGGGGGTACATATAGGGTCTTGATGCAAGACTATCAGAATCAGAATCAGTTCTCAGCTAGTTATTCATTTATCATCATTAATATGTATCATAGATATATAGTCAATGCATAAATTGAACATCAACTGGTATGTACTAAATTGCAATACAATAGAATACAGAAGTTTCCTCTGGCATCAGCTGATTTTAGATTTCAAGAGATCCTGGACTAATGTTCAAGAGTCTAACTATTTTAAGATATTATTCAATTGCACGCTTAAATTGGAAACAATTTTCAAGATAATTCTCATTTAGTGTTGCAACAAGCCATTGTGAGCCTTTGTACACACCTCAACAACCCCCCCCCTCTTGATGAAGTAGATGGGGGGGGGGGGGATGATGGGATCCAGACATTTGAGGCAAGACAAACTTTTTTCACATATTCTTCATAGTTTTTGGCTTACATCTACTCAACTCATGTTCATGCATACATGTGTATGTTTGCATAAATTATTTTACTAATACGATCCCTAACTATTTTGTTTGATATTAAAAGTTGGCAAGAATATCATCCTTAATTCTTTTCCAATCCTTGGTTATCGTAAGACAACATGTAAGTTGTATCATACGTCTGCGCAATTGGTCGTTTTATATGTTTCCAGATCATAATCACCAACTTTGCTATGGTCAGTAAAATCACGAGTCCCATCAAAACTGCGGTGAATATGGAGTTTGTTTTGGTAGGGTCCCAGTTTCTGGCCAAACTTGCAGAGAGCGCAAGGTTGAGAATAATGAAAGGACTGAAGGTGTATCGGGTGTATTTATCAAATATAAAGTTATCCATGATAAACCAGGCAAGGATCTCAACGAGGAGGATGGCGAGCACGATGGTGCATGATGTATCCTGAGGCACCTTCCATGAGTAATGAAATACCATGGCAACGTTCAACAATGGTGCAATACTGACCCATGTAGCGTAGAAAGCAATCCCATTCTGCACCAGCATTCGAATTAGCCATATCTCTCTATTTAGTCCTTGTTTGATCAGTATTGGTCCATAATCATATACCCTTTTGAAGGAGAAAAACAAGCCAATATAAAGCATCACAGGGACTAATCCAATAAATGGTAATGCCCAACCAATGAGACGACGATCCCAGAGGAACAACCATGTGACGTTGAAGACGTTATTCAGGATGAAGCTCACGTAAATGACGGGTGGCATAACAGGGGGAGTGACGTACAAGTACCCAGAGTCACTCTTCCTACAGATGGTGCTGAGACCATAAAGCAACCAGAGTCCCTGCCAGATATAGATGACGCCCCATACAGAAAACATCCATCCTGCAGGTGTGATTTCCAGGTAAAAGACATCCGATACAACATTTGTTGTGTTCAGAAATATACCTGCAAGAAGATAGCAAATTATGAGTATATTAATTGGATTCATGATTGCACAATATAAGGAATTTTGAATGATACTTCATAATTGCACAATATAAGGAATTTTGATTGATACTTTATAATTGCACAATATAAGGAATTTTGAATGATACTTTATAATTGCACAATATAAGGAATTTTGAATGATACTTTATAATTGCACAATATAAGGAATTTTGAATGATACTTCATAATTGCACAATATAAGGAATTTTGATTGATACTTTATAATTGCACAATATAAGGAATTTTGATTGATACTTTATAATTGCACAATATAAGGAATTTTGAATGATACTTTATAATTGCACAATATAAGGAATTTTGATTGATACTTTATAATTGCACAATATTAGGAATTTTGAGGGTTTGATTTTTATTTGATGATTGCACAATATATAGACTATTGATTGATACTTTATAATTGCACATTATGAGGAATTCTGAGTGTTTGATTTTTATTTGATGATTGCACATTATATGGACTATTGATTGATACTTTATAATTGCACATTATGAGGAATTTTGAGTGTTTGATTTTTATTTGATGATTGCACATTACATGGACTATTGATTGATACTTTATAATTGCACAATATAAGGAATTTTGATTGGTACTTTACAATTGCACAATATTAGGAATTTTGATTGATTTTTTATTTGATGATTGCACAGTATTAGAAATTTTGATTTTTTTGCATGATTGCATGTTATAAAGAATTCTGATTGTTTTTTGTTTGATAATTGTGCAATATAAGGAGTTTTTATTAATTTTCTATGATTCCTCACTATTGAGGATTTAGATTCTTTAATGATTGCACAACTATTGATTGATTTTTTCAAGATTGCTCTTGATTAGGAATTTTGATGCATCATGTTTAATGTGAGGCAAGACAACACCTTCACTAAAATTTTACAGAAATATACTTATTCATACATTGCAAAATGATGTCCAAAGGTAGTGATACAGTTCCTTCGGTCTTTTGCCTTAGCTATCTATATTTGAGTCGTCTAATTGTAATACTTTAATCCTGGCTACAACCTTGATAGCAATATGAAATTATAATGATGTGCTAGTTTAGTTACCTGACTGCCATCCTAAACTGCTGGCTGCTAACGCGTTGAAGGTGATTGTGACAATGTATACAATGAATGTTGTCACAATCAAGGCAATGTATGCTGGCTTGTGCTCCATCTTGTAAATCTACAAGTAGAGAGTAAATACATTGTTGATTGTTGCTAGAAATGTTCAATGTGAATCACAGTAATGGAACACCAAATAAAATATGAATGTCGCTGATTCATACAAATTCATACAAATTGCTTTATCAGTTTTCAAAATAAACAGTAAAACATAATAATTTGCAAAGTCAATGGTAATGCACATTGAGAGGCGTTTCAATAAAAAAAAACACAATCAAGAAAGATCAAATCTATGAATTGAATAATCCACAGACACAACACAATCAAAACCCCCCTCCCTTATATAATGAAATTTTAAAATGTTGATTTTTGCCTTTCACTTGAATATAATAAAAAAAAGTCAACTATTACAGATATATTTTTTCAAATCTTTTTCAACTGTAACTGAATTTTATCTAAAAATGTAGTAATATACATTATTTAGCCGAAATGTCAATTTTGCAGTTTGATTTGAACAACTCCAAATCAGATTGATCAATAGAGAGAATCTTATTTGGGCTTGAATCAAACTGCAATTGACTGTGTTTTTACAGACTTACCTATATTTTCTGAGCTTACTGGCTTACACTCAGAAGTTTACACACTCTACTGTACAACATACAATATCAGAGAATAGTGTCTCGTGGTAAATTAGCCTTATCCAACTGAAAGGAATCACCCTCATTTGAACCTCTTTATCTGAATAATATTAATAGGGAGGGAGTCTTCTAAGATTTGAACGTGTTATTGTGTTCTGAAACCCATCTTCGACTTCCAATGTGTTTCAACACCTTGCAGTGCACCTGAAGTTGGATCAACCTCAACTGAAACCTTGTGAATCAAGATGCTGAAATCAGAGGCAAGTCCCGTGACATGGAACCAGAGGACTGAGAGGATAGTGTGGAAAGTCACTTTTATTTGCTATTTAACCAGGCTCCATGTTATTTCAATGTTTTTTTTTTATCAAAATTTGATGATAAAAGCCCATGTTTTTATTTTATATTATATCTAATTGCGATAATTTTTGTTTGGGGTGTATGTTTCTGAGAAAAGGCCCCAAGTAAAATTAGCATTATCCGATAAGAGCAGATAATTTTGATAATTATAAAATTTATCGCTAATAGCAACAACATTTTTTTGGTCTGGGTCACATGTTATTAAGAAAAAAAAAATTAGCATTATCTGATAACAGCAGATAATTCATTCATAATTATCAAATCTATCCATAATAGCAATAACATCAAATATATCGATAATATCTGAAAACAGGATCTGACAATGCTAATTATTATACGTGTGTCCTGTGTCAAAATCAAAAATTGATAATTATCTTTAATTGATAAAAATTATCGATAGTTGAAAATTAATTCGATGATTGTTCCTAGCCATGAATTTCCACTTTCATCAATAGAAATTCAAATTCAAATCTAAAAAGCCCGCTCAAATTTGTTCCAGTCTGATTGGCTTTTTCAAAAGGGTATATGATTATGGGCCAATATTGATCAAGAACCAGTCAATTATTGCTGAAATTTTAGAACAAACAATAAAATTGTAGGCTAGATGAAGTACTTAATGTCATATACATGTATTTTTAGAAACCAAAGGATAAGCCATTAATTGCTAAAAGCACTACACCACAAATCAAAGAATTTCAAATTATCAAAGTTAGTAGAATAAACCCAACAAGTAAACATGAACAAAAGAAGAGAGTTAAACATAAAGACCAAGCAATTGTTACTATTGATGAAAAGGACATACATGTAAGAGGTGCTGACAATGAAGACCATACTGATGGTCAACTACAAGATGAGGATGAACCTGTGATTCCAAATGTAAAACTTTTAACATTAGCCGAGTCTTGCCTTTTTACAGCTGAACTTATTCCTATATACACAGTTTTTACCAGTATAACTCCACCTTCATGTAGCTGCATGGCACGTGGTGGACCATGGACATTTTCTTTATACGGTTGATTTAATCATGGACCAGAAGTCACTTAAGAATTTAATCATGGACCTTAGTTCTCTGTTGGAATGTTTGTAACGGCCATTTTTTAGAATGGCACATAGAATTAGATTTTAATGTGCAATATTTTCCATTGATGGATTTGGTCCAAATTTTATAAGATTGTCTTTAGGGAATAATAATGATAACCCAAATGCCAATTGACAGATTTGGCATACAACATACTCTGGGGGTTCCTGCTTTCCAAAGTGTTATACTATAGGAATATTTTTGTTACTTTTTAGATTGATCTGATTAATCTTTGAGGAAGATAAAAATAAGAGTCTAAATATAGCTAAAAACTTTTTAAATAGTGGAAGTTATGAGGTATTAAAGATACATATTGCATTATGATACAGAACTGGGGTTTATATCTTGTTGCACCAAGGAATAAACCTTTCTTACTTCCCAATTGTATTTCTCAGAGAAAAGATGTCATTATGAATTGATGGGAATAATAGGAATAGCCAAACATAAGGCAGGTGAGGCAAATGCCTCAGCAAAATTACAGAAATGTGTTTTTTAGACATTTTTTCAACCAAAACCTTGGAAACGAAGTTCAAAAGTAGAACTCTTTTAGCTGAAATTTGCCTCACCTATTAATTCTTGCCTCGACTACTTTCTAAAAATCTTGGCTTCACCCATAACTTCTAGTCTCATTTCAGTAATTTCAACAGAAATCTTGATCAATTTAAGAAACAAACAAAAAATGTGTAATGAAAAAGCATTATTCTTTTTATTCTATCTTATCATAATTCAAAATGGAACAACAATATATCATTCTCCATATGCATCAACTTATATCACTCCCCTCCATTCATCTCTGTTGATGGCAACTCATGGAATAAAATTGTTGGATTTGATGTGATTTGTATCAACAGAGATGAAATAAATACAGTGGAGAGAAATGAATGCACAGTAAAACCTGTCTAATCGGAACACCACTGGGACTGACCGAGTGGATTAACTGATGTTCAAATCATTTTTTAAAAATATGTGCAATTGGAATTTTGGACCAAAAAATTGTACACAATGAGAGGTGTTCATATATACAGGTTTCACTGTACTGTATTGTATTCAGAGAATGGTAATATGAATAAGAAATATCTTTATTTTACATCATAATATAAAAACTAAAAATAAAGCACCGATGAATTAGCTGACATTTGTATGCTTATGAAACATGTATTGTATAAATCATCAAAAATCAATTAAAATGACTTTGGCACTTATGATATATATATTTACATCTTTAAATTGGCAAAAATGTGCATTAATAGTACGGTTTCCATGACAATCATTTTTTCTTTACCTGTAACCTAGGAGACATTGCTCAAAATTATCAGAGATTACAATTCCTGATTTTCACTGACACTGCACTTCTCAGTTTTAACAACACTTTACTAGATCAATAATGTGAAATGCTGTTAACAGAATTGTTTGGTGATTATGCAGATTTGACGTGCACATGTATTGCAACTTCTCAACTTAACTAGATACTCACTTTCCAGTTTGATCCTCATAATAATTACAAAGAATTAAGAAGATACATTTTCATGTACATGAATATTATAATCCTTGGACAATAATAAATATGTTTGGAACTGTTAATTTTAAAATTCCAAATTTGAAAAATAAAATGATAAAAATTGCTTATGTGTACATGTAAATCAAATGATATAAGGCCTTTTTACTAGCACCATTTATGGTTTTTGGCAAGGTTTTCACATGTGAAGTAATGAATTACAATCTATCTGGAATTGTGTATTTTGTTGCACCTTGTAATAATATAATGAGATTAGGCAATGAGAGGGTTTTAATATTTGAAATATCTTGATATGATAGGATATATAAAATTGCAAGGGATATAGCTAATAGTCAATACTAACATAACTGTTTTATCTCATACTAAGGAGGATTTGAAAAAGCTTGAATGATTCATAGCATTTAGGTAGCTAAAATTGAGAAGAATCTTGGTCAGTTGGTGAGTACTCCTTGAAAATTTTAGATTTCTGATACTGATTTGTGCAGTCTGTGAATTTCTGATATCAGACTTACTCACAAGCTGATTCGCAATATAAGAACTGATCTTTACTACAGAAGTATTGAACTCTACTAAGTACAAGAAAGTATTTCTGAAGTACAAGTATGAAATTTGGCTCTGTAAAATTATCTCTTAACATTTATAATCATGATATTTTTCATTCATAAAAATTGTTACATTTAATTAATTATATGTGCAATTTTAGATGTTTTCTCTCTCAGATTATTACTGAATACAAGAATTTCCTTAAATGGTTGGCACACTTTTTGGTGAAAATTTCAGTTATGTAACTTTTGACAGCAACATGAATGTTTTATTATTGAAATTTGAAACACATTGCTAAACCTTCTCATAAAGCTTAGTAGTATATATTTTAAAGTCTGCTTCAGGATAAGAACAGCATGGGAATCATACAATTTACCAGTTTTGTTTTAGTCATATAGGGTTGTGTAAGAAAGACTGTCTCTTCTGGTTGTTCCTAACTTGTCCCCAGATCTTGACGAATTTCCCAGTTTTGATTTGCGTTTTCTTCCCATCATTCTAGTGTTTATAAAGTCCCATAATATTTTGTAGCAGAACCTGTACTGCTCCTGAAAAATGATGTGCAACATTAAAGCTCAGTTATCTATGGAATAACAAATCTGGTACCACTAATTTTTAATAATTTTAACTTAACCTGCATCTTTTATAATTTTGACATTTTCTGATGAACTTTTTCATTTGCTACAACATACCATTAACCTGTCGCAAAACACTCAGACAGAATATTTCAAATTCATTTTTTCTAGAAGTAGACTTTTTTTTACTCTTTTTTTGTTCTGGTGTAGTTAATATTAGAGTTTTTCAAACTGCACCTCTTCCTCATAATACTGTATTAAGAATTTGTTAATATAAATATTAAATAAATAATACAATAAAACCTGTCTTAGTGGAACACCTTTGGTACCTCTAAAAACTATTCCACTTGGGAGGTGTTCCTTCTTGGGACTGAAAAGTGTTCCTTTAACAGAGGTGTTGCATTTCTAGAGGTGTTCAACATTACAGGTGTCATTGTATTACACATACCAGACTGTTTATGACCTGATATCTTCTACGTTTCATATGCTTCACCGTGTGATAAACATCCGCCTGATTGTCATTGGCCATCTTCTCAAACAACGTCCACACAGAGCAGAACAAACCACTCCTAGTGGCGCCATCTATACAGTGAACCACTATAGGGCTATCTGGGTCATCAGAATGGCTGTGCCATCCCTGGATCAGCTCAATGAGGCTAATGAAGGCTTCTCGTGATGTTGGTAGCTTTTCATATACTGGCCACCCATTGAATTGAAATTGTTTGACTTGCATGGGTTCCTCAGTAGGTTTTTGAGCATTTTGAAGTTTTATTGTTCGTATTGTGACAGAGTCCTCGGAATGTGTGTTAATGAGGTTGATAAGCATTGGGTCATAATGATGGACCCCTGGCTTATGGGGCCAGTAGTCAGGACAGGATTCATCCTTGAATCCCCTATCATTGAGCATAACAATTGTGTTGATCTTGTAGTCATAGATCAGCTTCCAGAAGTCAATGATTGTGTCTGGCAAGGGACTCTGAGTGATAATGAAGCCATCAGATTTAATATACGAGTCCATGTACACTGCATTGATATAATCTGTCCTGTTCAGACCCCCTGGAGTCACAATATATGGTCGGTGGTCATCAGCGGGGACTATCTCGTCGACTCTATTCTTATCAATGTTTTGGTACCTGTATGCGCTTTTACATTTCTCCTTTGGTATTTCAGGAGTGAATTCACACAAACTCTCAAACTGTTCCCTTAGGTATGTTTTCCCAGAGTCCTCATTGTGAGCTGTGATGTTCTTGTACATGGTCTTCAGTTCAAAGTCAGCGATGTTGTTGCTTATGTGTAGTTCTTCCATAAGGCAGTCATAGATGAACTGATACTGATGGAATGTTCGCACCATTGAGATTCTGCTGTTCCTCATCCTACTGACACATTTATACACATTCACTTGGCCTTCTGATTTTGCCTGTTTGAAAAGTCTGTTCAGTGCTATGAACACTCCGCAACGGCTAACCCCAGTGCCATCATGCACCAGTATAGGACCATCTTCGGAATGTTTGTTCAATTCAACCTTCTTAACAAAGTCTATAAAGGGTATAGGATCTGGGGGTACTCCATGATCTGGCCATGTTAGATATTGATACTGCTGTAGCTGCCTTTTGGGGCTACCTTCGATAAACATTTCAAATGTTCGAATAACGTAATTGGCAAAATCTATTGTTTTCACATGTCGGATGATCATAGAACCAAGATTGTATGTATCGGAGTCAGGCCAATACTGTTCACATTTTACGATTTTGTCCTCTACAAGGTTCGTAATCATGACAACCTGTGCAACATTCTCTTGTACAATCACCTGCCAGAAGTCACTGATGGTAACGTCATTGAAAGGACTCTGAGCCGCGATAAATGCATGATGTTTCTTATAGCCATCTATATAATTGCCATTAGTGTAGTCAGATTGAACTTGCTCATCTGGCTCGAGTAGGATCACTCTGCTGTGGTCATATGCCAAAAGATGTCCAAAACGGTTCTTGATATCATTTTCTGGGCGAATAGCCACGTCCCAATTCTTGTGCTGACCATGGGGTAATCTGTTATATTCTTGTTCAAATGACAGCATGTTGGCTTTTTCTGGGTCACAAAAATCAACAATGGGTATAGTGTCATTGAGATCAGTTGTATTGAGTATATTAGGACCATGGCTATCAATGGAGGTTGTAATGTGACGTGATTCATTCAATCCATGTATGTCACTCCATGCAAGTGTACCCCTTCCTGTCTCACTGCCATACTGGTTCTTATAGTAGCTCAACCATGATATATCATCCTCTTTGTTTGATTTACGCTTCTTCAGGAGAATAACGACAATAACTATGATGATGATGATAATGATCACACAAAGGGGGATGAGGACAGCAAGGAGGATGATTATAGTGGTACTCATGGCCCCACCAGTAATGGGCATCAATATTGCGGTTGTTTTCACAGGAGTGACCAATCCTGCCCAATTTACCTTAGTGACCCCATCAAGTGTACTCTCCACACCTAGTGTAATATAATATTCACTCTCAGACATCAATGGCCAGTTTTGGACGCCATTATATGTGCGATTATCTCCAACTGTAAACTTAATGTCCTGTCGTAAATCATTATTTAACAATTTAGCTTGGAAACAACCTGATGGGAATCCTAATTCAGAAGCTGGAAGACATTCATCTCCTATAGTTTGGCGTCTTGTCCTTTCAGCAGAACTTATCTCTGAGATTACATAGTAAGCTGTTAGGGGACCAGCATTTAGTATGACAGGTTTTAGTGTCACAATGATATTACTACTGCCTACTTCTTGTATAATAGGAGCATCAGGTTGAGGAGGGACACCTTGTTCTGTCCATATATCCATCTCAACCTTTGGACCTATACCAGCGCCATTCATCGCTGCCACAGTGAACTTGTAGTTGGTAGCAGGGAACAGTTCACACACAGTGTATGAGAAGGTGAAGGGATCAGTTGAGATGTGCACAGTCTCTGTGATGTCAATACTAGAGTGACTTTCACCTGCCTTCAAAGTGAGCTATAAGGAAAGATGAGACACGGTTAAGTATGCACAAACATTAAACATATAAGTATAGTACTATAGAATGAGTACATGTTAAACCTTTATATCTGAACATCTTTCCAATCCAAACACCTCACAATAAGCAAATGCTTTTTTCTTTCCATTGACTCCCATGTTAAAAAACCTTAAAATGTGAACACCTTCCAATTTGAACAATGAACAGTCATATTTTAATAATTAACAAAACTATGATATCATGAATGTCAGAGAACATGGTGGCATATATTTTTGAAACTTCGATTAATTTAAAATGAGTTTAACATAGTTTTTTAGAAACCCTGATAGATTATTACAGAAGTTACACACATTTTCGTATTTAGTATTTACAATTTAGATCTATGTACTCACATTATAACTGAGTATGTTTCCATTAGGCTGATTAGGTATATCCCATGATACTGTAATACAGGAAATATTGCGGAATGTTCTCGTGAAGCTAGATGCTGTTGTAGGTAGGTCCTCCAGGGTAGTGAATTGTTGAGGGGCTGATTGTACACCTGGCCCAATTTTTGTATGAGCTGTAACCTAAGAAAGTGAACCTACAGTATAAAACTTGGGTAGATTGACTTAATACATGTATAATCTGCCTAATATGAGTGCTTGGCTGAAGACACGAGTGATGTCATACAAATTCCTTCTTATGAAGTGTTTCGAATCTAAGAGCCTTGTATTCTAAAGTGACATCGATGAAGAGAATAGGTGTTATTATTTGTATTGTACCTTTTTAAAATGTTTTTAATAGCACATAGTTATGTCAAAGTAGATATAACCATAGAGGTATGCAACCATTTTTATTTGAGTCACTTTGAAAATGAAAATATGTCGATACTAGTATAGTATTTACCTTCACAGAATGTGTCACAAATGGCTTTAATTTTGTAGAATTCCAATATAGATTTGACACATTCATGTTGTCAGTAGTTGTCATGGTGATCTCATCCACAACACTGTCCTCCGTGTCCAAGATGGTAACTGTATAGTTGGTAATGATGCCATTAGGATGTCTTGGGGGCTCCCATGTGACCAGGACTGAAGTGCTCGTTACTTTGCCTATGTTGACATTCATTGGGGCCCCTGGTACTGAAAAAATATGAGGTAGAATATTAATGCCCAAGATATGTGCAATTTGAAATTGAATATACAGTGAAACCTGTAAGGTGGAACACCACTATAAGTGGAACACCACCGTAAGTGGAACACTTTTCAGAGTCCCAAGACCAATTGACTTAATGTAAATGAACAAGTGGAACACCTCCCAAGTGAAACCCTTTTTTAGAGCAAAGGTGTTCCACTCAGACAGGTTTTACTGTATATACCTTAGGATAATATGATTCAGTTAGTACCTTATATTATCAAATATTATATTATATAATTTCATAGAACAAAAGTATATTAGTATAATGTCTGTTAGAACACATTAATCTAAAGCTTAATTAATCGACAAGGTCAATAATTTGAGTGCATCTAGAAACATAATTATTTAAATACAAGGGAGGTGTTAAAAAGATGAAGTGTTAAATTTGATAATATCAATAAATGGTCAGTTAAAACTGTGAAGGAGAGAGGGGTCAGTCTGAAATGTAATCAATTATGTTTTTGATCAACATCAAAATATTGACCTTGTCTTGCAGAGTAAATATTTATATGAGATTATCTTAACTACAGATTAATGTTAGTCTTATATACAATTAACTTTAACAGATCCTACCATACTCTTCTGTAGAAAATATTATAGGTGAAACCTCAGGTCCATGTGCGACATTATTGACAAATACAACATTCAGCTCATATTCTGTGTATGGCACCAGCCAGGTGACATTCATATAGAGCTCTTCTGTTCTATTTATAGTAGTAGAGAGTCCCCTGCCACGCATGACCACATCATACCCCACAGCTGGACCATTCTGTGCAGCACAGGGGACCATGCTCCAAGTCAGGTAGACTGAGCGTGAGGTAATGTTCCCAACATTGACATCCTGGACACTATACGTGGGGCCTAGAATAAAATGAAAATGTACATAAGTCATATGTACAATAATTTTCATAAATTTTTCCTTCAATTTTAAAATATTTTACAAAAGCGCTAGTTTAACAGGAATCCCCTTCAATTAGCGAATTTAACGCTCCACTAAGTCCCTGAACCCTGTCACAGCGTATCTAGAATGATGATCAATGACACTGGGCCCAAAGTATTCTGATTTCTAAAAAATAGTTAGGCAAGTTATGCAGTTTCTGGGTCCAAGGTTCCCTTTTTCAATTCTCAGGCCTTTGTCTAAGCTTGTATTCGCGAATGCAACTAACGCCTGTCCCTGTTGGCTACCGGATTAACCTACTATTTTACTGGAAACTCGTTTAAATATGAATAGTACCTGCCTCTATTCCATTCATATTTAAACGAGTTGGTCATTAAATACTAGGTTAATCCAGTAGCTGACAGGCGTTAGTTGCATTCACAAAATACAAGATAAGTAACATATACAATGTAGTAAAATTTCCCTTTTACAGTACAGAGCAGTACTTGTAGTATGGTAACCTGTCTCACCTACAGCGGGTGTAACAACCTGTACACTTCTCCCAGTGTTCTCCCCAGCATCATTGATGGCTATAACTGTAATGTTGTAGCTGCTCCATGGACTCATAGCCTCTATCCTTAGTCTAGTAGTGTTGCTAGGGACATCTATTGACTTCTCATCAGGAGCTATACTGCCCTTGCAGTCACCTAAAATCAATCAGAAGTGTTGAACTACAGTAAAACTTGTAAAGTGGAACACCTCTGTAGGTGTGACATCAAAGTAAGTGAGCCCCCCTGTGGACACCCTGTGAGTAGAACACTTTCAGAGTCCCATTACATGACCAACTGATTTAATGTTAATTGAACCCCTGTATGTGAAAAACTTCTCAAATGCAACATTTATAGAGGTGCCAAAGGTGTTCTAGTTATACAGGTTTTTATTAAGATTCATATTTTTTCAATGGATGTCCTTCATACATGTTTCTGAATTTGCTCTTCAATAGTGGACTCAAACTGTGATCTTACTCATTGGCCTTTTGTTTCTTTAATTGAAGATTTATTAATATGTTCATTTTTTGGAGATACGTGGAGAGATGAAATTACTATTGATATATTAACTTGTATTGCCATGGAAGAGTACAAAGAGAAACATTCAAGGGACACAAATGCTTAACCTCTTGAATCCCAGGCTCTTAAATCAGTTGAAACCCGAGAATTTTTCATTTTTGCAAGCTTTTGACATTTTACAACATATACAACAGATGCTGCTCATTTTAGTCAAATTAGACAGCTGAGATCATTTCTACACATTTTAAAACAATTTTTGTGTAAATTGGTTGAAAATTGTTCAAATAAGAGCAATTTTAGTGACAGATTTTCTTGTCACTCTAGGTTTCAAGATCATTTCTGAGGTGACGAGAAATCTTGTCACTCCAGGTAGTCAAGAGGTTAAATGAAACATGAAATACAATAGTTCTGACTTACCTATATTCAACATGTTTGTACTAACTCTGTAAGATGTCGGAGGGTGGGAGGTACTGGGATCAGGGGGCAGCCAACTGATCTCCACCTCTGAACCTGTCACATTCCCTATGACAATCTCCTGAACCTGACCTGGCACTATACAAAAAAACACATTTTAGTTAAGTTTTGTGATTTTGGACTCTACTAATGTGGTACATCAGGAATGGATCATTAGATACTTGGGAATTAAACCGTTTCAGTGCAAATATTCTGGAGCTGATTTTTGAAAGAATTTTTTGAGATCTGGATTGGATAAAACATCTATGGCTGGTGGGATAGGAAAAGAGTTATGGGATGGGTCCAAACCATCCAGTCTTGAATGTGGTATAAGAACACAAAGTGCTCCATCCTATTAATAACTAATTAAATGCCATTAGTTAGATTGATTTTGAAGTATTAAAAAATAAAATACTGATTACCAATGCAACATGTGCTTATATCATCACCAATTCTTAATATAGAAGTGATCAACCTAAGTTTTACACAGTAAGTACAGAACTATACAAATATACTAAATAACACTACAGATACATGAGATACATGTAGACTTCAAGAAGCATAAAGGGTATCATTAAAAACACCTATTAATCCTTGGTTGCATATACTAATGGGCCACATCTATTCTATAGCTATAAAGAAATCATATTAATCAAGAGACAAATCAAAGCAGAATGCATGCATGGCATTGTATCATTGGACTGCATGTTTCTACTGCTAAATAAGAAGCAGATTGTATGTGCTGTATGTAGAATATCAGGAGGCAAGGTGAAGATTTGTATATGTAGTGTGGTAATATAAAGAGGCAAGGTGAAAATTTGTACATGAAGTGTGGTAATATCAGGAGGCAAGGGGAAGATTTGTACATGTAGTGTGGTAATATCAGGAGGCAAGGTGAAAATTTGTACATGTAGTGTGGTAATATCAAGAGGCAAGGTGAAGATTTGTATATGTAGTGTGGCAATATCAAGAGGCAAGGTGAAGATTTGTATATGTAGTGTGGTAATATCAAGAGGCAAGGTGAAGATTTGTATATGTAGTGTGGTAATATCAGGAGGCAAGGTGAAAATTTGTATATGAAGTGTGGTAATATCAGGAGGCAAGGTGAAAATGTGTACATGTAATTTGGTAATATCAGGAGGCAAGGTGAAGATTTGTACATGAAGTGTGGTAATATCAGGAGGCAAGGTGAAGATTTCTACATGAAGTGTGGTAATATCAGGAGGCAAGGTGAAGATTTCTACATGAAGTGTGGTAATATCAAGAGGCAAGGTGAAGATTTGTATATGTAGTGTGGTAATATCAGGAGGCAAGGTGATGTAATATCAGGAGGCAAGGTGAAAATGTGTACATGTAATTTGGTAATATCAGGAGGCAAGGTGAAGATTTGTACATGAAGTGTGGTAATATCAGGAGGCAAGGTGAAGATTTCTACATGAAGTGTGGTAATATCAGGAGGCAAGGTGAAGATTTCTACATGTAGTGTGGTAATATCAGGAGGCAAGGTGATGATTGTGGTAATATCAGGAGGTAAGGTGAAAATTTGTACAGGAATGGCTGGTAACGAGTCAATAATGAGTTGAACACATCTATGTATGAATATGTATACCAGTCAGTATGGTTGTAGTTGTTGTTGGAATAGATGTGGTTGTAATCACTACAGTTGTAATTTCCTCAGTTGTTGTAATTTCCTCTGTTGTAGTAGCTATAGTAGGTGAAGTAGCTGTTGTAGGAATGTGGGTTGTTGTGATTGGAGCTGTGGTGGTAGCTGTGGTGGTAGAAGTAATAGTGGTAGGCGGTTCTGTTGTTAGTAGCTCAGTTGTAATTTCTTCAGTTGTTGTAATTTTCTCAGTTGTTGTCATTTTCTGTGTTGTAATTTCTGGTGTTGTAATTTCCATTGTTGTTGTAATTACCGGTGTTGTTGTAATTTCCAATGTTGTTGCCATGGTAGTAGTTTCTGGAGTAGGGGCTGATAGGCACAAAATTACAGTACAGTACATTTACATGCAATCACAGTACAAACCACAACTAACCCATCTTAGCATGCTTTATGTAAAATTTCAAACATTTATCCCTTTACCTCATATATTTCAAAATCATTTTGATATTTAATTTATAATTTATTTTAACTACCCCAGAGGCGTAGCCAGATTCTAAAATTTAGCGAGGCAAGTTTTATTTGATGAGGCTTAAAAGCGAAATGACACTGTCATATGACTTTATTTTTATAGTTTCCCTCGCTCGAAAAATACCCAGGCAACATCCATGCTAGCCCTAACTATAAAACTGTTAGATCATATGTACATGTATATTTTTCAATAGTTAATTTTTTACTCTATTTCATCTAAATGTGTTAGTTTAATAATTATCAAATAAACTTATTTTATGATGTAAACTTAATTATGCCCTATAACTCTAATTAATACATGCAACTCCCAAAGTAAGAACCATTATTGTACATTCCAACCACTAACATTATACTTTGATGTTGATTCATTAAGTAGGTAAAAAATTTCTCAATCTTGATAACTATAAATCTCCAATATACTGTATATTTACTTATAGTTAAGTTTCATAAAATATCATATAAATATACATGTTCATTCACTTCCATGTAATTGTTGGGCATGCATTCATGAAATTACTTGAACTGTATGTCTTGCTTTACTTACTTGGACAGTTTGGCAGGACTGGGGATGAGGCACTACCTGGAATACCAACTGTGTATTTTCCATACTTCACCCTAGCTGATCTCACATGGAAGCTGTATGTGGTACCTGTATGTATTAGAAGATAGGTAATGTTTGTATGTTAATATATAGCAAATAATACATTTGAGGGGTCCAATTACACCCCCCACCTCCACAAAAAGAGATTGTTGAAAAATCATTAACAAATTATAGTTTGAAATGCTTAGAATGCACCATTTAAAATGTGTGATTTTGGGGCTTTGCTCACAGAGATGCAAACCCATAAAATCTCACCCCCAGTGATATGGGATGGATATGGGTTGTATGGAATAAAATATTGAATTCCATTTGTTCTCTAACAATCTATATGCAACCTTTAATTGTGTATAACATATTTTTCATTATATATATATTACCTTCAGTTACATTATAAAGTGTGGCATTGTACTGCCCCGTCTCATCTACATGGGCGACTCTTGTAAACTCTGTCCAAATGGCACTGCTGTTTGTTTCATATTCAACCCTATAAATATTCCAAACATAGGGCCTGAGGGTTACTAGTGCAATATATTTATAGATTAAGATTCATAGCTTAAAGGACTTGCAGCTACAAAAATGCGGTTTTCTCCATTGTAAGCCCAACGTAGAGTTCTTGCGATAGCCATTATAAAATAAATGTTAGATAACTGCTAACGGTCATAAATAACGAAACAAAACTAACTGATCAATCAAATTGGCCCCCACGTGATAAGTAACGTCATATACAAAATATAGCTTTGGTTTGTTGGTTCATTAGTAATCACAACGTCACGGCAACCATAGGATTGTAGTGTAAACCAAAACAAAACATTTAGGCATTATGACGTTATGGGCCACGTGGGGACCAGTGAGAGATCACGTGGGGGCCAATAACGTCACAACCAATTCGAATATTGCTTATTAAGCAGCTATAACGATCGTTAGAGTGAAATAGTTTTCGCACTACTGATGAGAAAACATGTCCAAATACATTTATCAAAAAATTATATTGATTCCTGTAGGTTAAAAATACCATTTCATATCTGCTTTAATATTATTTATTCATTTCACAATATGCCATGCTGTACATTTGGTTATTCTGTTACAGAACTCTGGAAGATATTTTACCTATATTGGCCAACAGGGGGCTCTCCTACATCTATGGCCTCGTCCCACTTAAACCAGGACACTGTCATCTCTGAACATGTCACCTCAGACATGAAAGGCTCACTGGAGGTTATCACAGGTAGTACTGAAAAAATCGTTCTTATTAATAGATGTACAACAGTACAGGGTATGTTAAAATTATTGACAATGAAGTTGAAAAAGTGTTCAAAATTTCAAGGCCTTCTGTTCACACTGAGAGATGTTCACATTCACATTGAGAGTTGTTCACATATTCAGGTTTTCAAAACATTAGAATCAATGTAGTGCTACCATAGATTGCTTTAATTTGGCAAATCATTGTTTTTGTCTGAACATATTACAATGATATGGAACATAATTGGAATGTTTTTAATTGTACATACATGTATTAAAGTAGTCTTTAAACTTGCCTATTAATACAAATTGCACCCCTATTTATAGGCCCTTATAGCTATTGACTCTGGCATCTAAAATTCAATAATCATAATGCCCTCAGCTAAACCAATCATACCTAGATGTATTTTAAAATTCACTTACATGTCTGGCAGCCAGCTCCGGACCATCTTGGGTCACAAGGGGCTGAAGTACAGGAGCCTGTGCCAGAAGAACAGTTGGTACATTCTCCATTGATGGTTGAACAAAGAGAGTCCTTGATACAGTGGCAGATCCTTGCACAGTTCACTCCGAAGAAGCCAGCACTGCATGCTGCAAATAAATATTATCCTACACTTAGTGTACTAAATGTATAATAACATTAAAAAATAAATTTGATATTTATTGGCAAAATGAATATCCGGAGGATATCGTAACGATATACTCCGGGCGGAGGATATTGTGACGATATACTCCGGAAAACCCAATATGCGGAGGATATTGTGACGATATACTCCGCTTGTTGATTTCCCGCCAAATTGACTCTATTTGGCATGAAATTCATTTTGCAATGATACTATATATTTAGTACACTCCTTATAAGTGTAGGATAATAAGAACATCCTATGATTTATTTTCAGAATATCATTTTAATTTACTCTGTGATATTGATATATGCACTCGTTCGCTTCGCTCTCTCGTGCAGATATCAATATCACCTCGTAGATAAAAATGATATTCCTCAAAATCATAGGATATCCTATAAGTATCACAGGTCTATTATGACACTGACAAATAAACAATCTAAATGGCCCTTTGTTTCTGCCAGTTTTTGAAGATTGGATCCATTTTTTTATGTCACCACCAGACATGCCACATTTGGTGACATGTTGTGATGACCTGTTGTGACAACCTCCAACTTTTTGTGGACAGCAGTCTGTGATATTTGTTTTATACATCACATGAACAAGGAAATATAATATTTGTGAGTGATGTGATACATTGGTTATTAATATTATTACATCCAGATTACGTATTTTTTAATAACTTATCAAATATAGATTATTGCTTACGTATATTACATGCTGGAGCATTGGTGTATCCTCTTATACATTGGTAATCTGTGCATATAGCAGTACCATTCGATCCAACGTTACACAGTGTTGGGTTGAGACAGTTACTGCATGATGCATCTGAAATGTAAGAATATGTAGTCTGTCTGATTTGTAACATGGTTAGTTCTACAAAAGATATGCACATCCCGAGGAGATATAAAGCCTTCATCTTGACCCATTATGGTAATCTACATTATATCTTATTCTTCAGATTAGTTATACTTTGCATAACAGTATGCATGCAATGCTTTATAAACTTTATAATCTCATGTCAACTTATCTGGACTTAGGAATATAGGAAACTCTGAGATTAAAGATTACTTCAATTGTATGGTAAATAATAAGATATTTAGACTGGAGCTAATAGACCATAGTAATATTGATATTATTCCTAAATTTGTTTGCCTATATGATTGAAATTATTGTAAGAAATACAAATATAGTAGCATAAATGAACACTATGGTGGAATAACATGAATAACAACTGAATGGTATTACTATTCATCATTTTGTTATTTTATTGATCATTAATGGATTGCATGTGATTTTGATTCTATAGATGGCTTAGGGATATAGGAAACTCTGAGATTAAAGATTACCTGTATGGTAAATAATAAGATATTTACTAGCAGAAATGAACAACGATGGAAGAAATGAACAACAATGGTATTGCTATTAATCATTTTGTTATTTTATTTTGAATGATTATTAATTGATTGATTATTCTATAGATTGTTAGATTATTGAAAAAATTGTACAAAAGATGATTGCAAAAGTTGTGATATTAATTAAGACAGTGCATACCATACTATATGTATACCATCATCATGTTACATGGGTAAGATATTTATATTGAGATCTTTATATTGTTTTATTGTTTACAGAATATCTGATATCATAATTGAATTGCTCTTCAAACTTATCAATTGTGATAAAACATTATGGTACTAACAGATGCATACATCTCCGAGTGTGCGTTTTCAAATGTCTGTACTTCAACGCTTTACAAAGCAAAAAGATAAGAAAATTAAAGTTCATCAGTTAAAAATAACAAATTACATTTTCGTGTGAAAGATTTGTAAGTATTTAAGAGAATTTCTCAAACTTGAACTACTGTAACAACGCTAACGAGTGTTACTTTACGTTTTTGCCATAACTCACGTTAATCCCACAGTTGCTATCTTCTAATTAACGGTGGATGCAACTGACCGTGTAAACCATTCGTTCTTCTTACCTGTACACGTCAACCATGACGAGATCAGTAAGGTAATCCAGATGATGCCTCCTAGCGTTACCCGGCCTTGCATCTCAGGCCGTAACGTTTAATAATTCTTGTTTTTAACCGTTTTCTTGTCCTGTTTACATGGGATTTAAAGGTACGCTATTCTGACTATGTTGACCTTAGCCTACAACGACAAATCAATAAAATACAATTATCCACACAAAGCAAACCGTTATTTAAATCCGTTGAATATTATATATACAGGTTAATTCCAATTGCTGATAATAAAAGGACGATCTAGGAACCGTCAAAGTTGAGAAATAGATCAGAATTCTTTGGAAAGAATGGGTGTGTCAGAAATTTACCTGTGACGAATATGTGAGTACAATAGACATGACGATCAATTAATGATGAGTCACAATTGTTTTGGAAACAGACAATTTTGGAATAGATTGATTGTTCAAATCCTTTGAATCACAGGTGTATCATTAACTGAACGAGCATTCGGACGATATTCTGCTTTAACTTCGGAGGTAAGTCAAATCATTCACGGTATATCATAGAACAAATTACAGAATTAGGCTTAATCGTACTAGTATATAAAACTGTAACGGTTTATCATAGGGGGATCAATGGACACCTCATAACTCATTTTATTTTCGTTTTTTGTCATTGTTTGTAAAGCGACTGTGCTAGCTTTATAGTTATGTAATCAAAGCAGATATCGTTATAGCTTACCTTTTACTCATGTTGTCATTTCGGTCTTGTTTTGTTTTGGTGTTTACTTATTCTTCATTCTGAAAAATACCAATATTAAGACCATCTTCAATGTGATACAATCCGATTTCCCTCTCTGTAAACAAATATCGAGAGTAAATATAACTTAGTTGTTTGGATAGTGCCTAATATCCTCAAATCGTTCATAAAAGGGTCTTGTCTGCTTTCTAACAAATAGACCTCCGTCGTATTTGTAATAATCGTTTTAACGTGTTTTTCTATTACTGTATTGTTGAATTTCAAAGTGCGTTTCAATAGAAATCGATGTTTTTTCATTCGTTTACTTGCTGGTATGTGTTTATAGCTAAATGAACATTTCTGACTAATCAAACATTAAATCTGCAAAAAGCATATTACATTGGATTTTTCTGTATGCCAGAATCCAATAACTAGACTTGGGAATACCTCCATAATACTAATATTGGTTGATTCGTTTCTAAGGCAACCAGGTATATTATAATTATGCCTCAGAATTTGAACTGCTCGGCTTATTCAAGCCAGTAAAGGTACGTCTACTGATATTCGCATGCCATTTGAGCACATACGCAGCGACATCAACTTGAGAAATGATTTTAAATCGCATAATGGGCATGCAAATGTAAGATCAATTTACATCGAAGTTGCAGCAATATTGAATTTACTAAGTGCTCTAGAACCATGTTCTTGTGCATTTTCTATTTTGCTAGCTCTAATATACTATATCTAGTATACAAATCAATGCATCTCACATGCAATATTGTTTTGTGCTAACATTACATCCAAACCATCAGACTATTATTAGATCAAGTCTCTATCCAACAGATCAATTGATTTGCTTGGCCTAATTGATAGTTTATTATTAATCGTACGTCGTACCAATAACCATTAACTTGCACTGCAATATCCATTTCTGAGATCAGTCGCAGTCAGTAACACATCCAACGGTAGGCCATCTTCTTAGTTTTATTTTTGCTGTTGTTATTTTACTGATTGATCGCATATTTTATCTTAGAGGCGTGGATCTACTTTAATTTACACTACACTTGCAAGTTTGTTGATCGGTTGTCATAGATACGATTACAAGCGAATGTTCCGCTATCACAAGGTAGCTCTTTTGACTTCTCAAAGTACCCAAAGTTGTGCTTATGTGTGCGCATTGTGATGTATTGTAGATTGTAAATGAAAATTAAAGATAATAAATATATAAAAAAAAAAAAAAAAAAAAAAAAAAAGAATGTGATCCTATAGTAACTGAGTAACTTTAACCGTCAGTTAACACGAACAAACAGGCATACCATAACCTTTAAATCAACGATCTCATCCGTTAAATGAGAACGCAGGGCTAGTCAGTGACTAAGGAATGGACAAAGCGATAATATTATCAAATCTTAACAAAATATAGGATAACATAGTATAACGGTTACAATAAGTAGATACGCACTCATACAAAATATCTGAACATATATTTTGGGCCATCGAAAGGTAAGTGCTCGATATGTGTCTAAGTAACTTTAAGTTATGTTTGAACAAGGGACTAACAACATTAAAGCGTTGACAAGTTTGACGTTTCAAAATTAACAGTGTAGGAACGGAATGTAAATATCGAATATTGTAAGTTTTTACTATATGACCAAAATGTAAAAACATAGGTTTCTTTATAAATGTATGCACTGGCGTCTTAACTGCTTCGTCCTGGATGCATTTAAATGTTGCTTGTAAGTCATCAGTCTTCCGCATTAGTACATGGTGTCAATCATCCGTTCGCCTACTGCAATGTTTACCTGTCTGTGTTCATCATGCCCATTGAAACTGCTAAATCTGCATCCTCTAAAGCCGAAGAACTACATATGATTAGATTAAACGTATCATGAGCAATATTTCCTCTTCACATTCTGTTTCTGAAAATGAAATGACTGAAATCATTGGTATAATCACATTCTGTTTCTGAAAATGAAATGACTAATCCATTGGTATAACATGAAATGACTGAAATCATTGGTTTGTGTTTTTCAGAGGACGCCTTGATTTTATGAAGTTACTAACAGTACGCGAAATTGTACAACATCAGAATTCCTAGTGCCCATATGATCGATTCAATTAATACCAACGATACCTGACAAAGCTTCCCAAGGCATATGATTGCCTGTACACCATCAAAAGACTAAAATAAACTATGGCCTGTTTAATATTTGGGGCTTACCTGTTTATCTGTGTCTTCCTACCAGAGAATGTATTTGGTAAGTTCTGTCTATTACTAAGCTTTGTTAGCGTTTGTTTGAATGTTTTGAGACCGGCCCAATATCATGATACATAGTAACAATAATGCCATCTTCAAAGGTGTTATAAAACTTGGAGCATTTGAAACTTTGTGAATCTTATCAAGATGATCTGTAACAGGAGTATGAAATGAATTAAAAAATTGTGACAATTTATTCGCAACTCATCTACGTAGTGTTGCAATTGCCTATATCAGGACTTCTACTTCATTTAGATTTGGAGTACAAGTCAACTACATTGACTTGTAGAAAACGTCTTCGGTCAAGTCTTAAAACCTACTACCCTCTACGCTTAGACTAACCTTCGCGAATGCAACTAACGCTTGTTCAGGTGTTGGTCATAAAGTAGAAGGTTGATCCGGTAGCCGGTAGCCGCTATTTGCATTCGCGAATATCAACGTAGGCCTATTTACTCACGTCGAGAGCTACCATGTTAGATTTTCAAAATCTAAGTAGCTCTCGACGGGAGTAAAGGCCTATACAATTATGGTCATCAAGCTGCTGGCATCTAGCTCGGTAGAGTAACCTTACTATACTTACATATAGCCATCTTTAGATAGATATCTCTCAGGAGATAGCTTTGTGCAAGCTAAGTAAGAGTAATGTCCCATGAGTTATTTTTTGAACTGTGAATTCAGTCTTGGTTGAATTTGAAAACTGACAATGAATATACCGGTAACCACTGTAGAATTCATGTAAAAACGCGACTCGTTTCGCATCTCGATATTGGAATTGTATTCTAAACATTATAGAGAGGATAATTTGATACAAACCTTGAAATGTTAAAACATAACTAAAATTTTAACAAATCTGTGTAAACTCACGTTTTAAATATGGCGCCTGGAATGCTACAAACCCTCCAATCAGAATGCATGATTCATGATACGTCATTTGGAATTCCTTGGGTCTTTCCCCTAACGTTGGAAGAAAATGGAAAATTTAAAAAACGTGATTTTCGATTTTGCATTCTTTTGTTTGATTTTTGGAGTAATTATAAAATGCGCCCCTGTATATTCTAGTGACAGTGGTAAGTTGCTTCGCGTGTTTTATTTCAATATCCAATCCGAATCAGCAAACACGTTATTTCTTAGATAATGATAAGAGTTCAAAACCGCGAAATTTCAAAAATTCTCAAATCGTATTTGGTCGTCTTTGGGTGTCCTCACACTCAGTACAGTATATATTTCTTCATCCTAGGTATAGTATACCTCAATAAGAAAAATGAGTGTGAGAACCGTCACGCCAAAATAACGGCTCTCGACGTGAGTAACTCTGGCCTAGAATAGATACCCTCATAAATGCTGATTTTGCAAATCACCCCCACAACTAGAACTTACTGAACACAGCTGGCTCAAAAGTCAGCTCGGTAGAGTAAACTAGAACCTACTTGCGTCGTTGAAATTTTGGAGTTAAAAATAAGCCATCCTCCTAAGCAGGTGTCCAGAATCCGTACCTCCTTAAGAATATGTTCTGGATTTTGAAGCCCAGTGATCGGAAGATGAAAATAAGTTTGATTCGTGGTTATTTAAATAAAATTCAGCTTCAATATGAGATACTTGATAAAATGGATAATAGATGAAGACATGTCCAAAATAAGCCAAATTCAATTCCCAGAAATAAAGTCAGAACTGTTTGATGTAACTGTTAGACTCAACATAGCATGAGAGCAGTCCCTTGTAAACTATACATTAAATCTTTGAACAACCAATGCAATTCTATGTCTGTTGTTTTAGGACAAGCTACAGATGTGCGTTTAGTAGGTGGGACTACAGAATATGCTGGCAGGGTGGAGCTGCTCTATACAGGACAATGGGGAACTATATGTTCAGATGGCTGGGACAGGCAGGATGCTGCTGTCATATGCCGCATGATGAATTTTACGTAAGTTGTAATAGTGAAGCTAAAGATTAGAACTGGGACTTACAAAATTGCAAAGATGATACTCCAATCATTATTTCAAATATTCTCATTTTAACAATGCAGTTTGATTTTATGTGCAAAGCTACATGTAGGGAAGCAATGAAACAGACTTATCAAAGTTTTGATTATTTTGGGCTGGAATTGAAAATATTCCTTTTAGTAAAATTGCCTATCCTATTATTTGAGTTATCCTAAATATTTATCAATAATATTACAGGGGTGAATTCAAGGAAGCCTACACTACTGACCTAGGCACAGGAACAGGTCCTATATGGTTGACTGAGGTTGACTGTGATGGCAACGAACAATCAATCAACGATTGCCGTCACACAGGTTGGGGTTCAACCACTTGCAAACGGGGTGTAGATCGTGATGCTGGTGTGGTATGTATCATAGAAACAGAGACAACGACTCAGTCATCTTCAACAGTGACAACCACACCTAAAACAACAACCACTACAACACCAGAGACTATATGTAAGTTAATTTGAATGGCTATTATCAAAAATATTTAACAATATATAAGTTGCCCTCCTCTTTATTGAAGTTAATTGACATTAAAATATATAATAATTGTATTGTGTTAAATTTCAATGTTTTTTAAGATATGTTAACAGAAAGATTTTTTAACGTATGATTAGTGCAATATCCAGATTGACCAATCAAGATTGAACAAGCCTTTATAAACCTGGACTCCTGTTAAAGTTTCCAACTTTTTTGTCACTCATGTTTGGCAGTTGGTGTTTGGTGGTTGGTGTCTGTAACAAAGTTTGGTGTCTGTTAATGCCTTGTTCATACATGTTCCTGTGCCAATGATCATACGTTTCAACGTTTCAGGTGACAACCCTAGTAGCACTGTTCGTCTGACAGGAGGCCGTAACTCAGCACAAGGGATTGTAGAAGTCCTGTATAACAGCACTTGGGGGTCTGTATGTGATGACAAGTTTGGACAAAATAATGCAGATGTGGTTTGCAGAAGTCTGTGTTACAGGTATGTTATAAACTGATATTGTTGGATGAGGGTTCCTATAAAACTGATGTAATGCAAGATTATGACACAAGGGCATCTGATTATATTCGAAAAAGGCGTGCGTTTCAGAAAATATACACGGTGCTACAAGTGATTATCTCAGGTGATCCTGGGGTTTTTGTCATAGACATTATTTGGTATGATCTGAGCGTTTTTTAAGGTTTATAATAAAATGTAATTCTTCTCTGATAAAGGAATCTCACCAAAACAAATTTCTGGGCATTTTCCATGGGGAAGATTTGCACCCCCCCCTTCTGATGCCCATGGTACATATTTTTAAATTATAGCCACAAAATATCATTAATATAAAGATTGATGTATGTTGGAACCAGATTCTAGGTCATTCATTTCCCATCTGGAGTTTTTGCCATATTATATTTCAGTTATATAAAGATTTTAAAATATGTTGACTAAATGATAGGCATCTAATGTTTCAGTCAACCCTAGACCTGTCTTTGGAATAGAAGGCTTTCTGATGTGTTTTTTTTAAATTAATTTTATATATAATAATTTCCAGTATTGTACATGCTAAAGCAGTCCTGGGAGAGTTTGGTAACATAACAACAAATGATTACTGGATGGATGAAGTTGTGTGCAATGGTAGCGAGGGAAACATTGAGGAGTGTCCATTTGCTGGCTGGGGGGTGCATAACTGTGATCCTACTGAGGCTGCTGGGGTGAGATGTGAACCAGAGAGTACTCCAGAGTTGCCTGGTATGATGGTCATAAACTTTGTAATAATTTATAGGGGATTACAGGCCCTTAAAATAAAACACAATGAATATTCTTGAATGTAAGTTGGATGTTGGTTGTGTCATCAAAGGTGCCAAAGATCTTGTATACAATAAAGAAATGCTTACATTTTTCCCCCATATTGAATAAGTTGCTTTAACTATCTTTGTAGTTCCCGAGCCTGTTGTTCAATGCACAAGCAACACAATCGACATTGCATTTGCCCTCGCTGTTGATGGACGTCTAAAAGAGGAACATCTTTCATTAAAAGATGGCACACCTGCTGATTGTGGGTTTAAAACATCATCAAACACAAGCTACGTCACAGCACATATTCCTATGAAAAGCTGTGGAACAGAGAGAACTGTAAGTGGTCATCTCCCCCCCTATTCCTCAAATAACAAGTTGAATTTTTATTGGATAATTAAATATAAACATTCAGGTCTTTGATTCTCAATCTGGGATAAGATACTTTGTAAAAGTGTATTTAAGGATTTAAGCCCTGGACTCATTGCAATGTGGAATGACCATTACTTGAAGGTTTTGCTTTCCAAAATTCATATTTCAATGAAACCTTTTTGCAAGGGTCAAACTGGCCAAGTATCAATTTCAATCTATAAGTTGAAGTCATCACCATGACAACTGTATAATTAGTGACCTTGAGTTCGTCATTTATTATATAACGGAATGCAGTTTCGTGAAATAGCGTGTTCTTATTGGCTGGAATTGGGTACACTTTGAGTAGCTATATGTGTGAATTAAAGTTTAGTCTGAATTTGCACAATTAAAGGTAATTAAAGTTATGATATTTTTAATGGGGCACTCATATTGAGGATCGCTGTCAAGGTGTTTTTTATCCTAAACTTCAGAGTCTGTGTTTAACTAAAATATAAAGCTACTGTGTAGTTACAAACTATGCCATATATTTCCAGACCAATTCAACTCACATAATCTACACGAATGAACTCATCCACAATATCGTTCCTGAAGGAATCATAAGGCGTGATAACGAGTACACGATCACGGTTCATTGCATTCACCCTCGGGACAGTGGCGCCAGTGGCGGTATTAACCCAGAGACAAAGACTCTGCCTCCAGGCATAGGCGAACACAACTTTGACGTTGAAATGTACTTCTATCGCAATTTCACATTCAAGGAACCAATCACAGAGTTCCCAATTAGAATATCCCTAGGTGATTGGTTACATGTTGGGGTGGTCTTGAAGGGGTCTGATCCTACGTTGAAGTTGATTGTACCTGAGTGTTTCGCCACCCCGCTAGAAGATAAGACATCAACACCACGCTATGATCTTATCAGAGATAAGTAAGTATAACACACTAGGGATGTGAAGAGGGTTGTTAAGGTATCAAGGCTTGAAAAAAATTATAGTTTGAAGAATAGCATACTCGAATGCATTGAATTTATCAGAGGTTTAAAATCACAGTTAACCACAATTAGCACTGTTAACTACAATTACCACTGTTAACCACAATTACCACTGTTAACCACAATTACCACTGTTAACCACAATTACCACATTGACCATCCACAGGAGTGAAATTTTCCAATTGTAATGTTATACTTCATTTTATTTGTCTCATAATAAAGCAATATGACAATATCATTAAATATGTTTTAGAACTCGTTTGGTTAAATTTTTCTGGCTTTCTATATAATAATCGAAGTGTATTTTACATCTTGGTAAACTGAATACGCTACACCCCCAATCCGCCCTCTAAAATCACAGTATCGTACAGTACGTTAAGAGTATGGTACCGTATGGTACCGTTAGAGTATAGTGCCGTACATTGTCCACAGGACTATATGGTACCGTTTTTGTTGACAGTACCGTATGGTACCATATTTCACGATACTGTACAGTACCATTTCCAAAACAGTACCGTACAGTACCATTGCAGATTGGCTGTGTATTGTGTATTGGACCACGAGTGAAAGCATGTTTGTATTGTGTGTTTGGTGATTGTAGAACAATCATCAACGTATTTCCAACATAAACAGGCTTTCCAGTGGGGAATCAGCAGTTGTCATACTTTTGAAGGGGAGTGTAATAGAGTATTATTGTTCTCCATTCCAGATGTAAGGCTGACTCTACCGTAACATATTACCCATTCAATGAGACAGTATTTGCCTTCCGATTCCAAAGCTTCGCCTTTAATGACTATACTACAATGTATCTCCATTGTGATGCATTTATATGTGAGTCTGATGAGAAAAACGACCAGTGTGATCGCACTTGTAGAGTACAAGGACGTAAGAGAAGAAGTGCCGATATGAGAGACATTCTCCATATTGACAAAGGGCCAATCATAATTGAGCACATTCGACTGTTGCCAGATAGCAGCACTGAAACATCACCAGGTATGATTTGTGTAATAAGGCTCAAATGCTATGCCATTATTTATTTCTCCATAATTGCCCCAATAAAAGATTTTTCATTGAAAATTGGCCTGGGGAAATTGGTTGATTCGGCATTTAAAGAAATGATCAAATGACTTTGATAAGATTTAAAATAGCAACACATGATTTTAGACAATCATATCGTATAATGAGCATTTGTATTTTCTAACCATAAATATGACTTTGCAATATTTCTCCTCCAAGTACATGTACAGTACATGTAAAGCTCTGAAGATATGAATAATATCAACCAGACTCGAAAAACATGGATTAGTATAGGAACCTGAATATTTCTTCAAATTTTTGAACTTATTTTCTAAAAAGAATGACTTCTTTTTCCTTATTTGGAATAATAGGGGAATAAAGTAAAGGATAAAATATTTTTTACTTTCAGTGATAAAGTCTGAATCCACACAAAATAGATGGAACCTCTGTCTGCACATCCTAGGGACAATCATCATGTGTCTATTAACTGTGTTACCATGGCGATGGACTTAAAACAGAGAAAGGAATCCTCATTAGCAATGACACTTGGAGAAATTACCATAATATGTATCCTACCCACAATTTGTTACATTCCATGATAGAGTAAGGTGCATAAAATTAAAATTCCTATAAAAATTTAAACTTGGTATATTTCACCCCTTAGAAATATATCCACCATTGTAGAAACTTATACATTCCATTGAAGGAGCTAGAACTCAAAAAGTGTGCCTTTAACAGTATTTAGATTTCATGTACTAGGAAATCTGGATGACTTACCATCAGTGCAACACATTCCCTGCATAACATTTGATTGTGTCTACTATTGTAACATATTTGCTCAGCCATTCTTTGACTAGCTCATTATGACAGACATTGACTAGAATATTTGAATAAATTTGTTTTCAGGGATATGAAACAAGAGCAGTGGTAGCACCACAGCTTTCTTAGAATTATTTGTATATGTGTACATATAATTGTACATAGTCTATATTGTACATAAACATAAAGAATTTCAAGTGCCAAATTAACATGTAGGATATTCAATAGGAAAAAATTTATTTCATTTATTTTGAGAATGCTCATTAGATGTTGATCCTTATGTAGTTATGAAAGTGCATCAGTATACCGTAATTGAATTTTTTGTTGACTATAATGTATGGTCAAAAATATTTTGACTTCATATAATGATAAGATTGCTTGGAGATTTTTAAATAATTTTCAAATCCAAATATTGTTCTTGCCTCATTATTTATTTAAGTCATTGAGTAATGAAATGATGAGCAGTTGGATGAATTTATATTGAATGAGCAAGGTGTTGTTACACCCCTCTCCATAAGTTTGGAAACGGAAAGTCCCCTTTGGGTAACATGTCAAAGCTTGCTCATGCTTGTTTGATTGAAGTTTGCAAACTTTATTCCTCAATTATGAGGTCAGAAAATGATGTAATTTTGAAAATTGCCAAAGCTAGACAGCTTTGACATATGGCTCAAAAGTGGACTTCCAGTTGCCAAACTTTAAAAGGGGGGTGTACGTGTATATCACATTTTTAGTTAATGTTGTACATTATATAAGTTATTATAATAAATTTTGTATTTTTAAACTCTTGTATGATTTTGAATTGTATACATATTTAAACAAAGTCGATTTTGAGGAGTTTTCAGATTTTGGGAGGGATTAATTGTTTGTTGCTCTGAGAATTTCTGAGAAAATGCTTTTTCAAAAAGAGTTTCAAAATGAAAAATATAACACCATTATGAAAAGATAACTCCAGTATGAAAAGATAACTCCAGTATGAAAAGATAACTCCAGTATGAAAAAATAACTACAGTATGAAAATATTTATGATATTTGTTTCTTAGTAGCACCCTCCCATATGCATAACTGGAGCCATCCTGGATTAAAAAAGAACTCCAGAATTTTGAGTTGAATTTATTAACCAATAGGTACTACGTAACATATTCATTTCATAAAAATACCAAAATGTGTCAAAATGCATATTTTGTTATTACATGTATATTATTATAAGTCCCCATCCCTCTCCACTTTCTGAAGGGAGATAATAGAGAGGGCAAGGGTACAGGGTCTTAATGCTCGATATGAAGTACTCCTTTTGTAAAGTGAAATTAATTTAGCAAAATATTTCTGCTTTCATGCTGCCGATTACTCCGTAAATGTTACGCTCTTATGGCTCATTTGAACGACATAAGTTATTACTAATGAAGAGATTAGTTCATTCCGCCAGTCATTTCACATGACGTTTCCTCATAATAGCGATAACCTATGATAACTCCCTTTCCAAGCTGATAAAATACTTTGCAAAATCAGTATTTTATCATAGACTATGTACTTGTTATGGGTTCAGAAAAATCTGTCTAAATTGCATCTTGAGCTGGTGCTACACATTCAGATATTTTGGGATATCCAAGAATGCTAGAGGAAAAGTGTTCAAATCATGTGCAGTCTTTTACTGTTGTTCACACTTTGTTACATCAGAAATTATACTTCCTAATGCTATTGTATGTAATGCCATTGTACTGAATGTCATTGTATGTAATGCCATTGTACTGAATGCAATTGTATGTAATGCCATTGTACTGAATGCCATTGTATGTAATGCCATTGTACTGAATGTGACTGTATGTAATGCCATTGTACTGAATGCCATTGTATGTAATGCCATTGTACTGAATGTCATTGTATGTAATGCCATTGTATCTTATGATAAAGTTTTCATATGACAATATTCAAACATGAACATGATCCAACATTTGTACTTGCAAATAAACCCTTTGTAATATAGGGGCACAGCACTTGGTATGTTGGCTATAGACAGGGACTTTAATATTTTGGATGCTGCCCTTTGTATTGTTAGAGACCACATTATAACACAAATTATTGGTGTTAAAATAAGCAAGCTGTTATGCAGAAAGTGAGTTATTAGAAGAATCTTGTACAACCTGTACCTCACCAGGTAATTTGCTAATTCTTGCAAAATATGATACCTCGCTAAACTTGAGATTGCCCTTACAATATTTTGATTGGTCTAAAATCAAATAAGCTTAATTTAAGTGCACTCATATAAGATTTTATTCGTTATCGAGGAATATTAAGGGTAATTCATGAGGTTATCAGTGTTATTTCTTGTAAGGGTGTTTTTCTTATTATTATTTATTGTAAGGGTGATAAGCATCATCTCATATGTTTTGCACTAAAAATAATAGCTTTCATTTAGGGTTGGGTGGTAAAGTGTTGTTTTTGAACTTTGAAAAATATCACACTTTCAAAAAATGTTCATTAAGGCCCGGGCATTAAGGGTGGGAGGTCTCATACTTAACAAAATAATTACCTGTATTTTGAGGGAAACTTTTGAGGCAACCCCTTACACCTGCCTGAGACGGCTATTATCACATGGAAAAAACATGCTTCAGTCGACATTTTGTAGTTTGTACCTCCAAAGTTTGTAGTTTGTACCTCAGCGCCTGTTTGAAGTTTTACAGTTGTGTTCAGAAGGGTATCTCTCCCTTACAAAATATTACATTGTGGTTACAGCGAATCAAGGCATACTAGACCATGGTCCATGAGTTGAGAAGTGCTGTTCAATATTCAATGAATTGCTTATGTATTAATTTAGAAATATCAGTGTGCATCTAACATGTCTAATTTCTCCGTATCTTTCTTGGTATACTAGTATCTTTGACTATGGTGATATTTTGTAAGGGTTACTGCTTGCTTTTTGCATCTTACTCATTCATACATCGTGAGAAAGTAAAATCCATATCATCTATGGACTGACATGTTTCAGTCGCTTTATTTCAGCTATGACTTTATTTAAGATAAAATATTTATTTTAATATCGCAGAGTGTAGATTGCATTCGTGGGATCAAGTAATCTCTGAAGATTCCGAATAAAATCTCATTGAATGGATTATAGAGTCGAACAACTGCAGCTACTGGACTCTGACAGCCCCGACTACAACTCTCGATCATATCGGTGTAATACTATGTAAGTCTTGGTTCCCGATAGCAGGCACAAAAAAAGGAGTTCTCCCACGTCAAATGATAATGGTTGGATTTACTACATCACTATTTTCTCTGCCTTAGAGAATTGTTTCTGCACAGGGGATATATGTGTAATGAAACAATGGAATTTTGTTTGTTACTGTAATGGAGAAATCTAGCTATTAGGTAAGTTTTGTTTGCTTATAATTAATTTATACTGGTATGTTTGTCCATAGCTATGCTTTCTTATATTGTTTATGTATGTGCAATATAAAAAAATATAATTAGATTGGGGTTACAGTGATCTCCCAATGGTTTTTTCTCAAAATGGCTCTAAATTCTAATTATACAAGCTTTAGTAAAAATGTTTCAATATTTCACCCATTTAACTGAGTCCAGGATTTTCAATGGGGTGGTATGCAATTTTCAGATGTGCAACGCCCAGTTGGCTTAATATTGGGAAGAACACTGGATTAAGTTCACCCACTCTTCATTTAGTGTGATCAATGAGGTCATATTTGTAAGGAAGCCATTCCAGGAAAACATGAATTAGAATTCATGAAATTCTGTTGTCATTCATGGTATCACCATGGCAACAATCAGAAAGACAATTGAATTTTGAATGGTAATTCACCTTTTGCAAGAAACTGTTTCTATGGCAAATACATGAATAATTTATAACCGATCCTTCTGTTGTAGGAATGGAAAAACAAGTAAAATCTGTCTGTCTGTCCCTCTGTCTGATTACACAATTATGCTATATACTCAGAGCATTTAAATTATGTCATTTCCAAAATTTGATTCAGGCAACAAGTGGCATCTCAAAAAACAATCAATTGTCAAAACTCATTTTTGGTTCTCAGTTATTAGGCTTTTTAGAAGTTTTCATGAATAATTGTTCAAAATTGTTGCGACTTTTATTTTCAGAATTTTATTTTTCAGTCCATAGTATTTCAGCAATTCGCTTTAATTTTTTCAATGGAAGATCTTAACTGATTTAATTATTTTCCGCAAAATTCTGGCAAAACCCATGTTTGCAAACTGCCAGCATATTCTTGCAATTTGTCAAAATCATTATATCACATGGTATTTGTATATTAACAATGAGGCGCCTTATTGGCTTGTTCAATGGTGTATAATCTGTTGTAAATACACGTTTATCGCATTATGATATAATATTGCTTTATTTTACCATCATAGTCATATTTCAGCTCTAGCAGCTGCGTTTCCCATCATAAAGAGATTTGTGCCTCTGGGAAGGAAGCAGATAGAGGGAAGTTTGTGATTTATTTCATGCCTGATCTTTTCTAGAATGCTAGGTCACAGATAAATAGAGTCATGGGATTTGATTTAAATAAGTAGATACTACAAGGCATGTACTGCAATTACCCATTGTTATTTTGGCAAATTGGCCATGACAAACATTTGCCTTCATTTAATTTGGCAAATAGATGTATTGTCATTTAATTTTTTCATGGTTTTTGAGTATTTTTTGTCAAAATTGCCTAAATTAGAACATGTATCAAAGTAACCACGTTTGCATTCTTCATACATTATATTTAACAATGAAAAATGAAATGGTAAAAACAGACATAATTATTTTGTCTAGAGGGTAGAATTTTACTGCTGGTATCTCAGGGTAGCTTGTATAGTATGTGTAACTCTTAAAACTCCAAGAACAAATAATTAAATTAATGTAAAAAAATCGATGTAATAATTGTGATTTTTTGCCCATTTGTTTCCATGCTAAAATTCTTTATAAATGTGGTCATTTGTTTGTGATTCACAAAATTTAAGAATATTATTGAGTCTTATGGAGTATGCTTTAACAAAAAATATCTGTAACTGTTTCTAACATTTTTAACAAGTACTTTGGGTCTTTAGTTCTAGAAACTGTATTTCATTATCCACAACTTAAAAACCTCGTATTATCATAATCATTTTTATCCCATCGAACGAAGTTCGGAGGGATATAGGGAACGCGTCCGTCCGTCCGTCCGTCCGTACGTCCGTACGTACGTACGTACGTCTGTACGTACATCCGTCCGTCCGTCAGTCTGTCCGTCCGTCCGTCCGGGCAATAACTCAAATGCGGTTGGCCAGATTTTGTTCATATTTTGTACACATATACCCTATGGGGTTAGAAAGCCGATTTTCAAAATGGCCGCTCATTTCAAAATGGCGGCCATTTTAGTGACGATTTTACATTAATTTAGGTGCAATATGTAAAACTGTAATAGCAATATGTTTTAAATGTAAAAAATTTATAAAGGACGTTAATAATGCTACAAATGTAGATATTAAAGAAGCACATGGCAGCCATCTTGAAAAATGGCGGCCTTTACTCGTCATTTTACGATTTTTGCTGTAACTCAAAAAGTAGTGGAGCGATTTTGTTCATATTTGGTATGTGGATACTATAAGCATTGCACACTGTCTAAAGACACTTTTGGTAGAAGGCGGCCATTTTTCAAAATGGCCGCCATTTTAATGTATTTTACTATAACTCGAAAAGTAGTGGAGCGATTTTGTTTATATTTGGTATGTGAATACTATAAGCATGGCACACTGTCCTATGACACTTTTGGTAGAAGGCGGCCATTTTGAAAAAAATTTGAAAAATGGCCGCCATTTTTACATATTTCACTATAACTTGAAAAGTAGTGGAGCGATTTTGTTCATATTTGGTATGTGAATACTATAAGCATGGCACACTGTCCTATGACACTTTTGGTAGAAGGTGGCTATTTTGAAAACAATTTTGAAAAATGGCCGCTATTTTAACGTATTTTACTATAACTCGAAAAGTAGTGGAGCGATTTTGTTCATAATTGATATGTGAATACTTTAAGCATGGCACATTGTCTAATAAAACTTTAGGGAGTAGTCGGCCATTTTGAAAAATGGCCACCATTTTTATGTGTGTTATTTTACAAGCATGTGTGCGATTTTTCAAAAATTTTAGAGGTGGCTACTTAAAAGCATATTATTTCTTCTGATGACAACTTTGCTAGTGAGCAACCATTTTGAAAATGGTGGCCTTTCTGGTGTGTTGTTTTATGATATTTGCGCTTCGTTTGTAAAAATGCCAGCCATTTCTGTTCGATGGGATTTGCTACGCTTTGGCGTTGCCGTTGTTCTGGTTATATCTGCGAAAATTATTTTGATAAATAGAATGAGATAATAGAGAAAGGGTAAATGCCAGTTATTGGATCAGATCGATATCTATTAGCTAAATGATGTAAAACTGAATAGTAATCTTTCTCCATTTATTATGGGGTTTATTGCATCGGCTGTGGGATAGTTTTAGGCATTATGCAAAATGTTAAGTAAATTCTTTCATTTAAAAAGTCACTAATAATCTGGGATCTTTCTACAATTTAAAATATTGAGGTGATGGGTCAGTAAATTGAAAGTTGCCAAAATGAATTTCGTATATTGAGAAACTTGTCAATATAAAATGATTGTTTTTTTTGTGATATTCTATATACTGCTTCTACTACAGTCTGGTACAAAACCTCAAGAAATGCCCCAACCATTCCTTTGCTCCAACAAACAGCCACAAACAGTATTTCTGCAGCTCTGCCAAGGACTGTATATTCTATTCCAGTCACAATGGTACAACAGCTTTAATACATGTTTTTCCAATCTGTGTGGCATACGAATGTGAACCTTATAGAGACCCTATGATGCTCTTCAGCTAATTCAGTCTCCTGCATACACACAAAAATACTTTTAATTGATTGAGCTGATTTTTCATTATATGGCCCATTTTCCTAATTCGCCATAATTCTTTTGGTCTGGGGCTTAGACAGTCCATTTTATTCAAAAATTAAGGCAAGTGCTAATATTGCACTCAGCCAAGTCACTTTCCAATTCAAAATAAAGGATAACCTTACTTTTTTCAGGAAATAGTCCTGGCACTGTCAACTTTTATAAATTGAAAATATAGTGAAAATGAGGGCACCTTGAAGTTAGTGTAATTTTGGGAACTCTACAGTAATAGCTTTGAAACATTAAAACTTCAGACAATTGGTCAATGTGGGACATTTGGTCAATGTGGGACATTTGGTCAATGTGGGTACTTCTCCCTTAGGAGACATTGGGAGATATAAACAATCAATGAAACATATATCACAGGTTTGAAATATTTTGTATAGGATTTTCCAATTGTGTTCTATGGGAGTAAGGAGTCATTTATTATGCAGGTAATCAAATATGGGAGTAAGGGATCATTTATTGGGCAAGTTTTCAAATATGGGAACAAGGTCAAGGCGTCATTTATTGTGGAGGTAATCAAATGTTTTATCAGAGCAAGATAAATGGGAGAGTTATACCAGGAATATATTGCCAGTCAGTGAATACAATCAAATTGTCATATATCATCTGCATTTTTTTGGAGTTGCACTTACTTGTAACTGCATTGACTAATATTCTGCAATACTGTTTGTTTGTTTGTTTGTTTGATTGATTGATTGTTTGTTTGTCCATTGTTAATGTGTTTGTAATGAAAGTAAGGACACACACGTGGCTAGTACTTACTTTTTACTGGGTATATTCATCTTTTCGGTGTGTTTGTTTGTTTGTTTTGTCGGGACGTGACTAGCTGATTGTTTTGAATGAAGATATTCCTCCATGTTTCTAGTAATCAAAACCTCAGATTATTGTAAGCAACCTTTTTTAATTTTTCAAATTCTAAACAAATATGAATTGATAAAAATATTTTATTTATTGGTATTTGTTCTACAATTGAAACAAATTGAAAAATCCAGTAAATACACAGGATTGCATGTCTAGAAACTGATAAATTTCCACTTGGTCAATTCTTACAAGCATTTCCTTTCAAAGCACACATGGGAACCAGAACTTTGATATAATTGAAATAAAATGAATTACTGTGAAGTCTTGCAGCTCATTAATTCGGTTTAGGGATATCAGATGTTCAATTTTGTTATAATATGTCCACTGAGTGTGTCTACTGAACTCTATATGGTTTATAATTCAGTTTATTAATTTTAATGACGTATATAACCACAGTACTTGAGGATAAAGTATAGAAACTGTTATTTTGGGTGTATACAAAGAAAGATATTTAAGACCATTTTACAAATTTTCCACATCATCAGATATGCTTGCTTACTTTGGAAATCTCTCAAATGATTCATATTTTCAATTCAAATACTGCTTTTGAAGATGACGCTAAACTAAATATTATAAGATAAAATAGATAAAATCAGGTGTATTGATACATATATTTTGATATACAAAACTGGATTAAAAATAAATGTTGTATGGTAAGGTTGTAGAATATTAGTTTTTTAAGATGATTGATTTAGGTATTATTTACATTTCTTTTATTACAAGTCCAAAGGATACAGCTGTATGTTTTGTATTTTTGTTTATTGATATGACAAAAGCTGTTTGAAACTTTATAGAAATGTGACATATGTACTGTTCAAATGAATGTCATCAAAAGAATTCCGTTCTTCAGGCAAAATTGGAATAGCTAACTGTAGTGTGCTATAATTATAGTGTCTATCGACTTTTTATAGGTTTCACAGATTTTGCAGACATTATAACAACAGTGAGTTTTGCTTGTTTTTCAGTACACACAGTAATTAACGTACATGTAATAGCAATTTTAAATGCATTGATATTTCTTATTCAATTATGAATTTTGTAGGTGTAGTGCTTTGCATTTTCATTTCAGAGCATATTTTCAGCCATCAAAGAATAATATTGCAAGTAAACAAACGAATAAACAAACAAACGAGCAAACAAACAACCTCTTTTGAGTGTGTTACGCTATCATATGGTAGCAGATGAAATCATTTGAAAAATTCTTTGGAAAGTGGAACTCAACGTATTCATGATTCATCTAATTATATTTAGGTTACCTGTGGAGAATCCAATGATGTGAAAGCCGTTACATAAATCACTGGTGAATACGATTACCTATATATCACTGGTGGATGTTACATAACTTTATGTATAGACAACTGGAAACCCATAGCTTGCCTGACACATTGAAACCAGCACGCAAAGGACAGAACTAGAAGAGGTAAGCTTAAAAATGTTGACATGAAGCAATGACGTATTTATCAACTGAAATATAAGGCTAGAGTTAATTATAATAAGGATTTTTTTTATGTTACCACCTAAAGTGGTGACATATTGTTATTGTCTCCAACTTTTTTGTGATGTTATATTTTTCTTCCAAAACTAATTTGCCAATGCTCAGATTCTCCCCTATTTGTTAAACCTCACTGCCAAAATAAGTTTTAAGAAAAACATCGATATTTGACCCCTACTTTTATTGTGGACAGCATTTGGGGGTCAGTGTTTGGCATCTGTAACATATGTAACAAATGGCAGGTAGTGACAAGTGATTTTACATGTTAAAACTTTGTTAAGTTTGCAGTACTAGTGGATGTTGAAGAAAATTTATTTTATTAAACATTTTATATATTTACTATAGCCTGCTTCAACTATTATTAAAATGAGTAGAAGTCCTTTTGGGCAAATATGTTTGCAATTCAATAAAATAAATATAAAAATATACTTGACATTATCATAAAACAAAAGTGTCCTCTCAAAGAACCATTATTCTGATATGATGTTGGAAAATCTTTGAACTTGACATGACCACTGTCAGTTTATTTAAGTGAGTGAACAAAAATGGACAGAGTATCAAGGTGGTCATAGGCCATTCAAAGTTAATCTGTTGAGAGGCCAAATCTCAAGAGGGTGTGGGTGAAATAATAAATTAATAAAAAGCAAAATTGCATTTATAATATTCAACAGTTACAATAAGATAATAATACGTACATAGATAGCTGCCGATAAAATAACACTGACAAACACTTAGGGTTCACATAAACGTTTTAATGAAGACAAAATTGAAGCTGAAATAAATGTAGTTTTCAATCTGGGAATTTCTTTCACTATAATAATCTAATAGGTCACAATTTTTATGCTTCAGTTGCCATTTTGGAATCATTACAATTACACTTAAAATGTTTGTTTGTTTTCTGACAAATTCCTGAATTATAGAAGAGAGGTGACGTTAAACGTATAGCTAAGATCTAAAACAATAGGTTCTTCTCAAATATATAGTCTAGAAATATATTAGATACTTGTATAGTGGGGACAGATGGTGTTTTTTTGAATTTCTTTTTTTTGGTTGTATTGGGATTTATCATTCTTACACTTTACCACATCTGTCTCTTGCATACCTTGTCTAACTTTACAAAGGTGCAAGAAGCATGCAGAGGTGCAAGAAGCATGGCTTAAAATGATAGGATTGGTGGTTTACTGTTAATGTTTCAGATAGTTAAAGAGTGACTGGCCTCTTTTACAGTTCACAGAAAGAGGAAGAATGTACTAAGGACACCCGCTATAGTTTTGGTGAGTTGCAATTCATAAATTTTACCCTCAACAAGATCTTCACTTCATTAGACTCTTTCAATAAGAGATAATTCTTTGATCCAGACTATGGTGTATTAACCCTATCGGCATGTTGTGTGAGCTCAAAAAATTAAGACACAACATTTCTGTATATGTACAATCCATTACATAGAACCACATTCGAAGCCATTAAGGATCCATTTGAGACAGTTGAGATAGGATCAGTATGAAAACTGTAAAACTAACTGTAAATGTCAGAGGGTAATGTAACAGCTAATAGCAGAGGGTAATATAAGACTATTTGATATTATTGTGATAGGAATCTAATTGTTATACATTGTCCTATCCTTGATTTTGTTAGTATTGATCTGAGCTTAAGTGATTGTTGATTTATGTTTCAATTTATTTTGGAATTATTGGTGTTATACGAAAATATTGCTCTGACGAGATCATGGTGACCTTAACATTTTACCTGCTCTTGAATCTTTAATGACACTTAATTGAATATATCATGATTTAATATCCAGTTTTAAAACTCTCTAAAAGATTGGAAAATACATCAACAATCTCATCAGATTGCTACACAGTGCTCTCTCTAGGATTTTTTTGTGAAGGGTATTTTTTAGGTTACTATTTTAGGTTTTTCTTTATTTTGAGTGTAACATTTGGGGCGTTTTGGAAATCTATTTAAAGAGGCAATACTGTAGCTATCATTCTCATCCGGAATTACCATAAAAAAAGTTCAATTCATTATGATATGTAACTTGCACAATAAAGAGACTAGGAGATAAACCTTCTTTTCTAAACCTTCTTTTAATGAATCTTGAAAAAATTCCTTTTTTGTGAAAAGTTCATTATACCTTTTATATTGAAATGGATGTATTTTTTAACATGCTTGCTAGGTTGGGATGTTTTTCAATTATATTTTTTTAGAAAAGAAGATTTTAGAAAGGAATAATATACGTATACGTAAGATACATATCATTTATAAATCAAAATAGTTTAGAGTTTCTAGTAAGAGAATTACTGCTATTTGTATTTGAACTATTAGAGGCAAACCTGGGTGTTGCTGTTACTGGGATTTAATTGGAGATACTGTGCCAGAGATTTCATTGTGTTACTTTGTTTGTCTCCCTCAGGAGTATATATCTACATCATTGTGACATCACATGATGGTCTGTTGCCATGAGAACAAAGAAACATCAAATAAACAATTCCATAGCCCTATGTAAGAGTGAGCCTCAATACAATCTGCTTTGCTCACATTCCATATACATAATTGGCCATATAAATGAAACGTATGGATTTACCGCAATGTATTTCTTGATTCTATGTATTCAATTGTAGCACATTAGAATAAAGATTCCCAAGAACAACTTGCTGGGTGATTCATGATGCTATTTATCATGGTCAGGCTGAGTTAAGGGCAAAATTCATGACTTTGCCCCTAATTTTATTTATGGCCACTTTAGCAATCTAGCTATAACCCTGCCATAAGCTTACCAAGCTTGGGAACATTTGGTAGAAAATAAAGATCAATGAGGTCACTTCCTGGTCATAATTTCGGATCAGATGGTCGGAAGGTGGCGGGACACTCATAATTTTACTCTGACTACAAATATTTTTCGACGAAAATATTAATATTAAGTAACAGGTGTATAAATGGAAATATAATGATGATATGAAGATAATCTCATGAAGCTAATCTATATTTTGTTGAATTTAATTAATGCCTTGATTCATTGACATTGAGAATATCAAAGTATATATTATATATATGATACAGTATATTAATTTTGCATAAGGAATTTAAAAAGGTCAGAATTCTATGAATTTTGAAATTGAATCAAATTCTGAATGAAATGATGTCTTTGTTTACAGAAGTTGAATTATTGAATTATTAAGTGATTTCTTCACAATGGTTTACATTTGGATACGCTCCCTCATAACAGGGTAAATACCTCATTAGGAGGGCTAACTCAAATCAGAGCAAGTTCATTTGTATGCTATAACCTAATTGTCTTATCAGTCTTGTGCATAGCCCCCCAAAGAGGCTTGTGTGAATAAAGCAATGATGGGCTAAAAGGGAACAATTTCTTGTGTCTGTGTGTAAGACTGTACTGAACTGAAATACAGCCAGATACAAGTGTTTTCAGATGTTTTCCTATACTACAATAATAACAAAGGCCTCCATTGAAAAGAATTGCCATTGGGTAACTCGGTCTCATGCATAGACACATTTTTAACGAGAAGTTAATGAATTAGTTAATTAGATGAATTAATTAGCCATATTATTCTGAAATATAAAATAATTAAAATATATATAATTTGCCACCACCTTAAAATGCCATATTAGTTACTTTACTTGCAAGATCAAAACTTTGTAAGGGCTAAAACACTTGTTTTATCCAACAGGTTCTCTTAAGGATTTGAATATTTTTCTCTTCACCATTTGTTAATACTTGAAACAAATTAGAGAATAGACTCAGGCTCAAGTTGACCGCTAATTCTAGGGAGGTCTTGAAATAGCTACATGTAAAATGTTTTGTGCTCGTCATTTTTATGTCACAAAATTTTTTGTGGACGGCGGTCTATGTTCAATGGTTGGTGTTCGGCTTGGCATTCGCCAGTCAGCGTTCAATGTCTGTAACAAATGGCAGGTGGTGACATTTTGCATGTTAATGCCTTGTATTAACAGTGTTTCGATTTAATCAACATTAGTGGCACATATCTATTATCAATATTAATTTTTTCAATTCATCATGGATTGTTATTGTAATTATTGTATCAAACTCCACCCCTGTATTGTAAAGCATATATAATAGCAAGCTTTCAACATGTAAATGTCAGTGTGTAGTTTTTTTTACAATTCTGGAAAATTGTTTTTTATCGTCTAAAGTATCAACAAATAAAAGAAGATCCAAGACTCAAATCAGAATGTCCTCGATTGGTAAGAGCGAGCCACAAGAATTCAACAACATACAAACATCTTAAAGTGTGCGCCCGACCTGGCTACGTATATAACAGAGTTTATACTGGCGGATTAGACTAGTTCATTTTTTATATGTGTGTGAAAGCTTTCTCTTATTTGCGTTTTTTTCGTTTAGTACGGTTTTGTTATAATTGTCGAGGTCATATAACCGGGATAAAACAATGATTATCGTTGACTGCGCGCACACAAAACATTTACGTCGAGTGAACAGTGTTATTAAAAACAACAGGCTTTAGAATACAAAGCCCAGTAGTGTGATAATAAGCTGTACACTACCACTGCTGCATGTACATATTAGGGCTCATAAAGAGTGGATGGGGAGGTTGTGTTTGTCACTTTTAAATTTTACATTTCAAAATTGCCATTTTACATGTCATAATTTCTTGGTTTCATTCGTTTAGCCGATCAAAACATTGTAAAACAATAAATCGTCTGTTACATATTATCAATTTTGTTCAGTTTTGATTACTTGTCAGAATGAAGTTACGTTCATCTGAATCCATGTTTCAAAACAAAAATCATATTTTCTTCACTTCAAAATACTTCAGTGAGATGAATGCTCGGAATTGTCGTTTGCAATAACTTATTGTCATATTCGTTCTTTTATCTACTCGATAGAAGCATTTAGTCGTACATTTGATGCCAGGTCACCTTCTCGCGTACCTCTTGGGGAGCCCCACATTTGTGTCTGTACTCATGGAAGTAAATTCCCCGGTGTAGCCGAGAGCCACAAAACTTTCAACAGGTTCGAAATGGCCAATTTCTCTCATATATACTCATATTTTATTAATTCATGATCACCTTCAAAGTATTCATAATAACTATATGTAATTTCAATAAGGAAACTATTATCTGGCTACATGTAAATTCAATATCAACACTAGATGTTCGCTCAACACGTCCTGGCTTACCTTGTGATGACAAACCCTGGGTTTTCGCTATTTATAGTTTATCAACACCTGGACGCATGCGCATTTTATAGTTTATCAGGCACTTTAAGTGATTTTTCTTGACTTGGAGAATTCTCTTTTAGGAGACAATGAGCTATTTAGGATATTGGGGATTCTATTATATGCCTTTGAATTTAGAAACAATATCTGGAGTTCTTTTACCTTATATAATGTTAGCTCCTTGTGCCTTATATTTTGGCAGCAGTGCAAAAACAGCCTAATACTGGACTATCATATGGTATTTCCCAATATAATTATGGCTTGGTTCACAATAAATAGTTGATATTATTTATATTGTTTAAATGATTTATATGGCAATTTATTTGGTTCAAATGATGGAAAGGTTTTCTTCTCTTTTTTCTCTTTAAATGTTGCTATTTTCTCAATTAAGCCTCATTAGTAATAAACGACATCACCATTGGGAGTGTTGGATTGGGGAGATATCGCAAATCCCAGACCTGAATAGAAAACTATAATGCCAAGCCAGTGTAAGCAGCTGAAATACCAACCAGCTCTCTGATATTCCAGAAAGAGGGATGGTTTTCCCATTAATGGTTGCTAATTGGTCTGTCTACTTGTGGATTCTTTGAATGCAACTCTATTATTCTGAAGGAATTTTTCTCATTTCATGATTATTCTAAACTCTGATAGAAAACGTTGAAACCCTCTCCTCCAAGTACTTTAAAATGGAAACCAAACCAAAATCTTGTGTAAGTTGATTACATTTAAGTCACAATAGTACGAACAAAGCTGCTCTATATTTTTATGACGTATTTTGAAATCTCCTTAAATATTTTTTTTATCCCATATGAGTATGCATAATCTCTATCATTTTATGTTACCAAAGATACGCGATTTATTGATTCTTTGATGTCTCGATTGTTTATTGTGCAACTTGAGGTAATTTGGCCAAATTTGAGAAGGTATTGATTTAGAAGTATGGCTTTTAGGGGTTCCTTATCTCACTATGCAATTACAAACCACACTCAAATCTAATTGATTTTCAGGATATATATCCATCAGGCCTTTTCCCTTAAGAGTGAAACTGTTTTTTTAGATGCACAATGGTAACATTTAAATAACTCATTAACATTTTCCCATTATTTTGGAATTTCAGTTTTCAAGGTTTTTGATATTTCCTTGATATTTTATGTGGTTTTTAGGTCTTGATAATGTATTGACTTAACTTCAGAAATGATTTGCTCGTTTTTGTGATTTTATGATTTTTGATAAATTGCAAAGAATGAACAATAAAGATTCAAGTTGAAGAAAGCCCAGGAATAAAATGTTACATTTCAAACATCATGTTTTTGTTTTTTACTATTTAGAATGACATGATGGATTAAAAAGGGTTATTTATTCAAGATTGAATATGTCTTTATTCCCTGAAACATAAAAACCATATTCAATCCCTTCTATAAAATAACCTATACAATGTTATTCTTTCCCCAAGGTTGTATGTATTGGATGAATAGATTACTAATAAAAAGGAAATCTGATTATCATATTTTGAAATCTCCTTAAATATTTTTATCCCATATGAGTATGTATAATGTTAACATGTTAACGGATATGCCTAATATGATCGTAAGAGATACTGAAACGGACAGTCGTGTCATGACAAAAACTGAATAATTTGCATATTTGATGACTGATTCATTTCCATAGTACTACGTACTTTGATGACACCTCTAAATACAAACACTCAAGTGATAATTTCAATAAAAAACATTTGGTTCAATCCTTACACTTAAAATCGCTGTACATAATATGTATAATTGAACATTTTTCTTTTGCATTGTTTTGATCGAATTAAAATTCCGAAAATTGAATGATGTTATTTTCTGTTGTTTGCCACTGACGTAAACACCAAGAATGCATACTCTGGATCTATCGGAAACCGTGATCGAAAACAAATAAAAAAATAAGTTATTCATTTACATATACTAATGAGATAAACCAGCTCCACTTGTGAAATGTCTGATGGTTGAGTATTGAAACTGCGATTAATGAATCAGTTACTATGGACTTTGGCACCACCAACGAGCATAAAGCTAAACCAGTAAAGATATCAGGTCGTATCGATACTGATAACAGGACTGTTTAGGACTATAACTGTGATATTCATTACAGAACGCATAATTTAAACAGCTAAAGGCATAGCAATCTCAAAACAGGTATTTTTATACTTTTTTTAGTTTTAATGATTTTTCAGATTTTTGTTTAGAATGCAAACATTTGTGTATAAATTTTAGATGGATGTGTTTTAATTTTTGTATATTTTGTGTAATTAAGAGTAATAATTTTTTTATATGGCACTGTCTTTAATATAAACACAATTTTAATGATTTTGAATTTACTTTCATTGAAAAGAAATCTAAATAACTATTTTCTCAAAAAACCTGCATTCTCCAATAAAAAGCTGGTAGTTGAAATCATATATTTTCCCAGGGTAATAATACCATTGTTCTTTGTCTTTGTTCTAGTGGATTCATATCAAGTTAGTTAAACAGGTTATCGAGTTTATGCGTCCTTATTCTAATTATCTTTTCTTAAAAAATTAATCTTACTGCGAGACAAGTTAAGTGCTGATAAAACTACTCTATCATATCATATGCCGGTTTTGGCGCTAAAAATAGTAGGGCTTGATTCAACGTAATTGTGTTCAATCTTCCCAATCATTGAGTTTATTGGAAGATGCAAGGGGCAAGATTTAGCTAGCCTATGGTTATGGCACTTTTCCCATCAAAGTTTCACTGAAGTCCTTAGAGAGAAGTATTTACCCCATTGTGTTTTTTCATTGATTTTATATTAAAAAGTGCAAGGGAAAAGATTTAGCCCTGTGTTATGGCACTTTTCTGGATTCACTAAAACTTAAGACTGAGAGCTATGTGAAGCAATTTTTACTCCTATCGTGCTTTTTCATCATCGAAGAGAATGGTTGGGTGGGCCCATGCTAAATTATGAACACATAAAAAATAATGAATGGCTTGATCTTTCACTCAGTTTTCTTTGTGATGAAGTTCGCTTAGGAGAAAGTCATTGAATTAACAAATTCATATCCCGATGAGAATATTACATAATTGTTAAAATTGTATAAATCAAAATTGGTGCACAATGAAACCATATATGGTCATATCAAAATGATAAGCTGATTCTGAAGTGGTTTCCTATCATATGTATATATTGCTAATTGATGCCATAAATTAGATACAAATTACTCAATAACTATAAAATAGATTTTCCAATAAGCCATAAATCAATAGAAACCGAGACCATCTGTAATTACATTGACTTTCATTCATCTCTATATATGAATGAAAAATATTAGTGAAAATGATGGACTTTCTGGTTTTGTTCATTTCAGTGTTCTCCTGCCACTTCAGTGTTTAATTCTATTGAAAATGCATGTATAAATTTTCAGGTTTTGAATTGTAACTGTTTTCAATTGTTGCCTTTTACCTTTCATACATTGGATCATTTGAGTGATTTGAATAGCTATATCCCTATTTACATTTTGTTCTAGTGTGTTTTACATTATGGTAACTAGGTTTCTTTGGCAACCAATATGCATCTCATACATATGTTACTAAAATACCTACATCTTTAACATGCTTTTGTTCCACCTAGCCAAAGATAAACTGCTACAGTATATCGTATCTTCTAGTGAATACCTCTCTCTTGTGAACACCTGTGTCTAGTGAACACCTATTCTCAGCACATACTGACTTCAGTATAAAATTGCCTCTCTTTGGTGAACACTTACCTGCGAACATATTTTTGTGGATCCATAGGTGTTCACTGTACACAGGTTTTACTGAATATTTAAATTATGTGATTTTTTTTACTCATTTAGTTGCACTTGAATTTAAAGCTAACACCTTCACTTCAAGTTGAAGTTTTTTTATTGATTCATTAAATTTTGTGATGATAAATTCTATCAATGATGTAAATAAGGCCAAGGACAGGGTTAAATATTGATATAACTGTACAGATGTAATCGATTAGGTTTTGAGGGAGGGGGTAAAAGTCTATAACATGCATTGATTTCTAAAACAAGTGGCAGCATATTTTCATTTGGAACAAATGTCAATCACATTTTCCGAGGGAAGTGTGAAGTGAAATTAAGGTAAGGTAAACTGTCACATGCATATAAATGTAAAGCGAAAGGAAAAACTAAACATTTTATGGATTAATTACTGAGGGATCCCATTAGATTATCCCCTCATCATGTGTATCATCATTGTATTTTATATATGTTGTGTTTAAGCAGATTACCTACTTAATATTGAAAATAGGTTAATAATAATAAAAATAATAAAATGTGATTCACATTCAATGTTTCTAAAGCATTGTGATGTACATACATGTACATATATTTGTTATATCAAAATCATGAAAATGGTGTTCCTTTTTAAAGCCTTATGAATGGAAACCATTTGGTTCTTGAAAATATATTTCACTTTTGAAGTGTTCACCTTTTAGTAGTAATTCAATTAACATTATAAATCAATGACTATCTGGAAAAGCATGTTTGTCTTAGGGGATGTTTTACAATAGTTGTTCCTGACATTTTAAATGTACAGTAAAACCGGTCAAATAGAACATCTTCATAAGTAGAACACTTTTTAAAGTTACATTACCCATTTCCTTAATCTTAAATGATTCTCTGTAAATGGAACACAATCAAAGTGGAACACTATCTTATGGTACCATAGATGTTCCACTTACACAGGTTTTACTGTATATGAATAAGATATTCTGTCTTTCTATTCCAGATCTTATAAAACAGCTTAAATATGGGACTCAGCTGTGGGGCACAGTGCTGTAAATTCATACTTTTTGCATTCAACTTCATATTTTGGGTAAGTTCAGTTCTCATTTTCTACTGTATGTATAGACTTTAATAAAAGAACTAGGGCAATTTGTTTTTCTAATTTTCAAAACAAAATGTAGTACCCTTCGAGAGTCAAACACTCAATATAGATTTGGAAATTCAATTTCTTTCAAACATTACAACTCATTTTAGAACCAGATTATTTATATCAAACTTATTTTGTAGGATGTACACGTATTACGTCATTGTACTTTAATTTGTAGTATTTTTTATTTATTATTATTTAAGCACAAAGTACAAATTCCATGAATACATGTGCCTACTTGATGCAGGTATCACATGACTGATATGGTCCCACTACTTAAAGGTGTAACAAAGAGAAGTTATGAGTCAAGAGTAACTTTTCCAAAACAATTTTTTGCTCCCAAAATTCCATGTCCCCAACAGTTCTCGCTTTATTTGATGACAATTGTTTATTTTCAAAGTTATTTGGCAATAGTTTGAAAAAATGGAGGTCTGTTTTCAATTCTAAGGAAATTGAACATTTCATCTTTTTTAATCAACAACTTTTATATTTGATCAGGTTATTGTTTTTCCGAATATAAAATTATGATTTTAAGGGAAACATTGGGGTGTTTTTGAAAAGATTACGTCTTACATTTTCCATTTTCTATTCTTTACTGCCACTTTAAGTGAATGTACAATTTTACATCTTCTATTCTTTACTGCCACTTTAAGTGAACGTACAATGGCACAAAGCATGAACTCCCTAACTGAAAAATTTCCTTGAAAAGAATACTGAGCCATTGGTATTTCTTTCACCCTAATCTTAGTGTATTGATTGATTTTATGGTTTTATTACATGTAAACACAGTGAGAGGGATCATAAATATGACATATGTTATGAATAATATCGAACACGCCTTTAGTACAGTTAGGGTCATAGTACAAGAAATGGGCATGATTCATGCTCAGTTATTAAAGGAGTGGTATTGATATGGAGAACTTTTTGAACACACGTTTCTCTTAAACAAGTCATAAAAAAATCTAAAAATTTAACACATCGTCAATTTAATGGTCATCTTTTGAATGGTAACAATATAATTTGAAAAATATATATATACTTTCATCTATATTGTTTTAGAAAACACATCAAACACTTGTTTTGTTCTTGGTATCATGTTTCCATAGTGAAATGAAACATCTTTCCGAACCTCATTGAAACAAAACGACATAAACACAACATGTTTAGGTCTCTCAATATTGTAATTGTACAAAGGAAATTTTGGTTGATTTTAAAAAAGTATCTTGTTAATGAAATAAAAGATATATCTTGATTTTGATTTTTTGGGGGAATTTTGTTTTAATTTTTTGAATACTTTTTTAAAATCAACCAAAAATTTCTTTGTATAACTATATAATATTGAGAGGTCTAAAAACATGTTGTATATGCTATTTTGTTCCAACAAGGTTCGGAAAGACATTTTATTTCATTCTCAAGAATTGGTAGAAAGGAGCAAAAACAATTGCACTAAAAAAACAAAAATGTTAACAAAAACAGTTATATAAAATATTTCTTAATAATTTTCGCATTAAATTGTTGTCAATCAGTCAACATTACATAAATTACATTATTTGTAATCATTATAAACAATGTATGAATGTAACAAAATAGGAAATAAAAAAAACAAAAAAACATTACATAAAATACCGTGTTTTTTACAGAATGTTTTCAATGATTGGTTTAAGAGAAAAACATTGTTAAATTCAGTTCTCCATATCGATACCACTCCTTTCTAATGTTTTATAAGGATTAGGGTTATGTACAGGGATAGGGTCATTTGGCATCAAGATCAATTTACCATATTTTCTATAAAGTTCATACATATTACATGTCATTTTTAAAATTGCCTCATTGCCATGAGATAAGATCCACTAGTTAAATGTGGGTGTTGATTCAAAGCAAATATTAATTTCACTAAAACAAACTCATGTACAGGAGAGGAGCTGGCTTTGAACCAAATAATTAAACAAACAATTTAAAAACACACAACCAAAAGACTTCCTTTACTGTTTCCCATATATTCCTGAATTATATACTTCTAAAATAAACAATGGTTATAATAGTATCATTTACATACTTATTGATAAAATGAAGTGCAGTATCTTCACTTTACTTCCTATAATGATTATACATGTTGTATGAACAGAAAGATAATGTTTGAAAATGTCACCATCAAGTCCCCTTAACAAGCTAAGGTGACACTAGTCATGAGACTTTGGAATGGTACAAAGACGTACATCATAGAGGGTCTTTTACAATATAGGGTAGTTGGCCAGGGTAACCTGATAGGATAAACACTTGTGTCTTATCTCTCCCACCTTGTGTTTTTTAAGTAAATCAGTTTAGGCACTTAGGACGCTCGCTCAGTCAATGACATTAGGACACTTAGTCCATGAGGTGCAAATGGGTCTTCAAATGGGTTCAAATGGGGTTTTCAGGTGGGTGCAAATGGGTCTTCAAATGGGTTTAAATGGGGTTTTCAGGTGGGTGCAAATGGGTCTTCAAATGGGGTTTTCAGGTGGGTGCAAATGGGTCTTCAAATGGGGTTTTCAGGTGGGTGCAAGCTTTTTCAACTTTCAAGATTGTACATCAATATAAATCGCATCATCTCCTTATATATTTAAAAAAAACGAATCACTGTTACAGATTCAAAAAGCTATAATTCTTTTAAGTGTTGCCCCTCTGATTTTACCTTCAGTGACAATTTAAACTCTGGACCGATGTGTAAATGTAAAACCTAATAAACTTTCATTTAATGAATCTAATGTTCAATATCTGGAGGGAGATTTCTTAGTAAATGAGGCCAAGAAAAAGATTCATGTTCAGGTTTCTTGCCACCATGTTTTAAAGTGACTCACATGAGAGGTCATGCTTTTGATTCTCTTGAAAATTTTGTCTCTATTGTATACAAACTCTACACAAAATAGCCAGGAATAATTTTTTTAATTTTTATTACATATCAATGATATTTATGTAGAGACTGAAATGGTATATTATTTTGTTTCTGTAAATATCTAAATAAGCACTTTAAAAATGTTCTTTTATAGTATGATATAATTTAATATAATATAATATGATATAATATAATATAAAATAATAAAATATAACATTTTAATATGAGGGACTCGACTCAGCCATACGTTTTCTTTGTAATTTCTGCTACTTGACTGGCAAAAGACATGCAATGTTTTTTATGGTCTGAAGTATATAAGGCCAAAAGGAAGCCATATAGCTATAATTTGAGTATAGCTTGGTGCTAGAAATTGATAATTAAAACACAAAATCTCCTATATATCAAATAGAAATTGTGATTAATGTAGGAATGATCCAGTAAAATGTGATCAAAATACAAACTTGTCAATATAAATGAAATATTATGCTTTATTTAGTTAATGATTAAAATATTTTCTGAACTCCCTTGTAAGATTGTAGAAGATGAATTTTCTTTTTATTCATTTCGTTTCCTGTGACCATCATAAAGCCTAATTTATTATTGTTGAATATGAGCATGAAATTAACATAATATTTGTTGTTCAATTTAAACTTTTAAACAGCATGATCATTATCAAGTTCTTTTTAACTCACATGGGATCTTATAATCACCCACTTGTTTATTGCAGTTTTAGAGCCTACATTACATGTGTGTTGGTTAAATGCAGGTCTGCTTCACATTTGTAGAATGATTCACTTTTAGCTCAAATGACACTGCACCTGTATAAATTCATATTATACCATTCAGTAGGTGTATACAATATGATCAGTCAAGGAAAGGATTTCTGTGTTGTATTGTTTTTTGGTTACCCCCATATTTGGCGAGCAATGCCTCATATTCCTTATTTTACACTCGAAGACAGAGCCAGAAACCCCTCCTTTGAGACCCTGTGTTCTTTTGTGTGCCCAGGTACATAGACATACAAGTACGCACCACAGCCTTTTATACGAGTCATTATCATTAACCACTCCGTCAAACACCCAGAATTACATAGCGCACAATAAACTTGTCTGAACCGGGAATTGAACCCTGGGCCAAGCGATATTGGTAACCTTGACTCTGCCACTGAGCCATTGCGGTTGGACTATGTTTTTTGTTATCTTATGTTTGATTAATATGGTCATTTTTTGCTAATTCTAACCATCTCTTTTCCAGTTGGCTGGAGCAGCCCTATTAGGCCTTGGAATATGGCTGCGGGTAGACAGAAATGTGCTAAGCATACTCGAAATTGCTAAAATAGATTCAAATGATCCATTAATAACTATCGTGTCTTACGTGTTGATTGGAATCGGGGCATTCGTCTTTCTTGTTGGATTCTTGGGATGTTGTGGAGCTTGTCAGGAAAGTCCGTGCATGTTATGGCTGGTAAGTTGGTGATAAAAACATTTATATATGTGTGATTGTTCATCATTTATTTATCATATCTTTATTGTGTACCGATACCATTTTGGACAAGAAAGATATCAATAAAAGTTAATAGAGAGATTTCGCAACTCACTTATAGCATGTTTATTATTCCTGTATTATATTTATGAACCGTTTGATTATGTCATCGTTTATTGCGCAGCTCTATAAGTCCCTAAGTGTGATATTCTTATAAAGAATATAAGAATAAGAATATCGGCACCAGAATATCACACTTATGTACGTATAGAGCTGTGCAATAAATGATGAGGTAATCTAACGCTTCATAAGTTATACTTTATATGGGAATAATAAACATACTGTAAGTGAGTTGCGGAACCTCTCTAATAAGTAAAAGTTTATACTTATATAGAAAATATATAGAACCTGGTCTGCGGCCACATTATGTTATATCTAAATCAAAAGATGCAGTTAATATCTTAATTTCTGGTGTTTCAATATCGAAAGTTTCACTGTTTTGTCCGTCACAAGTCATAAGAAACATGAATTCCATGTACTGTATTGTCAATAATGTTCATTGCATGTAATATATTAAGTACTGATTCTCTTCCAGATTATTGAAACAGAATATATTATTTCGCTTTCAGCGCTACTTCTTCCTGATCATTGATACATGTGATAATGATATGTTATTATTTTGTTTTCAGTACTGTTTCTTCCTAATCATTGATGCAAAAAATGCTCTTATGCTAATTTCAGTACTGTTTCTTCCCAATCATTGTTGCATAATATGCTTATTTTCTAATTTCAGTACTGTTTCTTCCTGATCATTGATGAAGAATATACTCTTATTCTAATTCCAGTACTGGTTCTTCCTGATCATTGATGAAGAATATGCTCTTATTCTAATTTCAGTACTGGTTCTTCCTGATCATTGATGAAGAATATCCTCTTATTCTAATTTCAGTACTGGTTCTTCCTGATCATTGATGAGGAATATCCTCTTATGCTAATTTCAGTACTGTTTCTTCCTGATCATTGATGCAGAAAATATTATTAATCTAATTTCAGTACTGCTTTTTCCTGATCATTGTAATGCTTGCTCAGATAGCTGCAGGAATACTGGCTGGTATTTACAGAAACAGGGTAAGCATCACTGGGATTTGTATTTTCAGCTACACATCTGATTGGCTAATAACTCTCACCTGACATTCATTTGATATTCCAAAAAGTTGGTTAAATTACAACCCTAAAACATCAGTACCCAAAACATATAAGATCATTATAATTATAATATTTATATTAATATGATGTATACAACTTCCTAAATACACTGTATCTGTCCTAGAAATATGATTATACAATAAATAATTCTTGATTGTTAGTTAGGAGATGAGTTACGAAAAGGAATGGCGAATGCTCATAATAAAAATTATGGTCAGCCAGGCCAAGATGGATTCACAAGATCGTGGAACGCTGTCCAGGTTTCAGTAAGTATGATATTGTTTTATTGTTGAAATTTTGTTTTATTGTTGGAAAGTTTGTTTTATTGTTGACATTTTGTTTTAATGGTGGAAGTAAAAATAGCTGTTTTCCATCAAATAAGTTTTCAGATTAACTAGCACTTATTTTGTATTTGTTTATTATGTTAATTATTTTTAGCACCAAAATATTCCAAAGGATATATAATTTTAACTATGTTGAATCTATATATTGCTATGCAATCTTAGAGTCTTATATGGTATTTTATATTTGTAGTTGAGATGCTGTGGAGTGAATGGCCCAGCAGATTACTCAAACAGTACATGGGCAAAGACATCTGGAGTAAGAAAACCAAAGTCTAGTCATTAATTCAGTATTTCAATTTATAACTACACCAGAGTGTTTTGTATTGAAGTCCAGGACTCAATGAATTTAAGATTATTCAAATCATGTATGCTTTGTATCAGACTTTGAATGAGAGTGGCAGCCCAAATTCTAGAATCCAAGGCTTGAATGGATGAGTGCTTGATACAAGACATGCATGCTTTAAATCATCAACAATGCATTGAGCCCTGTGCTTAAATCCTTTATTTTTAAATGAAAGTGTTAATAAGATTTGCAAATAGAAAAATCCTTGAAGTAAATTCAGAGTATTTATATTCATGACAATAAAAACAATCACCTGTTTGATAAACTTAATTAATTTCAATTATTGCCATGTACTTATATATTTTTTTAATCATGTGCTTTATATTCTTGCCGTTTCCATCCAATAGCTCAAAAAAGTTCCAGACACATGCTGTAAGCTTAATAATAATGATCCAGAAAACCCTGACATTAAAGACAGTGTCCTGTGCCAATTAAATGCGTACCTTCCTACAGATACACCAGGTTCAGAAGATGTTTTAAATACTAAGGTAAACAACCTGGTTTCCATGGAGATGCTGTTGATGACACTTTGGGAGCGATGCCCTCTATTGATCCATTTCGACAAGATGTTGAATTTTTAGTCATCTTGTCAAATTTTGGATATGATATGTAGACCTGATAGTATAAGAATCTTGGAATGGATCATCTCATAGCATATAGAACTAAAATTCTTCTGTTTCCTTCTATTATAACCCCAGACATATCATCAGTACTGTGCTGTACTGTAACTGTACTGTCTGTACTGCACTTGCTGTGCTAAACTGTTTTTCACTGTCTTTACTGTACTGCACTTTACTGTAGTGTCTGCACTGTACTTGCTGTGCTTAACTGTTTTTCACTGTCTTTATTGTACTGTGCTGTACTGTACTGTCTGCATTGTACTTGCTGTGCTAAACTGTTTTTCACTGTCTTTATCGTGCTGTACTGTAACTGTACTGTCTGTACTGCACTTGCTATGCTAAACTGTTTTTCACTGTCTTTACTGTACTGCATTGTACTTTACTGTAGTGTCTGTACTGTACTTGCTGTGCTAAACTGTTTTTCACTGTTGTTCACTGTCTTTATTGTACTGTGTTGTACTGTACTGTCTGCACTGTGCTTGCTGTTCTAAATTGTTTTTCACTGTCTTTATTGCACTGTACTGTCTGCACTGTACTTGGTGTGCTAAACTGTTTTTCACTGTCTTTATTGTACTGTGCTGCACTGTACTGTCTGCACTGTGCTTGCTGTTCTAAATTGTTTTTCACTGTCTTTATTGCACTGTGCTGCACTGTACTGTCTGCACTGTACTTGGTGTGCTAAATTGTTTTTCACTGTCTTTATTGCACTGTGCTGCACTGAACTGTCTGCACTGTACTTGCTGTGCTAAACTGTTTTTCATTGTCTTTATTGCACCGTGCTGCACTGTACTTGCTGTGCTAAACTGTTTTTCATTGTCTTTATTGTACTGTGCTGCACTGTACTGTCTGTATTGTACTTGCTGTGCTAACTGTCTTTATTGTACTGTACTGCACTGTACTGCACTGTACTGTCTGTACTGTACTTGCTGTGCTTAACTGTTTTTCATTATCTTAATTTTACTGTGCTGTACTGTACTATACTGTCTGTACTTTACTTGCTGTGCCAAAGGGTTTTCCACTGTCTTTATTGTACTGTGCTGTACTGTACTGTACTGTACTGTACTGTACTGTACTTGTTGTGGCAAACTGTTTTTCACTATCTTAATTGTACTGTACTGTGCTGTACTGTACTATACTGTCTGTACTGTACTTGCTGTGCTAAACTGTTTTTCACTATCTTTATTGTACTGTACTATGAAATGAACTATGCTATATTTTAATATTCTGTCCTGAACTGTACCATCCTGTAGGATATAACCTTTCCTTTCTTTCTATACATTTCTGCTGTGGAATGCTACATTGATTTAAAGTATAACACTAATATTCTTTGTTTTCTTTGATCTAGCACATAATTTTACTAACACATTGCATGTACACTCCCCTTCAAAGATTTGACTATCCCATACCTCCATTTGACCATGTCTTCATGCAGTAATTCAGGAAAACATTTTAAACATGATTATTAATCAAGCATGAATACAATATCTTTTGTGGAGTCTGGGTTATCAGTCTTTTAGAGTGGTTGTAGACTTTTAGTAGGAGTGGTAGCAGAAATAGTAGATCCAAGTTTTAGATATTTAAAGGCCCCGTGCAAACATCCCTGTGTCTTAATTAGTTAGAACATAGCTTGTGTCAAGGTGGAATTCTTGTCATATTTATTATGTTTATATCACATTATACTAACACATCATCTTTATCTTTATTTATAATGCACCATTTTCTCTTTTCCTTCTAATCAAGTTACGACATAACATGATATGTCGGACATTGACCATTCAATCAGTCAAATGAAAGACACTTGATACCAAAAACATATTGCAAAATCATAAAATTCAGATTCTATTGTATTAATAAGGGTGGATATATCACTTTTTCAGAAAAATAAAAGGGGCTTTTATTATGGAAGGAAATGCTTAAATATTTTGGAATCTGACAGAAGAGAAAAATGGATGTATATCGGTACATGTAGTCATTTCAAAAATATAATTTAATGGTCAATGGGCCCTTCATTATGTTATGTTGTAACTTGGCTAGGTAGGCTACTAACATAGTGCAATCCAGGTCTACAAAGATTCATCCAAGAATCTCTCAATGAGAAAATCCCATGGTGAATGGTGGTCATGTTTTGAAATGTAAAATAGCATATAAAAGAGTGAAATTAGCAAGGAATAAAGTAAACAGGCGTGTAGTCAACATCCAAAATTGTAAAGAAATGTAAGAAAATCTGGCAGTTCATTCAAATTTTACTGAGAGAAAGCTAAAAAAGGCATCACCACCATTTGCTCCTGGGATCCAATCAGACGGACCGTACAGAAAGAAACCACAGCTCCCAAAATAGTTATCAGCTCAAAGCATGTTATTTTATGATTTTTTAGGGTAACAATACGATTCCTGATACATGTTGCAAATTATCAAATACTGACTCAGAAAATCCTATGCCTAAAGATAAAGGTCAATGCCTACTTGACTATGGTAATAATGTTAGCAAATCCGAGTTCCTTCGTGTCAACGTAAGAATTTATACTGTTTTTCTTATAAACAAATAATTGCTGGTCATTATCATAAAAATCCTACAAAGGGTTGCTAAATATAAAATACTTTTTGACAATTCTTTGGACATTTGAGACTTTAAAATTGATGAAATATTTATCTGACTACAGTCATTGTTTCTTGTTTGATGAAACTGTGAAGTATAAAATTGTTTTCTCTTGAAAAGCAAAACGTTTTATTAATTTAATTAAAGTGGCAACAAAGGATTCTGAGTGTTAAAGAAGCAATGTTTTTATTAAACATGCTGATGTACTCCTTAATACATACCAACACATTCAAGATATGAACTAAAGAATGAAAGTAATTGAGAATTTGAGATGCTCTGGATGTTTACTTTGTCAGAATTAACGCCAAATAACTTTAATAATTTTAATGTTATCAGAAATATAACCTATGTTGTCTCTTTAACCTTTGAATTGAAATTTAATTAGAATGATTTTAAAATAAATTAATACATTGTAGGGATGTTATGATGAATTTTTCAACTGGATGCAAAAACATAGTGTTATTCTGATAGCTGTTGCCTCAGCAATTGCTGCTATACAGGTAGGTCTACTCTCAAACTCAAAAGCATTTTTAATGGACAATACTCCATATCATATGTTTTTCTCATTTACTGTAGATTTTCTGTATAGGCTTATAGTACAGAATATACTCTTCAATTTTTTTTGGCAGGAAAAAAGAGAGTTAGTGATAGACGAATGATTATATTGAGTACACTTTGTATTCAATATAATCAGGGTTAAAAATCATTTTATTTTATATGAAGAAAAATGGTTGTTTATTAATAAGCTTATGTCAAAATCAATGATTTTGAAAGCTTCATGAGAAAAACATTGACTATGAGTCTCTGAATTTTGAACATCTTAGTTCTCTATTATTATGAGTGCATTTTAACTTTACCTTTACCATATATTTTATTTGAAGTTTTACATAGATTTTCTGCAATTTTATGTTTGCAATTTTTGTAGCATGTACATGTAACTAGTATTACCAAAGTATTATAGTTGGAATTTTGAATAGTGGAATAGTTTATATAGTTTGCCTTTCTGACCATTTGAACAACTATGCATGGTGTCCATATGTCAAGAGTTGTGGAAAATGAAGTTCATTTCATTATGACTCCCTCCCATCCAACAAAAGATGAAAATGTTGATTAGCTTTAACTTCCATTGCCAGAAAAATGTTTGACACTAATGGAATCACCATTTACCCCCCCCCCCCCCCCCCCCTCCTTCAAATATTAACTTCGTTTTTGTGCAATATGACAGTACAGCAGGGTGTGTAATGAGAATTTAACATATCTTCATCTAAACAGAAGTACAGACCACTTGGCTTGTTATTTTTTCTCAATACAAGGGCTGTTCAATAAATGTGCGTACATTTATGCACTCATTTTTGTGTTTCATAAATAGAGGTTCTGTTTGCCTATATTGTTGAACATCCCTCGTATATGCTATAATAATTACGATATTTATCATGGTCCTTCGTAGAATTTACTGAACCATTGTTTAAGCCAAACCCTGTGACTGTGCAGAGAAAACCATATACATGTACAATGAATATGAACCTATGCTACATTCGTCCTATGTTATGTTATGTTGTGGTAGCCCTATAGCTTAGACATAGTTTAATCATTTCACTTTTAGATCTTCGGAATTATAACTGGCTGCTGTCTGATTAGATCTATAAAAAACACAGAAGGGGCATACTAGTTCCTTACCCTACAGACAGCCATGGTACATGAGGGTACATACTACACCTTGTTGTAATCACCCCCCTCCTTCCTTTCAATCTACACATATTGATCAACATGTAACATTGAATCTAAGGAACAAATGCTTAAAACTGAGTATTTCAATGATTGTGACAATGATTGTATTTGGAGAATGTTTCATTGATTCGGACAATGATTGTGCTCAAAAACTATTTCATTTCTTGTTACAATGATTGTATTTAGACAATATCTCATTAACTTTGACATTTAATATGCTCAATAATATTTCGTTGGTTGGCTGAATGATTGTGTCCAGAGAATACTCCATTGATTGTGACAGTGATTTTGTATGGTGAATAACTACTATTTTTACTTATTGCATTAAGGTCAATGATTGCTAAATATTTTTTTCTATCGTTCACTCAAGGCATTATTGAAATAATGAATGGTGTTATTTCAAGGGGATTTCCTCTAGTTATTCCCCACAAGAATTACCAAGTTGTTCTAAGGATTGCACTTGTTATGTGTTGACGTAAATAGCTCTAAAGGTGAGGGACCTCAATGGCTTTGAATGACTATTAATCCACACCACCCCAGCTGACCAACTACTCTTTAATCTATATGTCTCCTACACTCAATACCTTCTGTTATCTTGATGCAGGCTTTATACCCAAATTACAGCGCAGGATTTGCTATTGATCTTACACTATGGGCAGTTGACCCACATATTCCAGTGCACAGCCTCAGAAAATGCCTCCTATAGAAATGACATTGTCAATTATCTGATACCATGTTTTTGAGGCTGTCCATCTGACTGATTTCCAAATGCATGGTTTATTCAAAAGTGTAGACCAGCAAAATAATAAGGATGATATTTTTGTATATTCACTCTCCTAGTTAACACGTAACCCTAAAATATGATTGTTTGCATGATTTTGATTGGTTCTCCGTTTTATTTTACAGCTATTCGGCATTATAAGCTCATGCTGTCTTATGAGTGCAATTAAAGAAAGCAAACGCGACTTTGCTGTCTAAAAGTGGGCTTTTTGTCTTTAGTTAATTCCTTTTAACCCCTAACCCCATAAATAGTAAAAGCTTGCTTCTGTCCTTTGTAATTATTTCAACCTGCAGTCTTTTCTCGCAATATTCTTATCTGAACATCTGTGAGGAATTCCTGCACCATGGATTTAATAATACAAGAGAATAATATTTTGATTCTTAGATTATAAGAATATTTCAAGAGAACCCAGTGCTTTGTTATATAATTCAGTGTGATTTTTCATACAAAGGGATGATCAAAAAATAGTAAAACGCTATGAATAAAAATTTCCCCAATCGTCATATTATAATAGTTTAATTTGCATATTTTACAGATCTTTGGGATCGTAGCATCTTGTTGCCTTCTCCGAGAATTCAAGAAAAATTAGAAAGGAAATCAATTGCAAAGCCTAATTAAGCATATTTCCTTAACAGCTTGTAATCCATGAATACCACTAAATAGGAGACAAGGTCAATATATCGATGTACACACATTAGATAACATTTTAGAAAAGAAGTAGAATTCCAATTTGTTTGCAAAAGAATGAAAATTAAAAGGAGGGAGGGGTCAGTCTGTCTCTCAGTCAATGTACACTCCCCTCCATAAGTTCTTGCAACCAGAAGTCCCCTTTTTTGGATCACTTATTGAAGCCTGTTTATGGTTTGCGATTGAAACAATTCACCAATTTCTAAACTACTGTACAAGATTATGATACAAACAGTGACAGGCTTAAAAATGCTTTCAAATGAAAACTTTTAGTTGCGAAATTTATGGAGGGGAGTGTAATTAAGCTTTCCTTTTGGGCAATATTTGGATTTTGAATATTGACATCGAAATATTGACCTATTGTATATATTGGGAAGAATAAGATACCCTTAGTTTTTGAATGTACAATTTTGCATGAGGAACTGTTACTGTTTTATTAACACTAATATAGAGTGTGGGTATATTTTGTTATATGAAATTTAGTATCTGTATTTAATAATATAGCATGGTATAGAAAGTGAGTGGTTGTTTGAAATTATTTGTAATATGCATCATTTTATCGAACATTTGAGCTGAGTGAAGTGAAAGCTCCCCATATGATGATGTACTCAGAATAACTGATTTCTGTGTGATGCAGTTAAAAATAATTTAAATGTATTTATTATTTGATATGCTTGAAATAAATATTTCTATTTTTCATACTATTCTCAAATATAATTTGATATAAGTTCTGTATCATAACCGCATGAATTTCTTAAATATTGCAATGTTTACTTTATTAGTGAATGAATATTGAATAGTTGTCTTAATATATTACTGAGTATGATTATAATTTGATATTTCTGTAATATTTCCATGCTGTCTACTCCAGTTATACCTTTAATTATTTAATATAACTAATATAACTAAGCTTATGCAACATCACGTAAGCTTATGCTTGATTGCTTACAGATTACTGGTCTCATATTTGGTTGTTGTCTGATGCGATCTATCAAACGGGATAAAGCAGAAACCTACTGAACCATATCAAGATTTCTACAAGAGTGACATCTTTCAGTGTGTGGACAGTTCATTTCATCAATAACCAAATATGGAACAGCAGTGACACCTATCAGTCGCGTTCATTAATAATTGTATAATATACCATTTCATGGAGGATAACATGTATTCTAAGAGAATATACAACAGCTGGATATCTGAATGTACAGTATTGATTTTAATTCATATAGTAAATGGACAATAGGAGAGTGCTGTGCATAAAAGGATGATATAGATGTAAATAGTAGTGTTTTATATTGTACTCAAGATAAATAAATACAGGATTGTACCATGAAATTATTTCAAATAGTTATTCATGTGCTTTTCAGTACAGATACTTCTCAAGAAAATTTATGGTTTATTATGCAGAATACGTAGTGTGTAAAGCGGGAATTTAATAATTGATGGCATATGACATTGATAGGATAAGTCAATGTCATGGATTGCCAATAAATGGTTGATAAACCTGTAAAAATGTAATTATGAAATATAAAATGACATAGTTTTGTAAATATATGTAACTCAGTGTAGCAATTGGTGTCAGCTTGAAATGTCATGATTGATGTCAGCTTGGAAATTATGTTTCTGTGTCACAATCAAAATGGTCACATTTTATCAATCGAGTAATTAATGAATTCCTGTTGCTTGATATAGTTTTGCAGGCACGAGGAAATGTGCGAACATTTTCTGAAATAGTGAAATGGTTATCTGCTATATAGTCATTTCTCAAAAAGCATTTCATAAGTTTGGTTCTTAAGTCTGATGTTGACATTTCATATTGTAAAATTGAAACATAAAGCAGAACTTCAGGAATAGAAATTGATGAAAGTTCTGATAAACAGGCCATTGTCTCATAGAAGGTATGAATATGAAAAAGATGCATGACGAAAAAGCTATACGTATATGTAAATCTATGCTTATTGTAGCTATATATACAGATATGTTGTCATGGCCTTGTTTCTTTCTTGATAAAGAAAGAATATGATTGGCCAAGCCATAATTTGAGAATTCATGATAAAGAATGACATGAACAAAATTTTTTTGGAACATCCTCACAAATTGTTGAACTCAATATTTCCCAAATGATATGACCATTTATCGTATGAACTGTAAAATTAAGCCTTCTGATTGGTCAGTTCTTGTGGTTTACCAATCTGTATTGCTACTGAGATTGTCCTCATTGATCATCGCTGTCGCAATACAGAAAATATTGTTACGGAAGGGACATTCTCAGTAGCAATACAGAGGATCACACGATAAAAACGTTAAAGAATGATTTGAAGTGCAATACAGGATATATTCTGCTCTCGATATTCTGTATTGACACTCGACTTCGTATCGTTCCAATATGGAATTTCTCGAGCAGAATATATCCTGTATTGCACTTGAAATCATTCAATAACTTATGTCTGTAGAATATACTATACAAGTTCATCATTTCAGTGGTTAGTGTTGAATATTCAATTCAGAAGTCACAATGTACATGTCAATTTCTGTAGACCAGAAATCATGTTGACATGTACATAAAATAGGAACATGTACTACATATATATTATTGTTTATTTTCCATGATTTTTGCAATAAATAGATACATAAACAAACATCTAGTTTTATGTTTGATTATTGTAGACAACAATATTGTAGGATTTAATCCAAGCGATGGGAATGAGATTTTGTAGAAGGATAATATTTTAGTCATTTATAAAGATTTTATTATTCTAATGTATCGTAACATGGAAATTCTTAAAATGTGATTCTGATAAAGCTACAGATCTGTGGTCCAAGTGAGGGCTATTCAAAATGTTTCAGAATCAGCAAGGATCATATTTACAGATTTAAAACCATTCCCACTTTTGTTTTATACTTCAATTTGAAATAAGCTTGATGCCACAGCTGCAGTAGAGGCTTTCAAATATCAACAAAACACTATTTCAAGGCAATCTTACACTGTATTTACTATGTTCAATTCTACATAAATGATACAATATCTTCCTTTAATATCATATGTATATATTACATCTGTTATAAAGTTCCATAAACAGTCAATCTTACTACATTAAAATATCAAGTCTAACACGATTCATTCAGAAATATACAGTCTCAAAAATACACATTTTCTATCATGTAAATTTCCAAAAGATGTCTTATAGAATAGAAAGTCAATATTTAATGCAGCATATATAAAGTTTATATGTATAAATACATGCATAAGCTTTTTATAGGAAAAGGATGAGAAAAACAAGATGGCGTCTGAGTGATCAATCTGATTTGACATCATTTCACCTTGTTCAGTCGTTCCAGCAATGGAATTGAACCTTGCCAAAATAAAACATTGATGAATGCAATTTTCCAGTGGGTCCAACTCAAAGGAAACACAGATGATATACAGAAATATGATCTTTATATAGCCATTTTCAAGAAAGAACCCTCCATAAACTCATTGTTTGTATGATGAAAATATTTGGAGTCCAACATGTCTCAATAGAGAAAACATTGTGCATTAAGTCAAGTTGGAAAAGTAAATGGATCCATCCCATAATTTTGATTAATGCATGCTTCCATTTGATTGGTCAGTTCCAGCAAGAAAGATAACAATGATAGCTGATGATGTTATAACCCAATACCATACATTGCCGCCACATATGTACAAGCTTTTTCTTACAAAATAAAAATCCTGGTAGCCATGCTTTATGCTTTCAGACACCCATATACTAAGAAAATGGAACACTTGAATGAACAGTTATTGAATTCACACTATGGTAAATACATTTCTGATTTTTTTGAAAAATACATATGTCTAGATCTGTCATGTTTTCCAGGTGATGTCATTGTTCTCACCGACACTCTCACTTGCCAACAACAATTAACAAGAATCCATTTTTAAGAAAAACTAAAATATAAATCCTTATTACCACCTGTGGTGTGTCATCTTAACCACTATAAAATCTTTAGGAGGTATATAAATACTTAAGGGAGACAGATCTATTGCTACTGTACAATTATAATGTATGTATAGTTATGCATATACTTACAAAAATAGTCTATGATACAAACACACAGTGAAAATAGTCATGCCTTAAGTCCTACTGGGCCCCTCTCTACCCACAATGGAAGTAGATACTGGATGGGAGGGGGTTGAGATTTGATGTAAAACTATCAGGACATAGAGAAGGAAGTGTTACAAATTCAAATGTGAAGATATAAAACAGATCTCATACAAACAACATCAAAATTCCCCAGAATCTTCTAAGGCTACAGCTGTTGTTCAGTGCCAGATCTGACGAGGTTGCCAAAAGGAGAATTTCTAAATATTACACAAACAATATATCTAATCCACAAATCTAGTCACTGTTTTTTGTACATTCAGTCACATATTCATATAACAATATATCCTCTACATCTATGGCTTTACAGTTATGCCCCAAGTATTACTGGTTTTCCTCAATAAACCTGTATGGGCATCATGTCTTAGTCATAATATCATCTTATTCTCTTTTCATCTTAAGATGTACCTGAAAATTCCTGAAGAAGTTTATGGATAAACTCTGGATAAACTCTGGATAAACTAAAAAATGAAAAATGTAAAAGCAATTTTATGAAAAATAGTCAGTCGGTCAGGACCATAACATTAATATATTTCCAATTTACAAAAAATATAGTTTTAACAGCTGAACCGTTGCTATAGTTACAGATCTATAATATATGAAGGTATTTTGGATGAAGATTGGAATCACTGTATTAAACATAAAGTTGAATTAATGAATCCTACCAAAATAACTCCATCACATTTATCAACATATTTCCAGTCCCTAATATCACATTGGCCATTTAAGTTAACGTCAAAAGTCAGTTTAAAAAGTTGTCTTAGGCAGATGTGGTTAAAGAGAAAGTAATAGTAACAGTCTACACAGCTGTACAGCTGTATCCTCCTTTATGTGTCTTTGTCATATAAAAAAAGTGATACTGAGTATTACTATTCGATTTACATTTAAACATTATGCCGACTCCAGACTAAGCATGGATAGCCATTACAAAAATTGCCTTTTACGGCACCGAGAAAAGTAACTCATTTATTGGAAGAACATAAGTAAATCTTGTATAATATCTTTGAAGTATAATATCTTTGAAGTAAAATATCATTGATGGTCAATTTTGACAAAAAGTAGAATATTTACATAAATAACACATGAAGAGTACTATATATATATATATCAATTTAGTTCAATTCATAATTTTCTTGCCTTTTTTGAACATCTCAAAAGCTTTTTTTACATTTGCAATTAAAATTGGAATGGTGAAGGGCTAATCAAAGAACATGAATAAAAACAAGAAAAGCAAATTGGAGCAACTAAAAATAAACTAAATATGATACAATATTACTCAACCATATAATATACAAATATGATACAATATTACTTTACCATATAATATACAGGATATGATACAATATTACTTTACCATATAATATACAAATATGATACAATATTACTTTATCATATAATATACAGGATATGATACAATATTACTTTATCATATAATATACAGGATATGATACAATATTACTTTACCATATAATATACAGAATATGATACAATATTACTTTACCATATAATATACAGGATATGATACAATATTACTTTATCATATAATATACAGAATATGATACAATATTACTTTACCATATAATATACAGAATATGATACAATATTACTTTACCATATAATATACAGAATATGATACAATATTACTTTACCATATAATATACAGAATATGATACAATATTACTTTACCATATAATATACAGAATATGATACAATATTACTTTATCATATAATATACAGAATATGATACAATATTACTTTATCATATAATATACAAAAATTACACCTTCTTTGCTAAAGTATCAAAATATGCACAGAATTTTAGAACTGCACACAATTAAAAACTGTTACTATGTCACATCAACACAACCATAATGGTCATATATGGCATATATCCATCCTCCAACATCTTACCATAGCAACAAATCCACTCTCATGTAAACAATGGATTATAAGTAATACTCAACTTTAAACTATGACACACACATTCTGAGAGATATTTCTCTTTATTTGAGAAGTCTCATTCACTTTCTGTTTCAGATTGTAACACATTAAGATCCAGATGTAAATTTTAGAGAATCCTCCCTTCTTCATGTTATGAGTTTTACCCATAATGCATTGTTGCAGCAGACGGCAATTCAGATTATATATATATATATCTACAGCTTGAGGTGACAGTCTCTATTCCTCTTCACCAACATTTCGGCAAAGACAGATTGCGAAGATGAATCCAAACAGCTGAAAATGGAAAAGAAACTCTTAAATTTACCATTATCTATATGCAACATACAGGAGCATAAAAATATTCTGCGTGTAAATGGGTATCATAATGGCAGGTAACACTTACTGGAATTACCATATAATATACTGTCAGCTTATAATCTAAGTAAGGACAATCACTAGGTGTATACCATAATACAATATTATTCTTTCAGGGGTCTTACCTCAAGACATGCGATTCCAATGCCAATTCCAATGAACATGGTAGCATGACTGCTGAACCAACCTTCAAGAGCCTTCAAACATCCCTGGAAGAATTTAATTAAGATTTTAATGAAAAATGTCTTCTGAAGAAGAAATGAACAAAATCATAAAAAAAGATCGTCCTGGAAATATACATGTACAGCTGAATTCTTGTACAAGGTCACACTGCATATTTTTACACTGCATATTTTTACCCTGCATATTTTTCTTTTTCCTTGTACAGATCAAACCATTATATCAAGTCATTCCCTCTTTTGAACATGTAATTCTAGAAATATTGGTATTTATAAGGTAATCACCATGCCAATTACTTACTTAAAATATTTTCTAAATGATAATGAAGAATAACTGTTGATTTCATATGGTGTTACTGAAACAACTGATTAGATTGTGTGAAGCATACCTTTCAGTGTTCTCCACAGGATTTTTTCTCAAGTGGGTGCAAAATTATCATTTTCACAATTCAGACCAAAATTGGTCAAAATACATGTATGCCTATTTTTTCATGATTTTTCTCATTTTTAAGTAGGTTCAAATGGATTCTCAGGTGGGTGCAAGCCTATTATTAAAATCTCCGTTGGGAGCTGGGCCCACTTGCTTTAATGCTGAGGAGATCACTGCCTTTATTTGGATATGTCCTTTATGTGGATATGCCCTTCATATATATCAAATGAAAGCTAATTTCCCTAAAATTATTCTTGAATTTTTTAATGCTACTGCCAGTGTTCATATATTATGGAGTGTAAATCAAAAAATAAAATGTGAGGTATTTTTAAAGGCTCCATCTGTGAAAATACTACCATGTACCAGGTCGTTCAATAAGTTCTCATAATTTTGCTCTCATTTTAAGAGTTTTTTATATTTTTCCATGAAAATTTCACAGACGATGCAGAATGTATCTGTGTAACAACCCTGCAAAAATTAAGTTTTAATTCTAATGGTCGTGAAAATGGCGGTTGTTATAGTAACATGAAAAATGGGTAGGCGGGGCAGATTATTTGACGTCATAGTGGCATATAATTCAGTTCAACATTGTGGAGAGTAACAAGTGTTTTAATGTCATGTAGTCCCATTTATCCCATGAAATAGTATGGGGTAAATGTTTCTATTCCTACTTTAAATGCTCAAAATAATGTCCATTGGATGCGACACACTTTCGATGACGTTCTACCCAATCCTGGAAGATTTTATGGAATCCATCAGGAAATCTAGCTCTGAGAGCATTTTGGACTGCATTCTGCAAATCTTCTGTCGATGCAAATCGAAAACCTCTCAGCTCATCTTTCATTCGGCCAAACACGCCAAAGTCGCATGGGGCTTCATCAGGTGAATATGGTGCCTGTGGGAGAACTTCCATTCCGAGTTCTCCTATGGTGTTCAGTACAAGTTCTGCCCGGTGACACGGGGCATTATCCTGATGAAATATTCTTGTCGCCAACTCTAGGAGGGGGCGTTTCTTTGAGAAGGCCCGTTTGAGATGCCTCTTGAGAACCTGAAATAGTCAGTAGGATAGGATACTAATGCCTTTAACATTTGTACTTAACCATTTTTATAGTTCAAATCTGATTTTAAATTTGATTTGATTTAATGTTTTTACTCTTATATTGATTAATTTATTAATAATGAATAAGCTTACCATTGCATAATAGTCCTTGTTTATTCTCTGACCATCAGGAATTGCATGCGTAAGCAGCACCCCAGAGCTATCCAAAAACACAATGAACATCACCTTGCCGTCATTTTTGGTCAGTTTTGCCAGGGTTGAAATGGGAGTAGGTGAGTTCTTAGTTCTCCAACCACTTGATGCTCTCTTCCCAAGGGGCTCATAATAGCTGACGTACACCTCGTCGCATGTGATAATTCGTTGAAGAAAACTATCCCCTTCATCTTGGTATCGTCTTAGAAATTCTTGGGAAACCTCAACTCTGCGGGCTCTCTGGTCACTAGTTAACTCCTTTGGCACCCATTTAGCACACATGAGGTTCATTTTAAGCTTCTCTTTCAGAATGAAGTGTGTTCTACCTATACTAATGTTCACATTCTCACTAAGTTCCCGTACAGAGATGCGGCGATCATCATCTAGAACTGTCTTAACTCTTTCAACAGCCTTTGGGTTGGTGACTTTTACCGGTCTGCCAGTCCGTTTTTCATCCATCACAGATTTTCTTCCCTCTGAACCAAACCTTTGATACCATTGGTATATGGTAGGTGTGCTCATTAACTCCTTTCCATAAATATCTTGAACTGCTTTTATTGTTTCTCCTCTTGATTTCTTGGATAACACACAAAATCTTATCACACTACGGATTTGAATTTGAATTTCATCTTGACTTTTCACAAGACCACAGTCAGCTGCCATCTTGGGTCTCTCTATTGAAACCTTTTCTGTGATGTCATACCTTTTTATGTGATGTCACAGTAATAACTATACTCAGAAAAGTTGCATCTTTCACACTGATGTCAAAACCTGTTTCTATGGTTGCAAATCTTTCAGATAAAACATATGACATTTCAAGATGAAATCTAACTACATCCATGGATTTTACGATCAAATAAAGTTGCCCCGCCTACCGATTTTTGACGTTACTATAGCAACCGCCATTTCCACAACCATTAGAATTAATACATAATCTTTGCAGAGTTGTTACACAGATACATTCTGCATCGTCTGTGAAATTTTCATGGAAAAATATAAAAAACTCTTAAAATGAGAGCAAAATTATGAGAACTTATTGAACGACCTGGTAATTTTCATTGATAAGACACCACTGGGTATGATGTAATAGATATGATTTGAGGGTCCTTGAACAAAATCGTTTTAGACAACTTCTCTATGTCCTTATGAATAGTATACAGAAAAAATGACCTGGCATCATTGCTCCCTAGTTGCACTTCCTCTTTGTACCTAGTGGTTCCCTTATAACTTAATAGCCTAATAGCCCTACTAGTTTCTCGTAGGGCTAAGGGAATTTTCCTGAGAGTCATAGTGGTTCAACAAAAGGCCCATTCTACATATCAAATGGGGAAATGGTAGTCTTTCCAAAATATGACAGAACAGTATTTTGAAAAATATACAAAATGGCCGACTTCCCTAAAATGAGGCAAAAGCTAGAACCAGGATGTAAATTATCACCATGGACCCCCATAATGGATACGAGCATACAAATGACAGTTTCCATTTATGGACATACAAATGACAGTTTCCATTTATGGACATACAAATGACAGTTTCCATTTATGGACATACAAATGACAGTTTCCATTAATGGACATACAAATGACAGTTTCCATTTATGGACATACAAATGACAGTTTCCATTTATGGACATACAAATGACGGTTTCCATTTATGGACATACTAATTTAAATCTAAAAAGCACATAGACTATAAAGCACAAGCATGTTCAATATGAAATATAAAACCATCAACTTTATGTAGAGCCAAAAGATGTCAGACTTTTAAAAAGTAATGACCAGCCATACCAGATTACTTTGAAAATAAATTATCTCTTGCATCAATATGTACATCTACGAGCAAGATCCAAATCAGTCCAGGAGTTCTCAAATGTGAATCATATCAGTAAAGAGATTCTCAAATATGAGCCAAATCTGGTTCTTGGGCTCTGAATTCAGTAACATTCTGTGATAACAACATCCATTCAATTTCATAACATTATGAAAATCACTGTGACAAGAACAGGCATAGCAAACTAAATTGACATAATCAAGCCAGACCTAACAGACTGAGAGTGAAGCAAATGTGTGATTCTCAAAGGTGATATACCTCTTGATTGCTATATTCTTTACTATCTAGGCTTCCAGAAAATTCCATGGTACACTTAGTTTCATCTTTATATTCAGTGTTCTCAAAATCCTCATAATTCTTTTTGGTTGCCTTGCAACATGTTTTGGGGAATTGCTAAAAAAATATAATATATTAACAGATTAGTTTGTGCTTGTGTAATCTTGTGAGAGGGTGGATTGTTTTTGTAATGATGCTGGGATGCTGGGATGTTGGGATTTTGGAGGTGATGCTGGGATGTTGGAGGTGATGCTGGGATGTTGGAGGTGATGCTGGGATGTTGGAGGTGATGCTGGGATGTTGGAAGTGATGCTGGGATGTTGGAGTAGATGCTGGGATGTTGGAGTAGATGCTGGGATGTTGGAGGTGATGCTGGGATGTTGGAAGTGATGCTGGGATGTTGGAAGTGATGCTGGGATGTTGGAGATGATGCTGGGATGTTGGAGGTGATGCTGGGATGTTGAAAGTGATGCTGGGATGGTGGAGGTGATGCTGGGATGTTGGAGTAGATGCTGGGATGTTGGAGTAGATGCTGGGATGTTGGAAGTGATGCTAGGATGTTGGAGGTGATGCTAGGATGTTGGAAGTGATGGTGGGATGTTGGAGGTGATGCTAGGATGTTGGAAGTGATGGTGGGATGTTGGAAGTGATGCTGGGATGTTGAAAGTGATGCTGGGATGTTGGAAGTGATGCTGGGATGTTGAAAGTGATGCTGGGATGTTGGAAGTGATGCTGGGATGTTGGAGGTGATGCTGGGATGTTCGAGGTGATGCTGGGATGTTGGAGGTGATGCTGGGATGTTGGAAGTGATGCTGGGATGTTGGAAGTGATGCTGGGATGTTGGAAGTGATGCTGGGATGTTGGAGGTGATGCTGGGATGTTGGAAGTGATGATGGGGTATTGGAAGTGATGTTAGGATGTTGGACATGATGCTGGGATGTTGGAAGTGATGTTGGAAGTGATGCTGGAATGTTGGAGATGATGCTGGGATGTTGGAGGTGATGCTGGGATGTTGGAGATGATGATGGGGTATTGGAAGTGATGCTGGGATGTTGGAGGTGATGCTGGGGTATTGGAAGTGATGCTGGGATGTTGGAGGTGATGCTGGGGTATTGGAAGTGATGCTAGGATGCTGGAGGTGATGCTGGGATGTTGGAAGTGATGTTGGAGGTGATGCTGGAATGTTGGAGATGATGCTGGGATGTTGGAGGTGATGTTAGGATGTTGGAGATGATGATGGGTATTGGAAGTGATGCTAGGATGCTGGAGGTGATGCTGGGATGTTGGAGGTGATGCTGGGGTATTGGAAGTGATGCTAGGATGTTGGAAGTGATGTTAAGATGTTGGAGATGATGATGGGGTATTGGAAGTGATGCTAGGATGCTGGAGGTGATGCTGGGATGTTGGAGGTGATGCTGGGGTATTGGAAGTGATGCTAGGATGTTGGAAGTGATGTTAGGATGTTGGAGATGATGATGGGGTATTGGAAGTGATGCTAGGATGCTGGAGGTGATGCTGGGATGTTGGAGGTGATGCTGGGGTATTGGAAGTGATGCTAGGATGTTAGATGTAATGCTAATATGTTGGAGGTGGCACTAGGATGTTGGGTATGTTGGTTATCAATGGGCACATCAAACAAGTCAATCCACTTTCTCACAAGGAAAATAGAAAAACCATGTTCCTTACTTTATCATTTATTAAATCAGTGTTTGTACCAGCGAGACAAGTTTGGTCTTCCCATTCTGTGTTATTGAAGTTGGCGTAGTCCTTTGTTCTAGCCTTGCAACAGGTGACTGGGTATAGCTACAAGATAATCTCATGTATTCAATTATAGATACAAAATAATGTAATGGGAACTTTTTTCAAATAGTTGAATAATAAATATTTTATTTTGTTTATGTTTTCATTTTTATGCTATCTATTGAACATTAAAGTCTACATATAATGTTTTAACACTGTAAATATACATATATTAAATCAGCATTCAATAGTTTTAAACTACAAAGGCGCATTTGTGTATAGGACACACTAGTCAATGAAAGACAAAGAGATCTAGCGTCAAATATTCTCTGTATACAAGCCAGATAATCGATGACAAAATGCTGATTTTTTCAGCTTTTATGCAAAACTAACCATATTACCTTCTTTGTAGTATTTTGGAAGAGACTGTTATTATAAGTTTCTACACCCTCTACTCCACAACAGTCATACTGTAACACATAGTGATAAAGAAAACAGAGAATAAGAGTGTCAACCAGCCACCATAGCAATTACTTTGTTGTCTTAGAATCAAACTACATGTTATGACAAACATACACACATCAATACGACAGTAGCTATAGTTCTAATAATAATATGCATGTATGTCAGTCAGGTGTTTATTAGTGCTGCAATCCTGTGAAGAAGAATAATGAGTAGAATAAGACATTTCTAGGTTATTAGATTTAGCATCCGGTGTGTCAGTTGTCTAGGACACAAACTTTGAATAACTGGGGTGTTATGACAAATCAGCAAACTATGTTGGTCGTGTCTGAAAAATGAACCAGTTTTGGAGTATAAACCAAGGGCATAAAGGCAGTTATGGCAATCATATTGTACCGTCATTAAACCACGGTGTATAACCCAAACGCTCCTACATGCACGACGGAGCGTTTCATTACTGAAATTAAACAAAGAAACGCTCCGGAGTAGGAAAACTGTCTGGCGGGAATGATGAGCCGTCTGACAATTTCCCCAATAATGAGAATAAGAGGTATGAGTTACATATTTCGATGGGTGTGATTTTCATGTTGTACGTGGCTGGCTGTTGACGTTTGAAGCAATTAGGAAGAGCTGTACGAAGCAGTATAGTTATCAATTCAAAAACGTATTTGTCATTCTACCGGTCAAAACCCCTTTTGTCGATACATGTGATTAGTTGAGCCAAGATTAGAGCACCAACGTATATTTTAGTCAAATTCCAATGCTTCAACGCACCATACATTATCGTTATAGTGATTTGATGACCGAAAATCCAGTCTTAAAAATGATGACATTCTCATATTCAAGAAACGCTCCGATCTGGTTAACACAGTGAATTGGAAACGCTCCGGTAGTCTAGATCAGTTAAGGAAATATATAGCTTGCCTTTCCTTTTCAGGAAGAGAAAGAAAAGATCTATTATACCCCTTGGCATCAATAGAAGAAAGATTAATTCACATATAACTTTTCGTTTTTTTCTATAGTTTTATGATTTAGCACATATGTAGGCATGACATCATCTTATGTATAGGCTTTAATCAGCTAGTTGCACGTTTAGCACCACCAGGTTCAGATGTTTCAATTTGCCTAACAAGTACAACACGTTTTTGAGAGATAGATTCGATTCGGAACTCTTCTCTAATAATCTAAAAATGATATCAAAACAAAATGGTAAGAGCGTTTCTAAAATTGTGGTCTAAATCGACGGAGCGTTTCGAGGAAAACAAGCGATTTCTCGAGAACAAGCAATGGATTTGGACTGGGATTTTAGGAAATGAGAATATACGAGTTTGTGATCTACTACTTAAACAGAAAGATTAACGTTTTCATAGAAATACTAGTTTAATTCGTAATTTGTGGTCAAATCGTCATCTTCAGATTCGTTCGATCTACACTACGGAGCTTTGATCAAGCAAATAACAGTTTACCACCAGAAGTTGAATAAATAAGATCTTTGCTCACGGTATTGTTCATCGAATGGTACATAATATTTCACCATGACATATGATATGTAATAGAAACGAGAGAAACAATACTTATGGTCATAGTAGAATCTTCATTAGCCGCCATTTTATTTCGCTCCGGAGCGTTTCAGCGTAAATGTAACGCTCCGTCGTGCATGTAGGAGCGTTTGGGTTATACACCGTGTAAACATGAACAGTATTGCCTTGACAACCGAATCTATATGCAAGAAACATGAATGTGAATGTGGAATATATAGCCAGCATGGGTCAACACCTGTCAGGAAGTGTAGTGGAGTGAATTTGAAACTGTTTTTAAAAATGTTGTCCTACATTGCAAAAACATAATTTCAAGGAGTGTATTTCTCAATTCCACGTCTTCATTTTACAAAAAGTTCCTGGAAATGATTTCAATTTTCATGTAACTATACTGAAAGAGTCATGTTGGTTATGAACTAGTTTTTGGAAGTATAAACCGACAAGGGCATAAAGACACATGTATATCATACTGCAAAAGGACTTGACACACAATAAGAAACACATCGATTAATATTTAATTCTATATTAATTTTGAATGGTGTTAATTTAGTTAATCGTGGCACAATACAGAGACAGAATATTGCCAAGAAAATCAGAGATGTTAGTTCAGACAGTACAGCTCACACCTAGAGTAAATGCAAGATATCAATGTACAAGGGTCATTCAAAAACTCCAACAGAGAAATTATGATTTTGTTTGTCAGAAACCAAACAGGATTATTTCAGAAAGTAATAACAGAAAGTTAAACCGAGACTACTTGAGAAAGTAATCATTTCTTGGTGAGATGTTTCAAGGTTAAGAAATTTTCAGTACTTTTTGAACGACCTGTGTAGATTAAACCAGCATAGGGTAGATAAAGAAATGTGATTACATTACAAAATCAAGCCATATATCAGACTCCATTAAAATATCTCCATTGCATTTCAAATTAAAAACAAGTTTTGATGTTTTACAAGCTTCACTTTCTATTTTAAAAATTCATTCTTGAATATAAATGAATAAATTTAACAAATCATCGCAGAAAATATCTTAACATTGACAGGATATGGCTTGAAATTGCAAAATACAATGAGTGAGGTATATATTCCACACATCTGCTCCTGGTACATACACGAGAGGTCATATTGGAGAATTTGCTATTCACATAGTCTGCTTGACCACTGACTCCACAGCAATCAAACTAATAAAAAGAGCATGCAAAACAATTATTAAACAATTAAAAAATGTTATCAATCATTAGAACAAAGAGAGTAATAAAATACTCATTCAATATCCAGTATACGATATTACATCATTTTTATTTTTACATAACAGTAGGGCATATTTTATAAAAATAAGGGCATGGAACTCATGTCTGATCTTTATTGCCCTTTTAAGATATATAGTGCACATTGATGCAATGGACTTACATATAGCTGAGTATAACCCATGGCTGCTCCAATAGCATTGGTTTCTTCAAATTTCTCCTTAATTTCCGTTGCCAGGCTTTTATTTAGTTCCTTTTCAATCTGTAATTATGTACATATTACATTAAATGTCATAATTGTGAGCAAGGGTTACATCATATTATAATAATAATAATAATATGTATCCTTTTTATCATTTTTTTAAAATTTGGATTTGCATATTCTACTGCAATAGTGAGAATGGTGTCCTCTCCAGATGAAATTGTAAATGAAATATTTTTCTTTGTGAACTAAATAAAAAATCCAAATCAAAATAAAACCTTAACCTTACCTGTGCCTTGTAAACGATAGCAAGGACGCCAGCAGCAATTTCAGCTCCCATGATCAAAACCATGAAGAAAATGTACTGAAAACATGAAAGAACATTTACTCAAATATTTGAATATAAAAATAATGCAGTACACAGAATGAAAAGCAGTACAGTATTCATTCATTCATTTTAGGTTATATATTTTCTATGTACTGTATGTAAAGAATATCTTTGGACATCTACTACTGGAAAGATAAATTCAGCCTGAAAAATACAAATAAGTGTTTGATGAACCAAATTTTTACGATGCCTTTAAGGGGTCTTCAGGGCAATACATTTCCATTGTAACAGCATCACACCCATGACACTCACCATTCCAAGCATGCATCTGCTCTCTTTGATAGCTCCGCAGCATCCCAGGAACCCCACAAGGAATACAAACGCCCCAACACCAATCAGAAAATAGGCGATGTAATTCAAATATTGATCGTCTGTTGATATGGAGATGAGATCCTGAAGTTTGAGGATTGTGGGATCAACTCTCAGCCATATTCCGATCCCGAGGAGAGCCGCTCCGGACAACTGCAAAGAAAATAGTGCATATTTTACAAAAATATCCATCAACAATATTGTACAGCATTGGCGACAGTCATTCCAGCTTATTCTTAACCTCACATCCTTAATCACATATTGTCAATGATGAATATTATCTTTTGGACACCTGAATCTCAACGACTTTCATTATTAATTTATGGATGAACTGCTGCAATGTCATATTACATACTAGTCAGGTCCATATGACAGATTCTGTTATTTAATCGAGTAATGTATTTTTGCCCTTTAATCTATATAGACTATTCATTTTCATTTTCCATATTCTGTCCATAAATCTAGACTAATGACGCAAACTAAATTACATTCCAAGATATTTTTATCAAACAATACATCAAAAGGCTATGCTAATCAGTACGCTATTACATTATTACATAGATTGGTTGATCTATACATCATCTAAGCCTACATTGTTTTCAATATTATGCAACATTCAAAGGTTTGCACAAGACCCCCAATGGGGCATCTGGAAATTGACATGCTGCATTGTCAAGGGGGTAGGATTTCACTTTTCATTTCACTATACTTTGTCCCTCGAGAAGAGATTTAAAATGCATTTCCACGGTAACCAGAATTTTGATTTATTCAACCAGCTAGCATTACTCCCTGGGTGAGGAAATTGACTCTCTATGTTCCTCCACTATTTTCCACTCTATTTCTCATTTTAAAGCATCATGACATTTCTCTCATTAGTGATATGCTACAATGCACAGATTACAGGTATCTTGAAACAGGTGAAAAGCAGATACTTTCCTTTATTAGTCTTCTTTGATTCAGAATATCTATTACTGAGGATTAGTGGATGAAAATGCAATCAATCTTCAATTCAGAATCTAGAGTAACCTTTCCAATAGTATAATTTTGCTTATTTAAAAGAGGGCTTCATCTTCATCTCATGTACAAGGCTCTAACCCAATGTTAACAGAAATTAAAATATTGAACTCAGAGCGGTTTTAAAAAGTTTTGATAATAATACTATTTCTGCCTGGAGTAAAACCTGTCTAATAGTAATAATAATAGGATTTTATTAGTACTGATGCCCTTTTAGGGCCAAACGTACATCCAATATACAATTTTCAATAACAGTAAATATAGGCAATAGAGTAAAGAAAATAGGATTACATTCTTCAAATGACATATAAAATAAAAAAAAACTCTCATATGAACATGCAACAAGGTGAACAAGGCGAAGGGGTAGACTTAGCAAGGAGAAACAATAGCTCACAATCAAGGAGGATTGACTCCCAGAATGCAATCTCGATATTTTCCTACAATGAATGCGACCTTGAGGGATGCCATGATTACAATATTCGAAATCTAACAGCCATCATTTTTCACTTAAGAATTTTAAGTGCTAGTTTTGGTCTTATTTCTGAACAAAATATTTCAAAAGACAAAGGTAGTGATTAATATATTACAAATGTAGTTCAAATCTTTTAGATCGCTGATTATGAATTTATAGTCAGTTTAATATAATGTCAGAAGATAACGACATTGAGGACATTTTCAATATTTATATCGAACAAGGTCAAGGTCGAATATCGAGTTGCGTCCCTGGGAGCCAATCCTCCTTAGCTCACCATGTGAGCTAAAAAGTACATGTTATTCAAAATCAAAAGGCAACTTATATTGATAGAATTGCGTTATAATACAGGCTCTTCGCAGTGAAGACTGAACAATCCTGGGCCACGATAGGGTTAAACATCTATTTTGATTTCTTATATTAATAGCTTTTTTATTGCAATACGAATTTACTCTACCAATAGCATAATAATTTTTTTTAAGAAATTGGTTAGGCTCAAAGAGCATTATTAGTCAATGAAGATGGGAAAAGTGTTCATATCTATATCAAGTATTCACATTGCAAAGTGTTTACATAAAGGAGTGTTCACATTGCAAAGTGTTTATATAAAGGAGTGTTCACATTGCAAAGTGTTTATATAAAGGAGTGTTCACATTGCAAAGTGTTTACATAAAGGAATGTTCACATTGCAAAGTGTTTACATAAAGGAGTGTTCACATTGTGAAGTGTTCACTTACAGATTATCTCATCATCTAGGTCAAAGGGCCATTTTTTTATGAACAGAAATCTTGGCACTCGGTTAGTCAATAGATTATAAACTTAAAAATAGTTTAGAAACAATTGTTCTAATAATCATCAGGAAATTAGTAACAAACACACTTAAGACTGAGTTAACCCAGCTATTCTAGACTACTTACCCAAAAAATAAAGTTGAAGACAATCAACATAAACTTTGAACATTTTGCTCCACATCCAATCGCCATTTTAATGCTGTTTGTCTGCTTTATGAATTAGTCCGTACAATCTGGAATCAGAAACGAGATCAATCATGAGCTCCTCTACAACAATACACTTTGAATAATTTATAAGTAATTCAATAAAAACAAGTGCAATACAAACATAAGCATAAGGATTAATACACTTGTTAATCCTAAATAAATAAACTAGTGTACCCCCCTGTACCTATACTTTCGTTTTAGTCATATTGTTATTTTTGCCAAAATTTTATTATATCACCGATTTTGGGCATTACAATTGAATTTAGGGTGTAATATCTATTTCATACCCTTAAAATGACACTCTCAATGCTGAAATATGAACACAGGGACACTTTCTCATAGATCTGTATAAAATTGATTGGGGTTCTTTGTCTTCCAACTACCAATTGTTAAAAAATACCAATGAGGTCAAAGAACTAATAAAAATAGATTTTCTTTCATTTCAAAAGTAAAGCAAACATAGAGAACTGTGAGAAATAAAAACAGGTAATAAGTTAACGAGAATATAGAACAGGATAAAAAGAATTTTTTTTATTTTGATAAAAACAGATACTTAATTCTATGACTCCAATTCAAGATATATCTTTCCAAAGATATAAGGGTTATGTACTGGGAGGTTTTGGATATAGGGTATATCCTGAGGGATATATTTGTATCTCCCCACTCCTCAGATATGATATATATTCCCGAGTGATATCTTCCCCAAACCCACTCAAGTATGAGTATGATGTATATCTTTCCCAAGATTACATACAATTTCCTAATCTAAAATTCATGTATAGCACATACATGTTCTCTAAAACTTGTTTAATTGGAACCCCTCTGGGACAAGCCAAAGTGCTTTGATTTGCAGGTGTCCACATTTAAAGGTTTTGTCAACATGTAGGTCAATGGAATATTACATATTGAGGACCAAGAATAAGTGTTTACATTGAGAAGTGTTCATATCAAGGAAGTGTTCAGATGTTCCAGTTTCACTGTATAATACATCTACATAGGCATACTTTCCGTATCTCAATTTGTTTATATATTTACACAAGTTTACATCTTTAGAATTATATCAAAATTAAATAACGTCAACATTTTATGATACTAAAGATATTTTTCCAACATGTGTATTATCTGAATATTAGTTCAAGTCTTGAAAACCTTTTTTATAAGAAATTAGAATAAGGAAGAAAACTGTGTTATAAGATTTCATAGAATATTATTCATTCTTAAATTAGTCATAACCCAAGTCATGACCTTCAGAAAACATGCCAATGCCACACAAAAAGATGAATACAAACTAAATCTATTGACGTTGACAAAAACTGAAGTAGGCAAATAAAACTCTATTTTAACATGTAGTAGCCCAAATTCTTAACCTATACTGATTGATACACATATAAATGCCATGTTCAAGTCTGATCAAACATTTAAGCTGGTATAAATATCACAGGGAGTGGTAGTAAAAGCGAGCAAATAAATCAAATAGCACAGTATATAGTTATTTGAACAATACATACACACTTCTCCATATCTTCGTTAAAATTTGGTCAAGAACAACCAAAATAAAATCTATCGATTAAATCTTTTTTTGCCTTATTCCATAGAAGTCTTTACACCACAGTTAGAGCAATATCAGTACCACCAAGTGATAAATCACATATAGGATTGGGACTGATATCAATGTAATACTGGAATTAACGGGTGATCGGGCTGATATGCATGTCATCCGATATGATCCCGCTATTCTTATATCATCTGAGGTATATATTATTCCTGAGGAAATCCTCCTAAAACTTCATTTCAGAACAGCGATAGTGATTATTTGACTCAGAAAAGTAACTTAGAGGAAAAACAAGTTCAAGAGATTTGTTTCAAGCCTGATAAAGTCAAGTTTTCCCAAAGTAGATAGTAAACCAAGCAATCATATATCTATCAATATTTCACAATGAAACATGATTACAGAGCTCTCTAAGAATACAAGTGTTATGAAACGTCATTTTGCAATTAGCACCACCACTGGAGTCCACTCAAGCATCATGATCAATATTAATAAGTTCTTCTTTCTCATCTCTGCATGATACATGAGAGTGTAAAGGTAATTTGACAACACAGCTCTAGTTCACTATGACCACTTATTAGCGATTATCACTCCCATCATTTGTGCACAAATGTGTTTAAGAAGGATCCTAGCCCATAGAAGAGGTTTGCGTTAGGCTTATTCTTGGCTAAATCATATTACAGGTATATGCAGCGCTTGCATTAGGTTAGAAAATTTGTGAGTCCCAAGGACGCAATTTTTTTAAAAAGTGTGTCCTTTGAAAACAAAAGTGTGTCCCTTATTTTTCAGTTTTTGATTTCTTGCCGCGAATTCAAAACGGAAGTAAACGTTAAGTACGAACTGAATAAATGCATGTTCGTTCATTCGACAATGAATACATTTTATTTCATGAATAACCTCATATTTGTTTCTGAATAGGAAAAACTGTGGCGTGTCATGGTTTCAAATCTAAAAATAAACAAAGTCGAAAAAATTCAAGAGAATCATGATTATTTTTAAATATTCAACATGTTGAGCCTTATTTACGATTCAAATAAAGGTGAGAGATCATAATTATTTATTTTTGTTAGGTATCGTTATAAACACATTGTAGTATTGACCTAAAAAAAATTTGCGTCCAAAAAAACGGAAATATTTTCAATTTTTGCGTCCTCCAAATTATTTTTGAGTCCTTAACATGTACGGGACGCCGTTAATGCATGCCCTGGGTATATGGGTAGGGGATACATTGTATCTTATAAAGGTTGAGTGGAAGGAAAAGGAGAGTAATATATATGTATAGTAATATGTGGTATGAAGAATGGTTCAATAATTTCAAATTTCTTGCATGCGAATAACAGAAACCTTCAACACAGCAGGATCAATGATCATTGTCCTAAGCATGTAGAAGTTATTTAAAACATCCTTAAACCTCAGTGACTGATTTCTTTAAGTTTGAGTTGATTGCTTGATGTACTGGGAAAAACATGACATTTACTGCATGATAAAACTTCCATGAAACTCAAGGTTAAGTATGATTTGTAACAACATCATATTTTGAAGCATTCCTAACAATACGAGGGGCATAAAATGAGAAGAGATGGCTCATAGGATTTCGTTTGCACAAAATGATGCAAACAAGGCATTAACATGACAAAATGTCACCACCTAAAACAATTTGGTCAATTTAAAGAAAGTTGGAAAATACCTTTTGACCTTAAGAAGGTTTGATTTGAACTTCTTAGAACATGTAGATGATTTTGAAAAAACAAATTCGTCAATTTGAAGCAAGTTGAAAAAATACCTCTTTGACTTTTTTTGACATTGAGAAGGGTCATTGAAGGTCAAATGTATAGTCAGATTTGAACTTCCGAGAACATGTAGATGATTTTGAAAAAAAAATTAGTCAATTTGAAGCAAGTTGAAAAAAGACCTTTTTGACCTTGAAAAGGTCATTGAAGGTCAAATCTAAAGTCAGATTTGAACTTCTGAGAACATGTTGATGATTTTGAAAAAAAATTAGTCAATTTGAAGCAAGTTGAAAAAAGACATTTTTGACCTTGAGAAGGTCATTGAAGGTCAAAGGTCAAATCTAAAGTCAGATTTGAACTTCTGAGAACTTGTAAAGTCAAATTTGAACTTCTGAAAAGATGTAGATGATTTTGAAAAAAAAATTTGGTCAATTTGAAGCAAGTTGAAAAAAGACCTTTTTGACCTTTTTTGACTTTGAGAAGGTCATTGAAGGTCAAATGTCAAATCTTAAGTCAAATCTAAAGTCAGATTTGAATTCCTGAGAACACGTAGATGATTTTGAAAATTTTTTTTAGTCAATTTGAAGCAAGTTGAAAACATACCTTTTTGACCTTTTTTGACCCTGAGAAGGTCATTGAAGGTCAAATGTCAAATCTTAAGTCAAATCTTAAGTCAGATTTGAATTTCTGAGAACACGTAGATGATTTTGAAAAAAAAATTTAGTCAATTTGAAGCAAGTTGAAAACAGACCTTTTTGACCTTTTTTGACCTTGAGAAGGTCATTGAAGGTCAAATGTCAAATCTAAAATCAAATCTAAAGTCAGATTTGAATTTCTGAGAACATGTAGATGATTTTGAAAAAAAAATTTAGTCAATTTGAAGCAAGTTGAAAAAGACCTTTTTGACCTTTTTTGACTTTGAGAAGGTCATTGAAGGTCAAATGTCAAATCTTAAGTCAAATCTAAAGTCAGATTTGAATTCCTGAGAACACGTAGATGATTTTGAAAATTTTTTTTAGTCAATTTGAAGCAAGTTGAAAACAGACCTTTTTGACCTTTTTTGACCTTGAGAAGGTCATAGAAGGTCAAATGTCAAATCTTAAGTCAAATCTAAAGTCAGATTTGAATTTCTGAGAACACGTAGATGATTTTGAAAAACAAATTTAGTCAATTTGAAGCAAGTTGAAAACAGACCTTTTTGACCTTTTTTGACCTTGAGAAGGTCATTGAAGGTCAAATGTCAAATCTAAAGTCAGATTTGAAGGTCAAATGTCAAATCTAAAGTCAGATTTGAATTTCTGAGAACATGTAGATGATTTTGAAAAAAAATTTAGTCAATGTGAAGCAAGTTGAAAAAAGACCTTTTTGACCTTGAGAAGGTCATTTAAGGTCAAATGTCAAATCTAAAGTCAGATTTGAACTTCTGAGAACATGTAGATGATTTAGAAAAAAATTTAAGTCAGTCTAAACAGTATTTGTTAAGTTATAGGAAGTTGTAAGAAATTGTTACAGACGCCGGACGCCAACCTCCAACCACCAACCGCCAACCGCCGTCGCAAAAAAACGGAGACCATAACAATATGTCACCACTTTTGGTGGTGACATAAAAATGCTTAATAAATGTACTTAACATGAACCTTTCAAAACCTTGAACATTTTGAATGCAATTCAAAGAAAAAATATTTAGATGCAATCAACAGGATAACAAACCGACCTTTGATGTGCTTTCTCATGAATCAAAACCTCT